ACAATCAAAAGCTAGAATATGTCGGGGGCCAGTTGGATGACTGGTTCGCTGCCGTCTACGTACATCGCTACCGGGACGTCGATCCTAAGATCAGGGTCGATAGTGTGGTAGCTCTGGCAGATTGGATCATCGCATATCCCGACAAGTTTTTTGATGGCACCAAACTCCGCTATCTGGGTTGGGTGCTTTCCGATCCAAATCCATCCACACGAATCGAAGTCCTGCACCAACTTGCACGCTTGTTCCGGGATGAGAGCAAGCTGGCCGGCTTGAAGACCTTTACCGAGCGCTTCCGACCACGTATTGTCGAAATGGCTACTCACGATGCGGAAATCAACGTGCGTGCTGCAGCAGTCGACTTGCTCGATATCCTCCGTGAGGCCGGCTTCCTTGAGCCCGATGATATCGATTCGGTTGGCAAGCTCATCTTCGACTCTGACGCAAAGGTTCGCAAGTCTGTGGTTGGCTTTTTCGCTGAGAACGTTAATGCTGCATACGAAGCGACCGTAGAAGATATGGGAGGCGAAGAAGCGCTAAATGAAGCATTGGCTCCGCCTGACGAAGAAGAGGAAGAGTATCACAATCCACGACTCGAGTGGCTCAAGCTCAAGTGTTTAGTTGACCAATTGCTCTCATACGACGAAGACGAAGTCGAGCTGCCCTCGCAAATCCAGCGCATGTCTCCTGGTACGGAGCTGGGGTTGATTGCTGCTGGCGTGGAATCACGCGTTTCGCTCGCTGCTCAAGCTCTCTACGATGCTATTCCTGAGATTCGGTCATGGGAGGTTTTGGCTGGCTACCTCCTCTATGACCATTCCCAAACTGTTCAAGGAGATAGTGGGGATCCAGAAACCATGCTTCGCCAAACCTGCCAGCTCGAGGAAAAACACGAGACTGTTCTCTTGGACATCCTCAACTCAGTAGTACGTATCCGGCTTCAGCGCCTTGCAGAGGTGTCCAAGGACAAGAAGAAGACCAAGACGCAACGCGAGAGCGAGCAAGAGGACCAAGCAGATATGGCTCGACGACTTTCGTTGCTTATCCCTCAGCTTTTGAAGAAATTCGGCGCTCTTCCCGAGGCTGCTGCGTTATGTCTCCGATTGGAGCGTGAGCTAAATCTGGATGTCTTCGAGGAACTTCGGCAGAATGCAGCCCTCACTGCATTACTTGACGACATCAACAAGCAGTTCCTTACTCATCACAACGAGCGTGTGCTTGGTGAAGCTATCGGATCCATTCTACACGCACAGGGTAGCGAGGAACTCAGAGAGACGGTTGATCTTAAGGTGCAAGCACTTTGGGATGACCTGATCAATACATTCGATGCCCTTCGGCGAGGCAAGGACTTTTCTACACGAGGCAACTTGGATCAAAACGTTCTCCGTGGCGTTTCCAACGTCGTACTGAAGATGGCACAGCTGGTGACTGTCTCAGATGCTTCTGTGCTAGACCATATTGTGGCTCCTGCAAAGCCAAAGAGCAGAGGCAAGAAGGCGGCGTTGGACACACCCCCAATTCACTCAGTATTGCAAATCCTTGAGCGAGGTGTTTCAGTTGAAGAGCTGGATGCAGAGATTGAAGAGGCAGACGACACTCTTGTCCGTCACGCAATGTCTATCATGCTCATGTATTTCATGTGGAAATGCCGGGAGTGCACCACGCATGTTGAAGAGGGCACCAGCATGCTTGACGACGAGCTCATGGCGCTTGTGGAAAGGAGGGATACTTGCGTCACGACCTTAATGAGTATTATGGAGAGCCGAAAAGGCACCGATGAAGTACGACTTGACGCAGCGAATCTCCTGTTAGACATTTACACCATGTTCTGTACACTACGGGTCAAGAAGGGCAAGGTCACGAGGACGCCTAAAAAGACTCAAGGTCGCGGGTCAAATAACGCCAATGACGACTGGGAGGCTCTTTGCCGCGATATCGACAGCAACACAACGAAGCTCATCTTGCAGATTCTTACGGTATGGGAGAACCACTTGGCCAAACTTACCAACAAGCGTCTTGAGGAACCAGATGTTGATGATGACCCAATCGACCCTGATGACGAACCGGAAAGTGATGAAGAGGACGCTGCGGATGAGGGTGCAGTATCGGATAAGCAAGTGCGTGCCATTCTGGCTGAGCAATCGCTGGATGCGTTCGGTGGGCGCATCGTACATGCTGTGCTTGTTGGTGCACTTGATGGGGACGGTTCAGGCACAGTGCGCAGACGTCTAGAGCGTAACAAGACAAAGCTCACGCCTACATGGAGGGAGGTTGTAAATCATCTCGACGCAATCAAGCAACGCAAAGTGACCAAGAAGGGTACAAAGGCAACCAAGGAGACTAACAAGGCAGCCAAAAGCAAAGAGGTTGTTGAAGTGGACAGCGATGAAGAGGAAGAACAAGACGCTGAGAATGAAGTACCCGGAGACGAGATTGAGGACGAGGAAATGGCTGATGGTGATGAGGAGCAAACGAATGGTGTACAGGATGCGGAGGAGAATGGTGACGATGCGGCAGAGAGGGATGGCGATGGCGAAGAGAGTATTCTCGGCGACTGAGTGTTTTAATATGGGCGAGATGCCTGGATTTAATTGTTTACTTTATGATTGTGAAGCAGGTTTCGGAGCTCCGCTCTTCTTCTTCTTTTTACATACCAAGGCCACGGTTACAGCAAGGCGCTTCGGCGTTATCACGATGGGTAGTACTATGGCACGGGTCTGGGACTGGCGGCCTTTTGTGAATTCATCATGTGCGACGCTGTTTCTACTGCACCTTTATCTAGCATGAATTTAATGATCAAGCAAGTCCAAGTAGCCATTGCCAATGCTCAGAGAGCTCATGTACCTCACTGTGTGCTCATTGAGCTTCCCCATAGAACATGTTGGGGGAGATAGGGAACACAATCCAGCAATCTCTTGGCACCCTCCAACGAACGCAATGGAAACCTGTGCGCCAGCGTTAGCGCCTCGCACGGACCATCACACACAATACGCGAATTATCGGCATCGACCGCCTATCGAGGAACTTCGTCAAGCCTACAGCAAGCCCGTCTAACACCGCCGACAACAGTCAATACTGTGAGTAGAAGCCCCCCATCCGAAGCCGTGAAAGCAGTCGACCTGCGCAAAAGAATGAAAAACTGATTTCAGGCAGTACACCAGGACTTACCCGCCCAACCCGCCCTTCAACCACACATCATGTCTCACGAGTCGGTCTGGTATTCCCGCCCTAGGACCTACGGCAAGGGCTCTCGCGAGTGGTACGTCGCTCCCTTTTTATACACCTACGTCTACCCACATACATACACCCGCATTCTAGTCCAGTCCAGTCCACGCGGGAGGGGAAGGCGGGCCTTTTACGTACCATGATGGGCACAAGGGCAACGCAGGAAAACGGGCGATTGGACATTCCCAGAAACAAGAACAATGCGAACACTTTTATAGGCAAAGTCAAAGGCTAACACAGTACTCAACAGCCGCGTCTGCACGCACCCTGCTGGTCTGATCCGCAAGTACGGCCTCAACATCTGCCGTCAGTGCTTCCGTGAGAAGAGCGCCGACATTGGCTTCGTCAAGGTACGTTCTCTCTACACTCTTGCACGCCCGAGTCGACGAGCAATCGCATCTACAACGAGGTTGTTTGCGTATGGAAAGTGACAAATTGGCTAACGAACCTCACAGCACCGATAAATTCCCTTAACCTTTATTCAAACGGAAATCGAACCGGAGTAGGGGCGGCGCACAAACTTGACGAGATGATTACCTGACGATACGAAATGGGCCACCTCGGGACCCCCGGATCTCTTTCTTTTCTTTTTTTTCTCTCTTCATTTGCAACCATGGGAAAAAAGAAGAAGAGAGGTTGATGGATTAGCATGGGGGAGGACGCGAGGCAAGATAGGAAACAAAGAGCTGCACAATGATAGCTTTTTTTTACTTGTCATGTGTGTGTGTGTGTCGAGGGAAGGCGACGAGACAAGGTTTCTGATAATGGAAACTTGATGTTTTGACTTTCTCCTCTCCCTCTCTCCCTCTCTCTCTCTGTATGTGCTGTTTCGGGACAAGTGTGCTATCTCCGGTTCCCTGCTTAAACGACAACCAAAATGCTCAATTCACCAAGCTTTGCCGTTTGGGCCTTGTTCGTTACTTAGGCCCAACTAACCAGACAAAGTACTTACACATAAACCAATCTATATCCACAGAAAATGAGAACAAGAACAAGAGACAAGAAGGTAGTAGTAGTATCCAAGATCCGAATTCATCCATTCCCATTCCCATTCCCGAAATATATATATATATATATATGCAAATGACCCAATTGTTACGAAAAAAAAAGAACTACTACTACTACTACTACTACTACTACTTACATACGATACTTGGGGGGTTACTCGAGAGAGAGAGAGAGAGAGGTGACATGTATGCATATACAAAACAAAAACAAAACTTCATGTACAAATTAGTCAAAAGAAAGAGAGAGAGAGAGAGGAACTCGCAGCATTAAAAAACGTGAATATCCTATTTCGTCCCTTTCTCCCTTGTCCTTCTCTTTCATCGTGGTATCAAACAAGTCAAGTACACAACGTGTAAACAACCCAACCCCTTCTCTCCCTTTCGCTCATGATCGACTGCTGGTTGGCTGGCTGGCTCACTCGCTATCCTCATTACTTGCTTCCCCTCCCACCCACTTCCCCCTCAAGAAAAGAGACAAGAAAAAAAAAGCAGAAAAAACCAACACCAACAACAACAACAACCGTTTTCATCCTTATTGCTCATTCTCAGCCTCGTATGTCTCATATATCCCATTTCACGACGACCCCTACCACCACCCAACATTCCATCAACTTTGTCATGGCTTGCTTAACTCTTTTACTAGACCAAACAACAACAACGACAACAACATCCCTCAACCAACAACCCCAAGAGGGAAAAAATCAGACAAGATAAAGACAAAGACAAGGCAGGTAAAAAAAAAGAAACTGAGAAGCCCCAATTCTTGGACTCTTACTCAGCCGCAGGCATACTCTCCACCTCTTCACTAAGCGCACGCCAATTATCCGCCTGGAGCTCCGCATACTTGACGCGTTCCTGCGCCCACTCCTGATGGAGGCGAGAAATGTGATATTGGGATTTCTGGAAGAATAAGAGTTCGTCGCGGATGCATTCGCGGATGAAGACGCCGCGGGCGTGTTGTTGGACTATGGATTCCTTGTCCTAGATTTCAAAATTAGCAATCTTTTTGTGCAATTACAAAAACGACTTTTAGATGTCGGTATGAAGAGAGAAAGAGAGGAAAAGAACAAACCTTGAAAATGGCCTCTTCGACCTTTTCCGCCTCGCCGGGCTTGGCGTCGGGTTTGTTGCGGATATTGCTCAGTTTGGCCTCGTTGCTGACAATTCGGCGTTCCAGTTGGGGAATGTTGTCTTTGGCGTACTTGTCTCGGCGGTCAAACATGTCTCTTACGCTGACGAGGGTGTCTCTTTGGCGCTTGAGGTCTTCCAAGACGCCTTCTTCCCAGCCTCTTGCTTCGTCCTCGAGTAGCTGTTTACTCGAATCGAGGTGCCGTGCTGTAGCGCTTAGGCCCTCGTTCAGCAGCGGTACGTCGTTGGTATCCACAGCATATGTGTCGTGGCTTGCTTCCGTGAGGCCGTTGAGTGCCGAGGAGAAGCGATGGTATTCGGCTGCCATGCCTTCATTGCGGCGACAGAGGCGCTCCATCATGTTACAGAGGGTAATGTAGGTTTCGGCGCTACGTCGTACGCCTGACCTGACCGTGTCGAAGAGTTCAGGCAGGGTCTTTGGTAGGGAGTCTTCGAGATCCGGAGGAAGGGGTTTGCCGGTGAATTCTTCCTGCACAGAGAGGTTGGCTTGCTTACGCCATACCGCAAGTTCCTGCTTCTGGTCAGTACAGCTTAGATCATGTTGATGCTATCTCAACCTACCGTAGGCACAGTCAAGAACATGACAACCAATTGCTCTTGGTTGAGGACCGGATGGCGCACAAGGGCATTTGTGAATCGTGCCAGACCCTTTCTTCGCTTCTCAAGGAAAGTAGCATCGGCGGCTATCGGGTTGCCGTTGACTAAGAACTCTCAATATTCATGAAGACGATGGGAAGGGAGATAACTTACTGCCAACCCTCTTTGGGGGCAACAATGGCAACTGTCGGAACGGATACCGCTTGTGCAAACAGTCTAACAACCAGACAAAATCGCTGTATCGACGAACGACCTTTGTTGTGCGTCGCGAGCTGGCCACTTCATAGTTGCGGTGCTGGAACATGAAGACGCCCTCTTTCTCCGAGAGGGCAGTGATGGTGATTACTTCGTCGTTTCCAGACGCGCCGGGCAATCGACCAATTGACGTGCCCAGCTCCGGTGGCGCATTAGGTGCAACTTCTCGACGCGTAGGAGCACCAAAGCCTCCGTCTCCCATAGTGGGGGCAGCATAGGGTTGGCTTGCACCGCCATTATATCCTCCCCAACCACCTTCGCTGCCCAAAGAACTGGGCTGGACAGGTTGGGGATTTGCCGATTCAGTGGTCGAGTGGGTGGTGAACTGGCTGGTAGTGCGGCCTCTGGTGTGGATGCTAGAGCCGTTGGTCTGGTGTTGTATAGTGGTGTAATTGGCGTGGTTATGGCCTCTGTGCAGGTCAGGGCTGCCCCACGGATCCGCCTCCGGGTCTCCGAAAGATTGCTTGCGCATGGGCGCGCTTGACTTGTTTACAGCCGGCGACTGCTGTTGCTGGGTCGGCTGGCGCTGAGGAGCTGGAGGAGTTGGGGGATGGGGGTCCTGCGGTGGTGGTGGTGGTGGTGGAGGAGGAGCAGTAGACGCAGAGGTCGATGCAGAGACAGGAGCGGGAGCCGGCGACGAGTCGCGGGCCTTTGCGGATTGAGGAAGGGATACAGTGGGTACGGGGAGATCTGGCACTGGGTCAGTACTGGTGGGCTGCAGGAATATGCATGGCGACGATTGCTGCTAACACTCACTCCGTTTTCTCTCGTCAACGCTGTCGAGGGTGATGTCCTCGTGCTCCTGGGCCAGCCCAATCAAGGCAAAGACAACATTGAACTCGCTCCTACCCAGCTCGGCGCTTCCACCGGCGGGCAGCACAATCTCAAGGATCTTGGATTGGGTGTGGGCAGGAATGCCACTGTCAGCCAGCAGCTGCTTCACGCCTTCAAGACTGACGCCATTGCCGTGGCCATGGCCGGCGTCGAGCAGGGCGTCGAATGCATCAATGTACGAGTCGGGCACGTCGGTGGGCGGGAGCAGCGACCTCACGAGCGCCTCGCGGCCAGCTTTCTTGGGCGTGGGGAATGCCCAGGGCGAGTCGTTGTCACCAAGGTCGTCTGCAAACAAGCTGTTGCCCGGCCTGCCCGCGGGCTTGGGATCGTCGTCGAAGAGCGACGACGATTGTCCTGGGCGCGGCGGCGTGTTGCTGTCATCGTCGCCGAAGAGAGACATGATGGGTCAGAGGAAGAGGCGCTGGGCGACTGTCTTCCGTCAGGCTGCGCGCGGTCGATATGAGGCGGAGGCTGCTGGGTCGCAGTTTAGTTTCTACTATGTATGCAGTAGCTGCAGCCGCCCACGCGCCATGATAACATGGAGCTATGATGCGGCCTTGCAAGGAACCCACGACGCCTCCACCACCCACCCCGGCCCAAGCTCTACCGAACCCCCCCAGCCTTATCGCCCTCTCTTGGCCCCCGCCTTTGCTTCATTATTCACCCATCCACTCATTCATCCATTGCCAATACAACACGTCTGCACTGGTGAAAAAAAAAACGTCTTTGTATTGCAAGTGGCGTGCCTTTTAGCCGCTCATCCATACAACAACAGCGCTAGTTGCACATACGCAACCTACAATATGTAAAAATGCGCCATTACTCCAAAATAAATAATGAAAAAGAGCCTGACCTCGCAGTCGGCGGGTATCCAATCCCCATAACAAACACCAAATGATTCCTTTTTTTGAAGTTCCCACTGCGCCGTCCCATGCCAATGCTGCGTGGTATCGTCCAACCACCAAAATACGCCAATCCAACATAGGGGGTATATACGTGCTATCAACATGACAAATATAAACACAAACATGCAACACACACACCACATCTCTTCCTCACGGCTACCTCTCGTGGTCCGTCCGGCTGTGCTGCTGAGGCGCGCTGAAGTCAACAACCGATGTGCTCTCATCTTGCGCCAACCTTGTCGCTGGTGTGGACAATGACTGCCGTACCTCCGTTCCTAGGGTATCACCACTGCTTTGCTGCTGCTGCTGTTGCTGCTGCTGCTCACGCAGGATTCCTGGTGAGAATCGAATCCGAGGATTGCGTTGAGAATGTGGTGATGAGGTGGAGAGATGCGCAATTTCGCTCGAATCAGTCACTTCTGCATCCGCCGTCGTCGCTGGTCTTCCAAGATGGTTGCCTGCCCTGGTAAATGCTTCCTCTTGCTGAGCCTCTTCTTGTTGCTGGCGGATAATGTCTGGAGACCAAGTCTGCCCACGAGGTTGTGCAGGAATAATCGTCACAGGCAGCTGCATCTCCTGTTGCGACCCGTTCTTCTTCTTAGACCTTAGCTTCTCGCTTTGCTGTGCGGCAAATGTGCCGAGTCGGTCTCCCAGAGCCAGTCCGTTGTAGGTGCGTGGTGGTATGTTTGCAGCTACATCGTCAACAACAAGTGGTTCAATCACCTGGCCTCTTTGCAGTTCCCGAGGCGGTGTCTTTCCCTTCCTGCGGAAAGCATTGCCGAGTCCTTGCCACTGCCACTTGCCTTTGTTGGGAGTGATACTGGCCTCTTCAATATCGGCACCCTTTTCGGGATCTTCTATGTCGGCTGGTTGGCTTGGTAGCGGTTTTTGTTCTTGCGGTTGTTGTGGTTGTTGTTGCGTTTGTTGTTGTTGCGCCTCGTAATCTACTATCCGGCGGTCTGCGGGTGCAGGGTGGGGTAGTGGTGGTGTGTCACTGATAGGATGATAGCGTACCGTATAAACTGTTGAGTCGGCACTGGTGGTGTCTGTCCTGCTAACGGGCGAAGAAATGACGGGTACTGGAGGTGGGGTATGTACCCGGACGTAGGAGCGCGAGTTACGGTCTGCGCGTGTTGTAGATGCTGACCGTCGCGCTACAGGAGGTGGGGCGGGAATGTGAATGGTGCGTCTCTTGCGTGCTTCTGCTCGTGGCGATTCCGTCATCTTTCGCCCGAATTTCTGTGCAAAGGTGTTGAAGCGAGCGGCATGAGCTGATGTAAAAACACCAAAACCTCCGCTTGCACCTTTGTCGTCTCCTGGGCGGCCGTTTTTTTTGTTGGATTTTTCTGATGACTGGTGTTTGCGCTTCGAAGGCCAGCTGTGATCGGATGGACTGTTGTCCAGCATGTCGTCTCCGTCGTAAATTTCTCTTCCCAAAATTCCATCTTTTCTCTCTTCTCTTTCCAGAGCTTCAATTCTTTCAACCCACTCCCAGACAATAACACTAGCAGCGGCAGCCCCCACCCAGCGAAAGTAGTCTCCCCATCCGGCAATGGTGTAGTTTGCGATATCAGTAATGAAGAAAACGACTGGTGTTAGTATGGCAATAATCGATACAAGCGAGATGACGCTCATGTTCCACATCATCGAGTGGTAAAAGGCATATCGTCTCTTGGTAATGGCGTAGTACATGACCCAGGCGGCGTAGAGCATACTTAGAGATAATTGAAACAGGTAACTAAGTGCGGGAATGGCAGTGTCGAAATGTGCGGGGCGGCGCGAGTTCTCATAGGGACCAAAGCTGTTGAGGCAGCTGAACAGGATGTCGAGGAGGATAAGGGCAAAACCGACCCATTTGATGATGACTTTTTCTTTGTGGCGTGGAAACAGGCGTATCAGAGTCTGGACTTGGGCGAGCCATAGGAATATGTCGGACACAACACGCGAAACCTTGATTTCCATTCCAGCGACGACCTGGTCACGTAGCTCCATGGCATCGATGAAACCGTCCTCGTACTGGCGCTCGGCAATCTTGAAGGTGTCGGCAGTGGCGAGCGTAAGCGATATGGCGACGGTCAGGGCTGCGGCCTTTTGCAGCCATGGGCGGCTGCCCACGCCAATGATGGATCCTCCTCCTGAAGCACCGCTAATCATGCCACGGCGTCCCATGAGGCCTGACCGTCCAGAGGCATTGCCGACGAAGAAGGTGCGCGGCGTGATGATGAGCATGATTACGAGCATCCAGGCGATAACGGTGGCAGCGCCTGTGGCATAGGCCTGAGGGGTGATGGAGGCGTGGAAGGGGTCGCGCATGTCGGCGATGCTGGTGACGCCGCCGGTGCCATCTTCGATGGTGTTGCCGCCGGGCGTGTTGGAGCACAGGGGACGGAAGAGGGCGCTTTCGGTGAGGGTGATTGTGTTGCCGGGCGAAATCTCAATGGTGCCATGGGCGGGCAGTTTGTACGAGGGACAGTGCTAGGCGCCCGGGTTAGTCGCGTTGTTGGAGGCGTGTCGCGGCGGACAGCAGAGGGCTTACATAGGGCGTCGTGGCATCGGGCGCGCGACTGTCCAGGAGACGAGAGGCGGCAGGCCACGAGTCGGCCTCCCACATGCTCGATCGGGGGGCTATACTGGTCCAGCAGCAGTTGGTGACGGATGGAGGAGTCCCATGGATGTTCAGGCGAGCGGCATCGGATGTACGGGGTTGTGGAGGAGGTGGGTTCGAGAGTCGAGCGTCGCGGTTGTGGGTTAAGCGTCGAGGCCAAGTGGGAGTGGGCTGGGCGAAGCTTGAGGGCACGCCGGCGGCCTGGTGGCACCTGCCGTTCCAGCTTGTCTCATCTCGGCCGTGATTGGTCCCATCCCTGCAGCGCCCGGCCAGCCCCATTGCAGAAACAGCGCCGGCAGCCCTTTCCACCGTGGGCGCCCCCCAGTCGCTTTCCACTCGCTTCCCCGTCGCTGTCCTTGCCCATCGAGCCTCATCCCAGCCCTAAAACGTCGCACGAGCGCGTTGCTGGACGACATCAAACTCTGTCCGTCTAACGGCGACGGCTAGCGCTCCTGGTGTCTCTGGCACCCTTCCCCTCGACCCTCTTCCCCGGGCGCCAGCTAGCCAGCCTCGGAACACGCGGGCGACGGCACTGGCGATAGCAATGATGATGGCGATGGCGATGGCGAGGTCAAAGCCAAGGACAAGGTCAAGGGCATTATTACTTACTTACTGCCTCCGTGTCGCGCCGAATGAGCGCCTTCGGTAGACTGAGAAGGGCATCGGACGCAATCGGGCCTCGCCTCAATTCTTTTCAGCATAGCCTGCCTGTGCGGTGCGGTGCCCACAGTGCCACAATACCACGCGCACCCCCCAGCTTTTTCACCCACGCCGCAGCCACAGCCCAGCGCAGACAGATTGGCAGAAACGACGGAGGCTGCCATGTCACTGCCAGGCCATGTGCCACTGTAGGCTGTGTCCCAGCACTCGACAGCATTACAAGACACTGGCTGCCACTGCTAACGGCAGACGCCGCATTCGAACCAAGTGCACATTGCCTCCGTGCGCTTACTAGCAGGTTTTACTCATGCATCATGGCATGGCGTGCTTCGACTTGACAGTCGCTCCTTCTTCGCGCGAGAACCTGCGACTTGGCTCGCGCACAGACGCAAACATGCAGACTGACTGACTCTCCCTCACACACATACACATAGTACACACACACATATATTCTCTCTCTTATAGCCCTGCAACAACACGAACAACAAGATCCCAATGCCAGAGCCAAGATGTCCAAGGCGATGCTTACATTCCACTTGTTTACGCCGGATGCGCTGCCGTCAACCTACGTGCGTGCGCTTTCTCTCCGACGTCCGAAGCCTTCTCCCCGTCATCTATCATTCCTCGTTCAACTGACGCACCCTACCTTTGAGAACATCACGTTTCATCTTGCCTGATATGTGCCTATAAATGCGCTCCACTATATGACCAAGCTGCAACACCGACCGCGTATTGGCCATGAACGCCCAGAGCTCGATTCCTTCCTAAACTGTTACGATGCACTCGGCGACTACTCTTGTCTACTTCTTCACATATGCACATATTTCCCCGAATCAAATGGCGCCTTATAATTCTTCTAGCCCCCTTACCACTCAATGCAGATGGTGTCTATGTACCGTAAACAACTCAGGAGTAGCGTCAGTCCTTACTGCTTACTACCATATCGACTTCTGGTAAGACCCACCCTACTAACCTGCATTTCAAATTGAATTTGTATGCGTCTTGCACGGATGCTACTCCATCGGTGATCAAGTAATCCCGTGTACATTGCGTAGACCACCTCACCTGGCCAATCCTCTGCTTTGGTTTACCTGCTCTCCTATTTGTAATCTTTGTTTGGTAAACCACTGCTGGGATATCCGTGGAATCTAACTATGACCTTGTCAAGTCCCACCTTTGAGCACTGTTTAATGCGACCACTTTTAGACCTTGGCGCGTCCTCGAGTGGCACCATTGCCCTTGCTGTAATACATTCCAACTACTGTGAGATGGTAGTTGATATTGGCACCCATCATTTAGGAAATCTTACATGGACTATTTGGGCCGTGCGGATATCCAAAAAGCAGCAAACGACAAAGGCCCGTCTAGAGATTAGATGCTTGTGCTTGCACTTGCAACAAAGCAGAAGGTATAGGGAACTGGTGGCAAAACCTGTCTCTTTTCTGTTGACAATCAGCATCCCACACACTAGCTATAACACACATGTACAGAGATATCGTTGTAACAGCAAAGATGATGGTCTCTGAGAAAGATGACGTGACGGAGTGTTTCGTGCATGATGACGCTGCTGCACGTGCTCGCGCGCCTCGCTGGACCCTTGCAATCTTTCTACACACTTTCGCCCCACTCATTGAAGAATCGTGCTGTGCCTCCTTGCACATCTAATTGCTATCCAGAGCAACCGAAAATGTACATCTGAGTCTACACAAGCTGCAGATCATTCCAAGAAAGTCACAAAGTTTCCAGCGCCGTAGGACTGTTTGCGCAACGCGCACACTCAACGCGACAGCGACGCGCACAGCAGAATCTGGCAGTCAGCAGTGAGACACAAGCAGTAAAGTAAATTTAAAAGAATCCGTTCAGGATGGCGCGCAAGAAAGCTCGGGACAATAAGCGGCAGACCAAAATCAATTTCTCGCCTGCCTCCCAAACATCGCGTGCAACTAGATCCTCCGCTACACCCATGGCTGGCGCGTTCCAGAAGCCACAAAAGCCGACAAAAGGTAGCGCCAGTCGGGCATCGAAGAAGACATATCAGGAATCAACGAGCGAAGACGAGTTGGCACAGGAGACAGAGAGAGGCTTGCGCATAGGCATGTTCAATGATCGAAACAATCACTCAAGTGGCTCTTCAAGCTCAGAAGAGGAGCAGCAAGTTGAGAAGCAGCCCCAGTCAAAGTCCAAAAAGCGAAGACGTGAGGCAACATCAAGCGGATCTGAAGGCGAGGCAACTATTGTAGTGATACCACGCAAACGTCAACGGCACGCTATCAAAATCGAAATCGAGAGCTCAGAAGAAGACAGGAAGAGAAAGAAGAAGAAGAAGAAGCAGGCAAAGCCAGAACCTGCGCCACGCGCCACTCGAAGAGGGGTTGCTAGAAAGGCTTCTACTCCAGACGAAGAAGAAGAGGAAGAAGAAGAAGAGGAGGAGGAGGAGGAGGAGCGAGATGAGCATACTCCGCCTCGTAGTGTCAGGCGCAAGCTTAAGAGACGGAGACCCGCGTCTAACGATGAGGATGAAGATGAAGATGAGATGCACGGAGCCAACAAAGACTCTGCATCAGATGCGGAAGATTCAGATGGTGCTGGTGATACGAGGGATGACGAAGAGCAAGAAGAACTCAAAGAAGATCTTGCATTCTTACGATCATCTCCAGTTGCAGACAGTCGTAGGTCAACAAGCACAACGCTAAAGAACAAGCGACAAGAAGCTCTGGAAGCCCTGAAGAGACGAAGGGCTGGCACAACTGAGGCTTCGTCTTCAGCAACGCCTGTGCGGCGAAAGACAGTTGTCATAGATTCCGAGTCCGACTCCGATTCAGAACTTGAGATCATTAAGGAAGAGAGGGATAGCGACGTAGAGGCTTCGGACCAGGGCGACAGCGAGGAGGAGCAAGAAACCAATGCTTTTGACATGTTTCAGGAAGATCAAGATGATGAGCAATTCATCGACGATACGGAGAACATAATCGGAGAACCCGCAGGGAACGAGGACTTGGATGAGCTGCGGTTAACCTTGAGTTTCTCCCGAGCAAAGACAAAGGACCTATTCAGACATGCTGTCGAGTGGATGGTTATGAAAAAGATCCACCCCGGTTTCGAGGCAACCAAAAATATCTATACGTTGACTTTCCGGAAACTCGACGACGAAGTCAAAGGCCTCGCAGGATCAAAGTACACATCAGCAGCCTGGACTTCCGAATTTACACGCGCTATCCGCGCACGACCAGACCTGACGGTTGTCGACCTTAGTGACAGCGAGAAAGCCGTAATGTCTCCTCACTGCGAAGCCTGCAACCGCACCAACCACACTGCAAGCTCCGAGCTCCTCTTCCAAGGCGCGCCGTACAACCCAGACACCCTCGAACCCATCTCTACCGATTCCGACTCGGACTCGGACTCGGACTCCGACAGCTCCTCCACCTCTTCTGCCCTCTCCTCAGACTCCGAAACCCTCCCCAACGGCGAAAAACCAACCTACAACTACCAAAAAGAGCGCATACCCCCTGAATCCCACCGCTTCCCCGTCGGCTCAACCTGTAAAGCCAACGCCCAGGTCGCACACACCTTGTACCACTGGCGCTACCATCTCTACCAGTGGGTCAAGGATTACCTCAAAGCAGAGGGTCATTTCACCGAGAAGAAACTGGTCAAGAGGGAGGGCTGGAGTGATCGCAAGAGAGCCAAGGCTGTGGGCAAGATTCTGAAAAGGATGGAGGAGAAGGGCCAGATTCGCGAGTTGTATCATTCGTATAAGAATCAAATTACTGCGGCGGTCGAGGCGGATAATCGGTTTGAGAATGGGTGGGGGAGACGCGGGAGGTAGGGTTGTTGGGTTGTGTATGTGGATATTCAATTGGGGAGTGTGTTTTCTTTTTGCTTGTGTAAAAAAAAAAGTTGGGAAGGGGAGGGGGAGTTTGTATAGTAATTTGAATACTACACTTGGTATCCTGTGGGTGGGATAATGTTCAAACAGAAGATACTAGTTGATTACCTTGGAGAACGACAATCCCGTTGTACAGTGAGCAAGTGAAGAGTTCAAAAAAAGAGCAACACATGTATTCATTTCTCTGGGTATCGTACTTTTTTTTACCATCATGACGTCGACTTTTTCCCCCAAAATAGAGCGCTTACAACATCTCATCCACCTCCTCGGGCACTGCTACACTCTGCGCTACTACCGCAACATCTCCTTCCTTCCCCTCGTCCTTGACTTCGCCCGCCTCATCCATATCCTCATCTCCAACCCACTCCCTCCCCCTCTTCACGTCCACCTCCTCCCCATCCCCCAGCACACTCTTCTTCCCTTTCTTCCCCCCCTCCCCATTAATATCCTCCCACCCCTTCGCCCTCTCCACCACCTTCCTCCCCTTGCCCGCACTCTTCAACCGCTTATTCGCCAACTTATCCATATTCTCCTCTGCGCGCTCCAGTCCCTTTTGGTGGCGCAGCCGCTGCGCACGCGTCATATTTGAGGTTTTCTTCTGGCGCTTCTGGATGCCTGCGTCTAGGGCGGCGAGGGCGTGCGGGTTTAGGGTGGACGGGCGGGAGGGAGAGGTGGAGTCTCGGGTTGTGTGTGTGGAAGGTTGGGCGGAGAGGGGGAGGGAGAGGGAGGGGGAGGTTGCGCGGCGGGCGGCGCGGGAGTGGATTGTGACTTCTGTTTTGGGAGGTTAGTGGGATTTGGGAGGGGGTTATATGGGGCGTTTTGAGGGAGGACGAACGGCGCTTTTTGACTTTTGCAGTTTTGGCCATTGTGTATATTGGGGGGAGTTTTTTTGTTGTTGCGGTGATTGCGCGGAAGTTGTTTGATGTGGTAATCTTGTTTTTTTTTCTTTTGTTTCACAAAAGTACTCGACCTATCTGGTCTATATGGCGAATAAGAAAAAAAAAGTGATATTATTTTCGAGTCTCACGCGCAGAGGTTTACAAGGTGCGAGTGTTTGAAATGCCGCGGAATCGGGAGTCGCAAATCTACAAAAAAGTTCCCCACTAGCTCGTCGAGGACCGAAATTCCGGATCCACTTCGGCCGCTAGTTGCATGTCCGCACCTTCTTCAGTAGCCGCAAAGCCCTTGCCCTGCGAACATTCACGCCAACCCTCCGCCACCCACTGCTGTCGCCCATCGCTCTTCGACCGTCGCCCGCGTACGCTCGCCTCTCTCCCATGTCGCAGACAAACACACCACCGCGTTTGCTCTGTTCGACACCGTCCATGCGCTGGCCCGAGGGCTGAAAGACTGGAACCCTTTCCCATTTTGCGCCTTCACTGATTTATCATCATTCACCAACCTTCGCTCCCGTTCGACCACCCGCTTTTTTCTTCCAACACAAAAAACAGCGACGTGGTGTCTTGCACGTTTCAGCTTTATTTTTTACAGCAGCCCCCCTACGAGCTATGAGCTACGGCGAATACCCCGAACTTGACGCCTATCAACAGCGCTGGAACACATCCGACTCGCATTCCACTACCACTTCCGTTTTCCTGGGAACTGTCATAGGCGCATATTTCCTCCTCAGAGCCCTCGACTATCTAGGCTTTCCTGTCGGTTTCTACGTACGCCGGTCTATTAGGATGGCCACCAATGTCTTGCGCTCACGGGCGTCTTCCGTCAGCTCCGCGACTGGATCGGACTCAGATGATGCAGCGGCGCAGAGCGGAGGCATGTTTGGCAGCCTCTTTGGGATGAGCCCTGGCAACTTGCTCTCAAAGGGCGTCAGAGGCGTCGCGAGCGCTCTTTCCATGGCTTCCGGCGACGTCCCGCCTGGCTTGGGCAACATCAGCAACTCTTGTTACCAGAACAGCGTCATCCAAGGCCTTGCCTCACTTCCTTCGCTACGCGACCATCTCGCCAAAACCACATCCGAACATCCCTCGCTCTCGCCGGAAAGCACCAACGGCGCGCTTTTCGAGATAATCACGAAACTCAACGATCCAGAGAACAAGGGGCAGCATTTTTGGATACGCGGCAAGCTCAAGTCGATGAGCACCTTCGAACAACAAGATGCGCAGGAGTATTATAGCAAGATATTGGATGCGTTGGATGAAGAGGTCAAGAAGACTGCGAGCAGTAAGAGGCGATCCTCGGTCTCCTGGCTGGAAGTCACAAAGATTCTCAGTGACTCACCAAATGCAGATGAAAAGACACAGGAAGGAGAGAAAGGCGATTCGGGGAAGCCGGCCGTACAGGCTCCAGCGAACCCTCTTGAGGGCCGCCTCGCCCAGCGCGTCGGCTGTACATCCTGCGGCTACTCGGAAGGTCTCACACTTATCCCCTTCAACTGCATCACCGTCTCCCTGGGAAAGAACCATGGTTACGACATTCGCGAGTGTCTTGACGAGTATACGAATTTGGAGTTCATCGACGGTGTCGAGTGCGCAAAGTGCACATTACTTAAGCTACAGAAGACTTTGACTCCTCTTGTGTCTAAGAAGCCAGAATCGCCGTTGAAGGCAAGACTCGACGCCGTGCAAGAGGCTTTGGAAAAGGAGGACTTTGAAGACAAAACACTACTAAAGACTCTGAATGTGCCCAAGAAGAACTGGGTGCAGAGTACCAAATCAAAACAGGCGGTTGTCGCACGAGCACCCCAGGCATTGGTACTTCACATCAACCGCAGTAGTTTCAATGAGTACACTGGTATGCCGTTCAAGAATACTGCTGGTGTGTCATACCCGAGTGTTCTGGACCTTGGCAACTGGTGCTTGGGCGGTGCACCGGCTGGCTCTGAAAAGCCCGCTATGTCTGAAGAAGAGTGGCCCAAAGATCCTAGAGAATCCATGTTGCCAAGGGGCAAGCCCATATTCGACTCTCCTTTCCAATACCGATTGCGAGCTGCTGTCACACACTACGGCTCACATGGTAACGGACATTATGTGTGCTACCGGTCACACCCGAAGACTGCCTCCAAGCCAAGCGAGAATGAGGAGGTTGATGCTTCATCGACAGATGGCAAGGAGGTTGAGGACGAAAAGGAACAAGAAGAGACACAGGAAGAAGCTGTCACATCCCCGTCGGAACAATGGTGGCGCTTCAGCGATGACAGTGTCTACCCTGTCTCTGAAGAAGAGGCGCATCAAGGAAACGTCTTCATGCTCTTCTACGAGCGCATTGATGAATCAACGCCTGTCCCATCTTACCCCGCCACGGAGAACGTCACGGTAGTAGAGGATGCTCCCTTACCACCAGTTGATGCCGCAGCCTATGCACAAGCATCTCCAAACGTAGAAGCTACTGCCATTGCCCTCCCAAGCGACGACGATGACGATCTTCTCCCAACTAAGCTAGCCACCAAACCGCAACCGCCTCAACTCTCCATACCCACTACCCAAATACCCACAAACGAGACACCCTCCCCATCCAGCGTCGCTACAACCACCCCAACAAAACCAACATCATCATCCCCGCCCCACCTCGACACAGAAACAGAAGCCAGCGACGCGGACTCCGAAGACGCCCCTTCGACCCAACTCACCTCGGACTACGAATCCGAAGCTGACGTTGACGTCCCTGCGCCCCCACTCAAGTCTCTGCCCGTTTCTTCGTCTGCTAAAATATCTCCAAACTTGATGCGTACAGCGGGAAATGCATCAAATAGGGGTCAGCAGCGTAAACGACAGAGTTTGCCGCTCGTGTCTGCGACGTAGTTTACTCGTGGCGCTAAGCGTATCAAACTCGACTATGTACGGTAAGGGGGTTTGTGCGTGGAAGGAAGAGAGAGAGAGGGAGAGATAGAATGAGGGGGCAGTTTGTGGCATGTTTGATTTTTGTGACTGGGGATTTATGAGGAAGGAGGAAATAAGGGGAGATTGTAAAGGATAGGATTGAATTGAATGGGGGGAATCGGTATAGGCGTTTATGTTACCTGTTTGCCCCCATAGGGTCAGGTTTGGGCGGTAGTCTGTGTTCTGGTTTTTTTTTGACTTGTTTATTTTTTGATTCTTTCTTCTTCTTCTTCTTTTTCTGGGTGTACGGGTACGTTACTGTGTTTACGATCAAAGCACATGGGTTCTTTTTCTTCTTCTTCTTCTTCTCGATACGTTTGAAATGAAATATTCGATGCCTTTAAACTTACATCTGTCTTCGTGTGCTGAATCGCAGGTGTGTGATAACTATGTCATTAATGCTATCTATCTACAATTGTTTATATCTCTACATTACATATCGGTGCTAAATCCCTAACGCTCAACTCGCAACCCTATATATATATGTATAAAATCTTACCCACCCATGACATAATCCTCATCAACTTCAAACTCCCCATCCCGCTCCGAACCAACCAAACTAGCAACTTCATCCTTCTCTTCGCCCCGCCACCCCATCCCCGCCCACGTCCGCCCACCCGTCCTCATCACGCCTTCGAACTCGCCCAGCGCCTCGAACCACCGCTCTCGCCTCTTGCTCTCGCGAACCCCGCCCTCAAGCGCAACCCGACTCGCCCGCGTAGTCCGCGGCTTGCGCGCTGGGCCTAGGCCACCGGTAGTGGTGGTGGTGGTGGTAGTAGGACCGAGTACGTCGGACATTCGCGCGCGGATCTGCTCGAGACTCTGCTCGTGGGCGACGATGCTGCGGACGTAGGGGGCGAGGTCGAGCGTGATGATGCTGAAATTTCGATCGAAGGATGAGGGGGTGAGGGTGAAGGAGGTGCGTTCTGGCATGAGTTGATCGGGGGGCGCGGCGAGGCAGTCTAGTGCTGCTGCGAAGTCTGCGCGGGTAAGGTGTTGTTTCGAGGTTTTGAGTTGTTCGTGGCGTAAGATTGCTTTGGCGTAGGCGGGCTCGGAGGTTGGTGAGGAGGGGCTGGGGGAGGGAGTGCAGCGGGTTTGGGAGAGAGCTGGGTAGGTGCGGTGGATGAGGAGGTGGGTTTGGAGGGTTAGGGCGGTGGAGAGGTGGAGGAAGTCGGTTGTGTGGTCGATTTGGAGAAGGGGGGCTGCGAGGGTGTAGTTTTGACGGGATTTTTCGGGGATGGGGGGTTGGGAGGCGTCGGTGGGTTGGGTGTGGGAAGGGCTGTAGGAGGGGAGGTCTACGCGGCTGAAGATATCTGCTGCGCTGAGAGACTCAGTATATGCGTCTAGACTGTCGAGAGCTTGCAGGCGGTGGGATGGCTCTGCGTTCTGTGTGTTGAGCATCTGTTGGTTGCTCATCATTGGGGCTCCCCAGTCTGAAGGGCTGATGCCCCAATCTGTCCAGACTTCTTGCAGGAGTTCTTCTTCCTTGTCGAAGGCGGTGTTGGTGGAGGCCTCAAAGATGTTGTGCGAGAGCCAACCCATGCCGGATTGATATGTGCCCTCACTAGCAACTCTCAGCGTTTGACCATGTTTATCAACGTCTTTGCCTGGCGGCCAGCGCTGATACGTCCACTCCAAGCCACCCTTTCTGTCTCCAACGGACATTTGACACCAAAAGTCAAGCTCCATGATACTAGCTCGGAGATCACAGCCTTTGGATTGGTAAAGCTCCTTCACAGCTTGTCGCGCAAGAATGTGTCCTTCCCTGCCAGCTAAAACAAGTAGGTAGTCCGTGGCGAGTTCCACAGGAGGAGGTTGAAGTCGCAAGACAGCAGCAAGTGGTAGGTCGTGCATTGGTATTTGTCTTTCATCGTTACAAGTGATAACGATGGGACGTTTGGAAAGCGATGCAATCTTTGTGATCTGTGCCCAGAACTGCTGGTCCTCGTCGAATAGAATGTCGGCTTCCTCAATGAGAATCAGAGATTGCTTCTGAGATGTACGTGACGTTGTTGTGAGTGGAAGCGTAGCTTGGGCCGGTGATGGTGCTACCTTCTTGATTTCGTGTGGTTGTGGCTTTGGTTTTGGAACCGTTGCTTTGGCCTTTGCTTGAAAGAAAGAGGTCATGGTCCCTTGCCGGCCGCTACTGATGTCTTTTTCAAGCGCATCGACATGCTCTTCTTCCGCATTCTCTACGGGTTGAGAAGGCTCTTGGATCGATGCTGCGTTGCGTTTGTGGTTCACTAGATGGTTTCCGGTCATGTCGCCAACTTTGTCCTGAATATCTTTGCCTGAGCGGCGCATTCCGGCATGGATCTCGAAGACTTCAAATCCCATCTCTTTAGCCACCGCATGAACGGTTGCACTTTTGCCACATCCGTGAGGCCCGCTGATAAGTATGACATTCTTATCACGCGTCCATTGTGGCCGTCTGAAAGACCCTAGCTCCATGTAGCTTCTCCCCTCTACATGAGGCAGCATCACCATGTCTTCTTCCTCCTCTTCTTCATCGTCTGGCACAATAAAGTCATCAAAGGCCTTCTTGCGTTTCTTCCGGGGTGGCTGTTTCACATCTACTGTAGCAGCGGTTTTTGATGCACCACTCACAGTCATGACTGTTAGACTTTGCAACCAATCTTTGAGAACTACTGCATCTGTGCCTGTCTGCAGCACATGAGCCGAAGACTTTGGGGAATACTTTTGCGTCCAGGATTGTACCTCACACTTTCCCTCATCAAAGGGTGTGAGATTGTACTCAATTTGTCTAAGGAGATCTACAACGGCTCTGTGGAATGATTGTTGTTGCCCGGTAATAGCTAGGGAGGGTGATCTAGCCAACAGCTGCTCATGTACTCTACGCTTAATATTGGGACCTGTGGTGAGTAGACGTGTTGGAAGTCGGACATCTTGAGGAGGTGCAAATTCGGTCGTACGGTCTTGGTTTTTCCGGGTTTGATCCTTGGAAAGATCCAGTGCAAGTCTTGCAATCATATATTCATGTCCTGGAAGGGATACAACAGCATTCTTCATCTTTCGTGGCCTCAATGCTAGTTGCACACAGTTGGAATTATCCAGGCGCGTTGGCAAGTTCGTCGGCTCCATATTACGAACATGCACATTTTCGCTAGTTGGCCACAAGGGCTCGTTGAGACCAGATTGTTTGCCAGCTTTGCTTGTTTGTAGTCCCCTATGATAGAACGAGGTGGGCTCTGGTGATTCGTCTCTACGAGTCTCGGCACGCAACTTCCCAGGAGTGACCGCACTTTTCCTGGGGGTCGCGGCGGGCAGCTCTGTGACGACTTTGACTGGAGGGGCGTCCTTCTGAGCCTTGCCAAGAAAGAAAGGATGCGTTACTTTCGACGATGCAGCTGGTTTCGGCTGTGCGTTCTTCTGAGATGCTTCGCGTTTAGTCGATTTCCTCTTTGCACTCAGGATCTCTTCGATCTTTTGGCCAATGGCAGATCGACTCGCTGGGTCTGTGCCATATTTGATAACCGTCACTGTAGGAAGGACTTTAGCATGCTTGGGCTTCCGACCTCTTCTCTTCTTTGGAGGTGATATCGGATCTACTGCTAATCTTGGTGGGCTAGAGACAAGTCTACCGCTTTTGGTGATTTTGATTTGCTTCTTTGGTGTTACGTTCTTTGGCTCGTCCAGTGGGGGTTCAGACGGAACAGCGACTGGCTCCGGGTGAGTTGGCAGTGACGGCGTACTGGGTGTGGTGGATGTGTTTGAGTGTTCCTTCTGGTCATATTCAATCGCTTCGGGCACACCAGTCATATTCACGTCGGTATGCACATGGGTGTTTGGCCGTAAATCCAAGTCCGTTGGTCCATCGACCTGTATCTGTAATTGTTGGTGCCAGTCCAGAGAAGTCGGTTCAAGTTGTGCCAAGGCCGATGAATCGAGCAAGGGCTCTGGAGATTGCGTCTTTTGCCTTTTTCTTCGATCGTGGTTGGGATCTACCTCCAAGGAAATTTCGACAGAGTCGCTTATGCCATCCACAATATCCCCATTCGTTGCTTGTGCCGGTGGAGGCCGAGTAAAGCGATCCAGAGATGCCTGGTTCTTTAAGTGAGATACAAAGTTTTTCTCTTTTACTCCATCATTGGTTGGTGCCCTCTTCTTGCGGCCTTTACTAGGCTTAGAGTCTGTATCCGTGGATTCGGGGGCGTCTTGGACGTTGTTCGCCGAGGCATTATTCTTGGGTTGTGAAGGATTTGGTACCTGACCGTCTATGTGAAGCGTAAGCATTTAGTCGTTCACCATCTGGCCAGAAACATACTAGGGGGTTTAGAAAAGAATGGATGTACGGTCTTTGCCTCCAGATTCATTGCAGGTTGTACTGCGGAGAGGGCCATATATACGTTCAGAGACTACCAGAGCATTCGTAACATCGGGACTGGTCTATAGAAACAACAGATCGGGCTGAAATATGGATTGCGTGCGTAAACGTCGTAAAGTGAATGCATACAATCGCAATCATTAACGATGACCAAAAGACACTTGCAGAACACGCGACGTGACGCGCTAGAGACGCCACTGCAGCCACACTTTACTACCCCTGCACGTGTCTTCCACTAGCCACAGATACTCGCCAAGAATTCGCACTCTGGTCACCGCCCTATTTTCTGCCGAAGCTCCAACTTTTTTCTTGACCAGCACTCGACCACCAAACTAAAGCACGCGCTCCGCCCTACGGCTCACGCAGACCTCAGATAACCCGACTTCCAGGTCTGGCAAACGCCATGTCGTCCGATCAGCCCATTGGCGCTCCCTTCACTTTGGCATCGCTATCTAAGCCTGTCGGTTCTACGAATGGACGTGTGCACGCTGCTGGCGTCTGCAGTATTAGCGGCATTAAGAAGAGGAAGCGCACAGAGATTGCCGTCGGCGTTGACGGTGAAGGCGTATCAATCTACAGCGTATGTACTTCACTTTGCGATTTGCGACAGTCACTCAGATTTTCCAGCTCCAAAATCCCCAACTTGTAACCTCGTATGCGCTGCCGCCGAGCGCCACTTTTACAACCGCTCCATATTCCATCTACCGAAAGGGCCCTTCCAAGACTCCAGCGCATCGCTTCACATACGCATCTCTTACCGGTTCGTCGCCCGCTGATAAGCCACAACTCATCTGTTTCCACGACAAGACCAATGGAGAACACACTGAAACTATAAAGACGACGTACACTCCTTCTGCTGCTGCGCGTATCTCCACATTAGACTCACTTCCTGTGGCTCCCGGCGGTTCTTCGAAAGATGCGACTCATGATATCCTTGCGACCTTTGAAAATGGCGATGTCATATGTCTTTCCGCAGACCTGGACACGGTCAGATGGACTGTAAACCTTACATCACTCGTTTCTTCTGGAGAATCTCAAGTCGCGATCGAATACATCACACTCGCTAGCGCCAGGTCTGTGATGCGGGGATTACTTCGAAGCCGACAAGACGTTGCGACAATTTTGGACCCTACCGCAGACAACACATCCGATCTTCTTGACCTTGTGCAGGTGCTCTGTGTCCTTGGTCGCAAGACAAATGGCGCAAGAGCCCTGACACTTTTGCAAGTACAACCAAGGTCTGCGGACCTTGCCACCACTCAGCTCTCGTCTGTAAAACACTTGCTTGCCTTGGACCTTCCTGCGCCGTCAAAAACGTTCCTTTCACAGAATAGTTCTATGCAGATTACTCTGCACGCATCTAGCGGCGCGCTCCATCTCATTGTTAAAGGAACGCTGCTTTCTTACGATCTCTCTGGAACTGTACCAAAGCTTTCTTCCGAGTTCGTTCTTCCTGCGCCAGGCGTCGACGCATTCCTTCGAACCGGGCAGGACGTGATCTTTACTACGTCGCAAGATTTGTGCAGAGTATTTGACGTCAAATACAATTCCCTACAAGCTTTGCAATCAATGGTCGCCAGCGCTTCCGCTTCAGAGCTTACTAGTCCTTCAAAGAAGAGGAAGCACGCACAACCAGAGACCAGTGAACATTCAGCGTCCCCTTGCAGTCTGGTGGCGTACTACGCCGACATTGGTTTGGTGGTAGCTGTTCGAGAAGACGAGGTCTTCGGTATGCAATTTGGAAGTGCAGCACCTCGGAAGCGGGCTAAAACTGAGGGCACTTTGCTCATCGATGCTCTTGGCAAAGGCATTGCACCGGAACGAAAAATTGGTACGGGAATTGATGGCCAAGCTTGGCAAGAGAGGAAGTGGAAACTGAACAAATACGCTGCCAAGGGCAAGATTCCAAAGTTTGAACAACACTTCGCCGCAGATCTGGGCATTGAACTTGAGAATGCCGAAATAGCACAGAAACGTGAAAATGAGGTTTTGGGCGGACCGTTGACTAACGGTGGTGGACCAAGCCTCCCAGAAGATGACACTATGGTCGTCGACAAACTCGATGAGGAGCCTGCAAAGGATGAATTACCTCGGTGGAAGATGCCCACTGCTGTTCCTGGACATCAAAGACAGCAATATCGTCAGTATGCGCTGTATGCACTGAGTAAGATATTCTACTGCACAGATGCTAGCGAAGCCGATCAGGAACCTCGTGAAGTTTTGAAGATTGGTTTCTTCCCACCTAACGTCTTCCAGTGGCTTCTGCAGACCGGCCATCTTACCAAGGAGTCCATTCGTCGATCACTCCTCGATGAAGCAAACGGCCAGATCCAGTCTGTGCCGATTATCACTGACGGCGATATTGTCAAGGCGCTGGTTGATTACGATTCTGATTTGCACATTCTCTCTGCTGTCTTGAATCACACTCAGTTCCTCCCAATCGGCGAAGTCGTTCAGGCTATCAAGCTTCTCATCCAAAGTATAGATGATGAGCCCGAACAAGCTCAAGAAACGAAGCTATTGACCAATGGTACTGCTCCACCCGAAGTCGAAATGGACGTCGATTTCGCCTCTGAGTTAGAGGCAGCCTCGCATGAAATCGATCACGCCCTGTCAGTTCTCGACCATGGTCTCCTGACCCGGAGCCACACCTTGCGGCCTGCACTTATTCGACTACACACTTTCCCTGCCTCGATCATCAGCTCAACACTTCGGTCTATGCTGCCACGACGGGATCTGGAATCACTCATTCGCCTCCTGCATTTTGAATTGAAGAATGGAGGCTGGTCATCACCATTGGGCTTCGTTGATTTCGAAACAGCTGGTGCAGATAATCCTGGAGAGGATCCGGATGATCATGCTGTTTCTATTATTGCTTCCCTACTTTCGAGCACACTTGATGCCATTGGCGCTGGAGCTTGGCTCGCGTCGGTCGGCTCAACCTCTGGATGCGAAAACGGTGACGACATGCTCAAATCATTGAACAAGGATGCATCCGTCGCTCTCAGTGGTTTCTTTGAAGCGCACTTCATTCGTGGTCTACTATCTGAGTTCCTACGCTACGCATCGACGGTGCCTGCTTCAAACAAGCCTTCCGTTCGGACTTTGGAGATGCAGGGCAAGCCGTTTGGAGTCACAAGTAAACTAAATGGAGAGGAGGATTTGCCCATGTTGCCGCTCGGCGCAAAGGCAGACCAGGGTGTAGAAAAGATGAAGAATAGTAAAGGCGGCAAGAAGGAGCAGCGGAGCAAGCGGGAGATGGGCATGCTCATCAGTAAAAAGGTACCAAAGTACAGCTTCGAGCGCATTGTCGTTTGAAATACTGCATTATCGCTGTCAAGTTTCTGTAGCAGCTCAAAATCCTCGTTTTCGCAATTTTAATGAACAAGTACTACCTTTCCCTGTTGATGCCCAGTCTTTCATGGGTGATAGCATACTCTATACGGGTTCATGCATGATAAACGGTGGAAAACGTCCTGTGTATTAAAGGACTACTACCAGGCAAGGGCCCCTAGTCAGTTAATGGCAACGTTGCTATTTTGGTAACAAAAAGCTCTCGACCCCTTCGCAATCCATGTTCTCCATTTCGGCTATAAAATCCATCACCAATATGACAAAGTTTTCGGTTATCTCAAGAACATAAGCATCTAATGACCAAGACTTTTGATCAGCAATGGTTGATGACTATGTATGGTTGAAGAACTGGCTGACATGCAGTTGGCCCAAACCTAAATCGTACGGTGAGCAGATCTGCGGGCCGAATGGCCCTGGCGTATGCATAGGGGGCGTACGCTAAGTTGTAAGTCTCTCTTGGCATGGTGCTTGACCAATTGCAAAGCATACTATGACGTGACTCGGATGTCCCAAGGTGCCGACACGAGCTTCCTGACGGACAATCGGGGAATTGCATAACAATTGGTTGAAGAATTCACCCTTGCTGCCCATCTTCGGCCGACAGTGGCCTGAATGTCTCTCCTCCTCTTTGCATTCTCTTCAGTTTTTGACGTGTAGACTAGTGGGACACACTCGAGTCCTTGCCGTCACAATGGCGTCTTCGGCGACAAAAAGAAATACTGATGAACGAGATGAAGCGGATTCTAACACGACTGCAAGACCGACACCCAGTGAGGAGCCGGAACAACCTACTAGCTATCAACAGAATGTGTCTACAGCAGAAGAGGACGAGAAGAAGAAAGAGAAGAAACCCTCGAAATTGAAAGCAGCATGGGGAAAACTAGGACTGGACGTTCCAACTCTTCTGATGATGGGAAAAGCAGCGTTACCGCCGACTATTGCGCTGGCCATGTATCAAGCAACCGATGTTGCGCAGACATACACGACACTAGGATACCTCACGGCCATTGTATCCATTCTTGGTTTCTGCATCATGCCGCGCGCAAAGTTCATTCAGACTATGACCATGAACCTACTCGCTACTTGTATCGGAGCGGCCCTTGCATTGCTCATGGTATGGACCGGCGTAAAGGCGCGACAACACACGACCGATCCTGCCGTACCTCCACAAGCCTACAATTCTTCTCAGTCTGCTGTTCTTGCAGTTTGGCTATTCTTCCAAATATATGTGGTCAATACTTTGAAAGCAAAGTTTCCTCAACTTGCCTTTCCCACGATAATATATGCCATATTTGTCAACGTTGCGGCAACCAGCGGCTTCTTGTTCCGAACGGTACCGCAGTGCCAGGCATTCGTCCGGAAGCTGTTGGAAACATTCTTAACAGGATTTGCAATTGCGACAGGTGTAAGCTTGTTCATTGTGCCTGTCACATCGCGTAAAGTCGTAATGAAAGAGTTCGCAGGGTACGTTGGATTGCTCAAGAGTGCCCTAGGTGCTCACAAGGCCTATTTCACCAGTCTTGAAACTAGCGATATGTTTGCGCAGAAATATGTGCCAGATACAGGAGACAAGAAGAAAGACGCAAAATCAAAGGTGAAGCCAGAGATTGAGGCCGTCAAGAAGATGACTACAGCACTGCAGCAACTGCACGGCAAACTTTCCGCAGACCTCCCATTTGCGAAACGAGAGGTAGCATTTGGAAAGCTGTCGCCCGACGACTTGGAAGTCACGTTCAAACATCTCAGATCGATTTTGCTACCGGTCCTGGGCTTGGCATCAATTATAGATCTTTTCGAACGCAGCGCGGAAATGAACCACTGGGACGGGCATGAAGACGAGCATGACGAGGCCCTTCGCAGACAAACTGTAAACGAATGGAACGAGATGTTCAGGTTTGCGCACGAGCCGCTTAGCAACATATTTCAAGCTCTTGATGATGGTCTTTCCCATGTTTTCTTGAGACTGCAGCTGGTGAAACCACCGAAGAAGAAAGGAAAGAACCAAGAAGACACGGAGGCAAAAGGTGACTCCGTCAAACCGGGATATGCTGGATTTGCCGATCACTTTCAGAAGCAGGCGGACGCATTCTTCAGTACGAAAGAGACTACACTCCACCACTGGGTCAAAACAAAGGAAATCAAGCTTAGCGATGACTACTTCACATGTCCCTCGGCTATCGATGAGGAGACCTTGAAACTTATCCCTAGTATTACGACAAGGAAGCGGGACCAACGCCAGCTCTTCATGCTTCTCTACATTATGTTCTTGCTTCATTCGACAAGTCGCTCAACGCTCGAACTTGTAAAATTTGCCGACAGTAAAGACCAAGCGACCATGAAGAACAAGCTCATCTGGCCAGGTGGGCGACGCTTCAAGAAGTGGCTGAAGAGCATTTTCCAAAGTCAAGACGCAAACTCAGAAGATGAGACGACGGTCGCTGGATTCGACAGGAACAAGACTACTGTATACATGGGAGAGGCATTCAATAAAAAGAAGGACCCAGAACATTTACCACCCGCCAATGCATGGGAAAGATTTGGAGACCGGTTACGCGGAATTCCGGCCTTTCTCCGCAGTCCTGAATCAGCCTTTGGATTCCGTGCTGCTTGTGCAACAATGAGCTTAGCTATTGTAGCCTTCCTGCGGCCGACGCAAAGGTTCTTCGTCGAACAGCGTTTGGTGTGGGCTTTGATCATGGTTGCCATTTCCATGACACCCACTGCAGGCCAGGCAATTTTCCAGTTCATACTACGTATTAGCGGAACAGCTGTAGCGATGATCTTTGCGTGGCTCATCTGGTATATTCCCGCTCAGAAGACGCCTGGTGTACTTGTTTTCCTTTGGGTTTTCGTTGCGATTGGATTTTACATTCCACTGAAGCGTTTAGACTTGGTCATTGTTGGAATTATTAGCGTTGTCACTGCTACCATGATTGTCGGCTACGAACTCCAGGTTCGCAAGATTGGCGAACAAGCAGTCATAGCAGGGACAGGCCAACCTGCATATGCCATCTACATCCTAGGCCCTTACCGTCTGGCCACTGTTATTGCCGGTCTTGCAGTAGCATTTTTCTGGACAATCTTTCCTTACCCAATCACCGAGCACTCTGCTGTCCGGCAGCAGCTTGGTGGTGCATTGTATCTCTCTGCAAATCTGTTTTCCATCATGCACGAGCAGGTCATGGGTCGTATTCGAGGAGAACTCGGCGGCGAAGAAGACAGTAAAAAAGACAGCCCAGGATACCAGCTAATCAAGGCCCGCAACAAGGTCTTTGCCAAGCAGATGCTCACTCTCCAAGGATTGAAGATGCATGCGGGCTTCGTGCGGTGGGAATTCCCACTCGGAGGCAAGTTTCCTCGAGAGGAATACGAAAAGATTATCACATATGTCGAGAAGTACGTACCACACCTTCTCCTCGAACCTCCCCCGCCGCCAGAAGCTAACAAACCACAACAGCATCGTCAACTACACAGCCCTCCTTGGCTACACCTCCGAAGCCTTCACGCACCCCTCACTAACCCAGCCGCAATCTTCGGACCCAAACCTCAAAGACCCCAACAGCAAAGCCCAATGGATCCACGACCTCCGCCGCGTAATCTCCGACGCAAAAGTAACATCCCACGAAACAACCTCCTTACTCGCCATGCTCTCCTCCTCCATCACAAACGCCCAACCTTTACCTCCTTACCTCCGCTCTCCCCCCGGCGCCCAGCTCTCGCGCAAACTCGAAATAGTCGATCCGGAGATCCTCAGTCTCAAACATATTACCGAACCGGGCTACGCGGCGTTTGCAGTCATGGCGGTTAGCACAAGGTGCATTAATATGGAGGTTGAGCGGCTGTTGAAGGCGGTGAAAGGGTTGGTGGGGGAGTTGGATTTTTCGTTTCATATTGTTAGTACGAGGGAGGTGGAGGGGGAGTCGAGGGAGACGCTGGTGCAGAGGAGTAGTAGGAAGATGGATTAAACGTCTTGTTATTTAAGATGGATCTTGTGTAAATGGCTCTTTTTTTCTTTCTTTCTTTCTTTCTTTCTTTTGGTTGCCTTTTGTATAGCTTGAGGCATAGATGGGTGAGATGGGAGAGAGTATATAATGCGCGCGCGTGTGTGTGTGTATGAGAAGCGAGGATACCTTTTAGGGTCTTATCGGGGAAGTTGAAACGATACCCATACAATTTTCAGCGAAGCAAAGAAGAGGTGTGTCTTCATAAAGAATGTTCTAATTATTACTACTCATTCAAACTATTCTAAATCGCATTATTTCGTTCATGTACCCTATCCTTTTCTTCCCCCTACCAACACTACTATTGTGAGTTTTTTCTCTTTTCATCAAGACATGACTTTTCTACCCTCTCGTTTTCTTCGTCGCCTCTTTTTTCGAACAAGAAGCGTGTTCGTCTATTTGCATCCTACTGCCTTTGCCGAGCGAATCGGCTTGAACGCACCAAATGTCTTGCAATCGCCGCCAACCGTGTTGATAGTGATGGCATTGCCTTTGCATCCGTCGTTGTCGTATGCAGTAACTATTCAACTCTGTCAGTATACATACTTCTTTTCTTTATACATCTCCTTTGCATCGCTTGGGATAGGCAAAGAAAGAGAGATAAAAACTTACCACTGCATCCACTTGGCAACTTGGCAAGATTATCCGCGGTAATCTTGAATGAATCGGTGTTTCCGCTGAAAATTGGCGAGGTACCGAAGCAATCGCCGTTGATGGGGATGTACGAGACTGATACACCTGAGCTGGTGCAGGTTTGGCCGCCCCAGATGCTGAGGGGTACACCGTTGTCGAGGCTCGAGGAGGAGGTGGCTAGAGGTGCGGCGGTGGCGCTAGAGAAGAGGGCCGCGAGGAGAAGAGTAGTGAAGCTCATTTTTGCGTGGTAGTAGAGGAAATCTGGGAGAGAGATTTTGGGGTGGAGGAAGGGAGTATAAGAGATTTATTTGGAGGTTTGTAAAGGTCGGTGTGTAGGAGATGTGTTGATTGTCTGAAGGAAGATAGCGAAGATGTAGGATAGACGCTTTCTTTTTATACATCTGTCAATGACTACACTGCAGAGCATATTTCGTAGGAGTTGCATGGATACTCTCGTTCTTTTCCGGCTAAGGAAAGGAGTCTTACCGTTTGAATGCACTTGCCCAACCTTTCCGCGGCGGTTGCATTATTGGCAATTGCAGTAGTCACAGGCCCACCACTAGTGGGTTGCATGGTTGGTGGGCGTGAGCGGGACACGGTGAGGCTCGCGGTTACCTGCTCCGTGCTGCATCTTCATCATGGACGAGGCCTTTTTGGTCGACAGGATCCGACGAGATCCGTTTGTTCTTTTTAGCGAGCGGTACAGTCAGCATAGGCTATGCAAGCCGCGGTATCCCGAATAGCAACACCAAGGTGTCTAGGTGCGATCCTGGCTCGTTTGTGTTTTGCCTGTAAGCCAACTTGAACATGGCGGGCGGAGAAGCTTCCGTAAAAACGTTGTGGTGGCTGAAAGTCTAACGTTGGACTTTGACCACCACACCGACTTAATCTTCGTTTGTTTGCGCCCTTGATTTCCCCCTTGATTCTTGAGTTCGAATTTCCAGAACGATGAGAAAGGAATAGGTAGTGTGCATTATTGACACACCAGTATAGCGTGATGCAGTAGTTGCAACTTTGTCGGCTGACTAGTACTCGTAAGTTTGACCATCGGCTGTATATGCTGGCTACTAGCCCGAGCCGTAAAATCAGTTCGCCTATGTATGCATGGTTGACCAAAAACATGCCAAAAGTCGGGCCTATTGATAGGAATCACATCTCCAATACTCGCGTCTTGTCAAAGATCGTCCCGCATCCATCGTGTAACGTGCCAGCCATGAGGTTCGTCATAGCAGGTAGATTGAAGAACGCCTAGCGCCTTACGTGTAACCATGGGCTGCTGGATACATAGGTTGTTTTCCTTTGACATGTCATTTGCCAAATGAAGACTGACAATGCGCTCTTCCTGTAGCCTAGACGCTGCTGCTGCGCCTTGAATGAAAATTGAACTGTGGGTGAGGGTCTAGACAAAGTCCTTGCAGAGACTATCTACTGCAAGCAGTATTTACCCATTCCTTTGCACATGCAAAGTCCGTAGTACATGTGTGCGCCTTTTCGAACCAGCTGCCTGGTGCTAGACCGGGCGGTGATAGTCGTTGACATGACATCGGCGTTCGTTACCGGATGTGGATCTGCACTGCGAGCCCTAGTAATAGTGGATCTCTCAAGACTAAGTAGACGTTCCGTGCCGCGCGCTAAGCCCCAAGGAATGCAAAAGGACGCAAGGCGAATCAGAATGTGCTTGACGATGATGTGTTTTAAGCCCGAATGCAAGCCGAGCAAGTGGCTGGCATATTGGCAGAATAGGGTGTTGTTGCGAGACTTTGCCCCTTCATCCAATCCTCTTTCTCTTTAATTCCACGCTTCAAGTCCTCTTCGTTGACTAACTCATGGCAGGATCGGAGGTGGACCATCATGCTGGGTGCATCGCCGAAAGAGGCTCGGAGGATCTGACAACACGCCATCCTGATCCACATGCTAAAAAATTTACATAACCACCGATCATGTTTTTCAGCCTCAGAGAACAGATGCGAAGACCGTGCACTTAACCATAGGCTGAATAGGAGCGAGCAGAGGACTTGATTCCAGGTGCTGGCACTGGAGTCGTGATACCAAGATGTTTAACCAAGCGGCGATATGTTTAGAATTGACGTTGGGCTGTTGGGGAATGGGTGCGGTCGGCGATGCAGCTGAATGTGCGGCTTATCCATTAGAATCCTGAATTCCAGCAGGGTGGTAGTCCGGCCTGCTCCGGTACAGGCTAAATTGATTCAAGAAGCTAGTTATGCCGCTTGAATTCTTGAGTGCATACTTTGACTTGGAATCCGGGTTGGTGGATGAGCGAGAAATGAAGAGCTCGATGGAAAACCATCTGAGATTGATGAGGCTGATGTTCATCACCCCATCCCACCCCACCCAGCCGTGTCCAACTATTGCCGTGGGGGTTACCCGCTGCACATTATGACCAAAAACCGAACGGACGACATGAGCTTAACTCACGGAAGCGCTAGTCACCCGCTCTCCACCATCCTTGCATAACGAATGCCTAACGCTGGTTCCTGTCGTTGCTGTCTTCACCGCATATCTAGCTGACGAGAGAGACGAGTCACTATAGATAAGAATTTAATTTGAAAATCCTAATGTGCTGCCGTATGCTGGCCGACCAGATCGCACACAAGGTTAGCTTTTGCGCAATCTTCTTGCATTCCGTGTGTAGTGAACCTGATTGTAGGGTTGGCATATACGTCAAGCCGGTGACTATTTTTACCACACAACATTTACTCTTGCGTCTCCTTCGTCACCACTGGTCATGGGTCTAAATCTGGCTCTGTCTTTGAGCCACGTCTCCTTCAATCCCGTAACAAGGTTGATATTTCCTTTCCAGCAATCAGCTCCACGCTCATCTTGCCCTGTATGCATCAACCAAACAACCCTGCGCCTGCCAAGACGGCGTAAGAGTACTCCGTGACTCCATGAGATAAACTTGGTATAGCGGGCTGCCATGCCTATTCGTTCTTTGGTTGGCGCCCTCTTCATTGTCTCAGTGACCATTGTCTGACCGCAGTCTTCAATGAAGACATAAGTAGGCGACACGCGGTAGACTCGCCAGCCATATTGTGCAGCCTCGTCTTTGAAAAAACCCGGGTTTTTTGGAATGGCCATCGTAGCAGGGCCTGATGCTCCGCAAACAGAACCCTCGATATGGCCGATTGCAGTTTTGTATAACATGACAAATAAGCGCTGAGAGCTCATAAAAGGCACAATACGCGAGTGCTCGAGTTGCTTTGGCGGACTACGGGCCGCAGGGAGGCATTTCTGACGTCAAGTAAGCTGTGTGGCTGATATCGAGCAATGCGGGTTCTACTTACGCTGCTGATGACAGCGTATTCGCTATCGACAAGACGCTTCAACATGACCTGCTGCGTCTCTGCGTCTGCAGCTGCCAGCCTAGCTTTCATAAAGACAAGTTCCAGGATTGCAATGGATCGAAAGATAACGTAGTCTCTCAAAGCAAGCTCCGAAGATCCTTTCAAAACAACAGCAATGTAAATCAACGAGAAGAAGTTGACGAATGGCGTGTCTGACCAAATAAATCGCCCTGCACGCCGAAGAGCCATGATGGGCATAACAAAACTCTTCTTCTTGCATGCTACTGCAGCGGATGCTAGGAACGCCAGGCCGAACGTAGCTGCAATTAGCGCATTCAGTACTCCTGTTGGAAGAGTCAAGTTCATGGCGATCGCGGAAGCAAGCGAGGCTATCAAGAGGATAAACCCGGTGTTTGTAAAGTACAGCTCAGCCAGCTCGCCGTCTTGATCTCTGGAGAATACGGATGTGTAGCCGTCAAGCATGACAGAAGTATCGATAGCAGCCTTGTCTTTAGCAAGAATGAATATGTGGTAAAGGACGGCTGTGCCATTACTGACTTCTTTTAGGAAGACGGTTATGCACGAATGCAACAGCAATGCGCTGGCAAAGTTGATTTCCTGCTTCCATGGGACGGGCGACATGGTTATTACAGGAGAGAGGGGGAAAGAGAACGAAGCAAGGGAGAGGCGAGATTGCGGCTAGCAAGGCCGGATGGGGGCCTCGCTGGAGGAGGCCTGGTTGTCCGTATGTGTGCATAGTGGCGCAGATGCTGCTAACTATAAGGAGAGGATGTCCCAGCGCCACCACTGGAGTGGTTGCATGAAATGTATTGTAGATTGTCTCATCCATCTTGAACGTTAAAGGAGACAATTGTAATCTGCTTGCTGCTGGGCCAGCTGACTTGCTGTAAAAGCGCGGAACGTCGAAGAACGAGAAAAAATTGCACGGAAGCTGTAAATTTGCGACGAGAACCCGTAATCTGTGTAGCTCGATCGTCTCGGATAGTAATTGTTATATATGGCTACCATGGCGATTGTGATAACCCCACTTTTGATAGAAAGCCCGATTCTTCTTCATGAATGCCACCCAAAACGCCATATTGCAATGCATGTTCCCTCTGCTATATGATACATCATGCCTCTTTCTGCTTGCTGCCCCTCACCTAAACTTGGCGGTGCCCGGTATATCCTTAATCTCTTCAAACTTGGTGCCCATCTTGACTACACTATATCTGATAAGGCGCGGGTCCAAACTCATGGTCCTGCGCAAGGCGTGCTGAGCGCGGGCACTGGCATCGAAGCGCATAATGAAGTGGTGGCCGTAGTGATGTGTCGATTGCAGCTTCTTGGCTGGTTTGGGGAGCAGAAAAGTGCCCCAGTTGGAGACGCCGCGCACAACGCCTTGCTGATCGAGAACGATTTTTCCGGCGGTTTTGGCGATTCTAAACAAGAGGCATGGTCAGACGAGAGTGCATTTCGAGCGGTAGCTCCATGGTAAATGGGGATTTACTCTTTGACTTCGGAGAGGCGGCCAGGCCGTACCTGAGGCACTCGTCAGCACATTGGCACATCGTGGGCAACTCAATGCGAATAATTGTTTCGTACCACTCCGATCATTTCGTACAGCATGTCTGGCGTCGGATTGCGCGCGGGTCGCGTGTGTTTGTCAGTCTGGATGCCCGCCCTCTCCGTCGCAAAAAGTGTTCGAAAGCGGCCAACCTTTCCGCCAAACCGCGGAAGCGCCCCACTTTTTTTACCAGGTCTTGGCGCGGCCGATTCACTGCTGCTATCTTGCCTATTTCGCCAAAGCTTCCCTCGATATACCTCTGAAGCTCCCGGTTTTTTCTTTCTCTTGCTACACTCACTGAAAAAATGGCCGCCCGTCTCTCCATCGCTCTCGCCGCCCGTCGAATCTCTTCCGTGGCTGCGAGGAGGCCCTCGCTAATTGTATCTCAGAAGTGGCAGCAGGTTGCTCCAAAGCAACGGCTATTCTCGGTATCTGCCGCACGTACGTTACTCCCGTACCGTAATTGAGTCGCAACCATACGACTCACGACTTTATGCTTCAGGCTGACATTTCGCACAGTCAAGGAGAAGAGGTATACCGAGGACCACGAGTGGATTGAGCTGTCCGCTGATGGCAAGACATGTACGTCGACTTGCTTCAATCTCCCCGCAATCCCCGCATTGCCAAACCCCAACATACATATTTTCTGCTCTGTCGCACAAAAGACGTATAAAATGGGTCGCGCACGCTGACATATTGCAACATATAGGCACTCTCGGCATCTCAGAATACGCAGCCAAAGCCCTCGGTGACGTTGTCTACATTGAGCTTCCACAGGTCGACATGGAGGTGGCCGAGGGCGACGTTATCGGCGCCGTTGAGTCTGTAAAGTCGGCTTCGGACATTCTCACCCCCATCGCTGGTGTTGTTTCTGAAGTCAACGAGGCGTTGGAGACCGCGCCAGGCAGTGTCAACAAGGACCCCGAGGGCGATGCCTGGGTCGCAAAGATCGCTGTGTCAGCGGAGCCTAAGGGCAAGACCATGAGCAAGGAAGAGTATGCCACCTTTACTGAAGAGTAAAAACTCCAGAGCAACATAGGGACAGGCTACATGGGTGGATAATACAAGATACCTGCGCACCATCTTCAACAAGGCGCGCCCAATGTAACATAAATTTCACATCCGGATCTCGGTTGCGTCATAAGGTCATTAAATAGTCCGCCGACAACAACCAATTCTGCTGCATTTTCGGATGTCTGCATCACTTCTGACCCCTGTCTTCTATCACAATGATCACTCTCGCGTGCTTACTTGCTGTCTTTTTAAAACGCCTTTATGTTCTTCAAGCCCCCGTACACTACTAGGCGTCACCCTAAGCATGCCGTTTGCAAAGAACTAACAAACAGTTTCCACTTCACCTCTACTATATGCCACGATACACCACATACTCCTTACTCCGCCCTACCTTTCTCCCCTTGGATCTCCTTGAAGCTCGCAGTAACGCAAATACATGTCTCGTTTTCTTTAAACATTAATCTACACATATTCGTGGAGATGCCTTTACATCGGATTGCCTTTGAATACTCTGTGACGTCAATTCTGAGTATACGCAATCGTACGCTAACTCTGACCCTTGAGAGCGACCAACATGTACTGCAAAGTCTTGGTTGGACAATGTGGTGAAGAAAAAGAGGCGTTGGCTACCAATCGAAGATGAGTGGTCAACGGCTATGGCCGGTATTTTACTAGTTACTCGCATGCCCAAGGAGCCAAGACCACTGGGTTCGAGGGCTCCACCAACTTAATCGCGGAATACGTAGTCCCTGTGCTTGTGCAGGCGGCAAAGTATGGTTTGTGACTCGAATTGAGCACATGGCGATGGTATGTCTCAGGCCAAGTACATAACTTGGATTTGATATGAGCTCCGTCTGACGTCATTTGGTTCATCCATATTACCACAACCGCCTCAGCCCCTCAACTCCATGGCACCTGCCCGCGACTGATTCTGACTACCACTCTGCTTAGAGGAAGTTCAATAGAACATATGCTGATGGGATTTCGACCTCCCGAACCATGCCCAGGTCATCATATTCTCTCACGGTGACAACCATTCATGCTTGTATGGAGGGTTGGGCATACCGGAAAATATTTGGATTTTGTAACTTCCGAGGTGAATTTCCTTGCTGATGTGGCATCCCAGGTTATTAAACGAAACCGATACAGTTTGCATACGCGTAGAAAGCCATCTCTGCGACAAGTCCTACTGCACATGAGCCTAGAGGTTTCGTGGAAGAAGGTCTTTATAAATATCAAAATATCAGCGGCTACGCAACTTACCAGGTAACTCGCAGAGGAATGCAAATAGGGCCATAGAGAACCAAGTCACAAGGCTACAAAGACACGCACTCTTTGACACGGTCTTAATCACCAGAGGTCGCTAAGTAACCCATAAGAATCGTCGATGACCCTGAAGATCAAACCAAAAATAGTATTCTTACGCGACAGACTAACTGAAATGTAGCGAGAGGGATCAGCAAGGCCGGTTCTTGATGGATGTACCATACTTGTAGCCTGGGTGAAGGATAAAAAAGCTATGAGGTAAGACTTTCGTCAGACACACCGCATACTATTACAACCGTGACCCACCCCGCTCTTTGTAAAACTACAATTAGCTTGCTACACCTCTAGACATGCGTACACACAAAAAAAAGGCTATCTAGCACAACGAACACAAAATGCCAAGCTCTATCAATATCGGTTCCCTCCGCGAAAGGAAAACAATCCAGCAACTTCCCATCCCCGCTCGAAAAGGGCACAACGCAATATTAAACTCGGATTACATCCATGACATTATTGAGGCAATCGGCACGTGGGGCTGCCAGCGATTGGTCATAGTACACTCCAAAGCTCTGGACGAGAACACCGATGTTGTCAAGAAACTGAAAGAGAAACTGGGCTTCCTTGCAGTAGCCTCCAAGTCCGGTATTGGCGCACACTCACCCTACGATGATGTTTTGGAAATAGCAAGATTAATACGCGAGAATGACGCAGATTGTCTTGTCAGCATCGGAAGCAGCAGCTACTCGGACGCATGCAAGATTGCCCGCTTGATGCATGCCAACCTTGCCGCGGGTAATCTCACAGTAGAAGAAATGGAAGCCCTGGTTGATCAAGAGAAAGGAAAAGCAGATGGGCTGAAAGACCCAAACGTCAAACTCATTGTTGTGCCAACCAGTCTTTCTGCCAGCGAGTGGAATAATAATTCGTCAGCAACAAATCCCCAGACACTTAAGAAGCAGCATTTTGCCAGCGAGCACGCAGCCCCAGATATGATCTTGCTCGATCCAGAGATAGCAGCTACATCGCCTCGGAAACTCTGGCTTTCAAGCGGTATACGTGCGGTGGATCACTGCATCGAAACAGTAGGTGTTTCTTCCCCTCTTCAAATGACAACAAGAAACCCCTCCAAAACAAAACACTCGCTAATTTACAACTCTCTCCCTTTATGTAGATGTTGAATGACCGCTGCACAGGAGACACATTCTTCCAAATGGAAAATGCCCTCCAAACACTCTTGCGCGGCCTAAAAGCCTATAAGATGGGCGAAGCAGATAACAAGCACTCTGAGCTCCTGGAGGGCATCGCAAATTGCCAGCTCGGGGCTCGAGACGCTATGATGGGACTGATGCTGTGGGATATCCCAATGGGGCTTTCGCATGCTATTGGGCACCAGTTGGGCAGTACTTGCGGCGTTATGCATGGTATTACTTCATGTGTGATGCTTGCTCCTGTGCTAAGGTATATGGCGGACAGGTCGGATAGGCAGAGGGAGGCCCAAAAGCGGGTGCTGGAGGTTTGGAACAGGGCGTTGTGTGCTGAGGAGGATGATCTCGCGGATGCGGTAGGCGATTTTGTGAAGTATCTTGGATTGCCGAGTACGCTCAAGGAGGTCGGTGTTGAGAAGCAAGAGGATATTGATAAGGTGGCTGAAAGTACCCTGACGGATGTGTTTGGGGCCATGGAGGGCATGGCCGGAAAGGAAGATTTGCTTGCCATTTTGGACTCTGCAAGAGGCTAAACGACATCATAGGCCTCGTTTTGTCTTGATCTTATTTTTTTTGTTATATCTCTTCAATCTACTCATTCAGCGAGACACTCTCTTCCCAGTCGGAAAATACAACTCCCTCAGATCCCCCAGCGGCAACTCCTCAAACGCCGCCACATCCTCGACAATCACATTCGCCAATTCTGCAGGCAACTGTCCCTTCCCCGCCCTCCTCACCGTCCTCCAAATCTCATGGATCCTACTACTCTCCCTAAGAAACTGCCTCGACCGCCGAAACCAACCCACCTCAAACCAGTCGGCCTGCGCACCCTCATAGATAGGTACCTCCCACTTCCTCGTCTCCTCAACATCCATCTGCCCCCAAATGGGCACCAACACCTGCGCCTTGGCCAGCACCCTGACAATCGGCCCCGTCGCCTGATCCCACGGCACCACCCTCGTCACCTCGCGCGCCTTCTCCTCCCTCTCACAAATCTCCTTTTGCTGCCGTTGCTCAGACGGCGGATCCCACATATCCACACAAATCCTCAACAACGCATCGTCAAGAATCCAATACAAACTCTCTCTCTGACTATTCAGAAAGCGCTCGAGCCCGACGCCCGGATGCCGCAGCACATGCACGCCCCAGTCGACCAGCAGACACGCGGCGGCAGCCCACGAGCCCGACGCCACGACGCTGGCAAAATGGCGCACGGTGGCTGCGAATTCGCGGGTGCGGTGGAACAGCGTGGTGTAGATACGCGGGATGCTGGAGAGGCCGTGCAGATCGGCTAGGATGGTGGTGTTCATGCTAGCGATGTCGCGGGTCAGGGCCAGGGCGGCGGCTGTGGGGGACCATGTTGTGTGTGGGAGGGGTGCGAAGAAGGGGGATGGGGTTGTGGGTTTTGGAATAGCACTACTACTATTACTGCCACTGCTGCTGGTGCTGCTGGTGCTGCTGGTGCTGGTGCTTGCTGCGTGCGAGGAGCTAGTACTAGATGAGGACGATGAGGATGGAGAAGGTTGCTGCAATAGTGATGGCAGCATGGTGTGAGACAGGGAACAAGGTATGTAAGGGTCCTTGTGACTGCTTGCGCTGCTTTTTTTTCCTGGGGTACAAGGCCAAATGCCGTGGTAGGGGTGCGGGTTGCGTGTCCCTGCGAACCAGACCTCGTTGTCGGCGGGTGCCCCGGGAATAGATAGTGGTATTACGTCATCAAGTGCTGCAGCTAGTGGGTGTATTTCTGCGTGCAGATACGGTGTACGTTTTGAATGTAGCTTTGGATTCAACACCAGGAGATAATGACAACGGATTTGATGTATAGCGGTATGTTGATTTTAGCCCCACCCGACACGTGATAGGGTTCGTATACTACAAGGTTAGACGAGATTAATGGACCCTGAACAGGCCAGTCTTACCCATGTTTTAAGGTGGGGCTAAGTACTTATCAATACGATATCAGGACTGGGTCATGATTTCTTCTTTTTTCCCTCTTTACACGGTATGACCATACAGTACTCCATCAGACCAAGTTCAGAGGAGGTTGTAGTGGATGAAAACCCGCATGTGTCAAATATCATTTGTTGACGTCGCAAACTTGGTACAACTATTTACTGAGAAAGAAGCTACAAAGGCCGTACCTCTCTATACTTAGGTGCCGGATGATACATACAGTACCCATACCTATCCCTAGCGAGAAGGCAAGAAAGACCCCCAATTCAGATGACCTCGACAAGAGCAAGATCGAGCATGCAATACATCAGCCACTATGTTCCACCCAATTCACTCAATGAAAGCCTCATACTTCACCTCTTCCTCTTCCTCCCAGCAACCTTAACCCGTCTCCGCTTCATCGCTTTCTCCGCACACTCATCGCAAAGCCACTTCCCTTTCGGCACCGTCTGAGGCGTCAAACCCACGCATGTAAAATGGAACCATTCTGTCGCACAGCCCTTGGCATCGCAAGCAATCATGTCGTTGGTATCCGGTGTGCCGCAGAAGCAGTATCCAGGCTCCGTGGTTGTGGACTCTGGCGCAGTAGGCTCTGTTGTTGTTAACTCCAGTATCGTAGCCTCTGGCGTCGTAGACTTTGGCGCAGGAGACTCTGGTGTCGTGGTCTCAGTCGCAGTACACTCTGGCGCCCTCATCCCATCTCTCCTCTTTTCCAATACCTCCAGCACCTCTTCCACCTCCGCCTCCGCCTCCTCTACTCGATTCACCTGCTGCTGCTCCACCACCGCAACACCATCCCTCTTCCCTGCCATAGACAACGCCACTGCTTCTTCCCACATCTGCACCCCATGTACAGCGCAATCATGATGAGCCAGTTTACCCAAATTTCCGCCCTCCTCGGCCTCTACCTCCCCTTCACCCCTTGGGCTCAAAACCTCATCCTCCACCGCGCCCAAAGAAATCTTCACCCTCTTAGTCGCTGGCTCTGGTACATCCTCCAGTCCCTCACACGCCTCACAAACCCACCCCGCCTCCTCCTCAGGAAACCCAACACAAACACAATGAAACCACCTAACCTCGCACTTTGCCTTCCGCGCACACTGCACCATAGGCCCCATGATATACGGCGGCTCTTCGCAAACACACACGCGCGGCAGCGGAGGTGGAGGCGACAGCATCAGCACCTGCGTCGGCACACCCATGATAGTCTGAGCGAGTCGGCAATCCCGACAGAACCAAGGTTCGTTGCTGAGAAAGTGCTGGTGTGTCAGGTCTGCGCAGTGCATGTGGTAGTATCGCGTTTTGCACCTTTTGCTGGCGCAGGTGATGAGGGGGTGGTGGTAGGTGGTTTCTTGGGGCATGCCGCAGTGGCATATCGGGGTTGGGGTGTGGGATTTTGTTGCGTAGAGGTATTTTGAGGTTTCTGTTGAGGGGGGCATGGCTGGCATGGGTGGTGGTGCTGGCTGTGGTGACAAGAGTGGATTTGACATTTCTTTTGATATTTGGTGGATGTGAGTAGTTGGGTTTAGAGAGGGTATGGGTTGAAAGGCGTCGGGTTGGTTTAAGTATCAAGTATTGAGAGACTAAAGTGAATGAATACAATATCAAATGGGCAGCGTGAAAGCGCACGGTTGCGCTGGGTTGGAGGATGACGCAGAGTTTATTGTGCTGGGTGACCGGTGACGACGAGGTGAATTGACTTCACAATAGTAGGCTGACGGGAGAGGAGTGAGGGCAAACAGATCGACACTCCATATTGTTCACATTGCAATTTTGATTGTATTGAGTAAGTCTCAGGTTTCCTGACAGCACAGCGGCATATCGCACCTGGTATTGTATTAGTAAATACTGGAATAGGTCTTGTCGCGATCCTATCCATCACGTTTGCTTGCGGGCAGTTATGATAGTCTTGGCAACGCGGCGCTTCACTCCCCATGACCGACAACCTGTCTCCTCCCGTGGACCCCTTCCCAATCTTCCCATAGACCCTTCCAGACGTCCCGCTCACTTCTGCCTAGACCGGCAAACATTGCGTCCAGAGTCTCTCTGTGCAAGCTCGCCGTGCCGACAACCTCCCAGATGCCAGGCATCAGCTTCTCTCTCACACTCTGGTCCAGTCTGCCGTTAAGCTGGAAGCGGCAAAAAGACGCAAGGAGCGGGTACAAGAAGTTACTCGCCTTCTCACGAGCCGCTTTGATCGGGTCGTTAAGATCCTTGGATTTGCGAGATTGGTGGTGCTGGTGTGCTTTTGTGATTGAAGACTGTGGGGGGTTGCAAAGTGTAGAGAGCAGCCGTGTGAACTGTGAAGCATTGGCAGCTGTGAGTCTTACAGGCTCCGTGGCTACAGTGGTTCGTAACCATGAAGGTAGTGCGCCGCTTCGACTAGCATTTGGAATGAATAAGCAGAACAATAGGCCTTGCAAGAGCGGTAAGAAGAGGTGAAAGCGTCCACCAAGGCGGCCCCTGTGTACAAGTAGGATCAAGCGACTTGTGTGGCAAAGCCTTTCAAATATCGATGGAGCATATTGAGAGGGCAGTGCAGGGCTGGTTCGCGAAGTCAGCTTGACGAGCACGCCGAAAGCGCACTCGATACTGTATTGTGACGCTAGTGAAGGCTTATCATTCAGGATGGTGTCTACACAGCTGATGAGGCTGCCGAATGACTCATAGTCGGGGCATTCAGCAAGCAAAGCACTGAGTTCGGGCAACAATGCCAACTGCTTTTGTTTCAGCTCAGCATCAACCTCAAGCTTGTCGTCCATTGTTGAGACAAGGTCGTTGAGGATGCGATATGCTGCGGCAGAGTTCTGTGACTTCTGATCAGCAGTCAACACCGCGATCAAGTCCGACTTCTCGTAAACGGCCAGAGATGCAAGTGCTTCTTTCAGTGTAGTTTGCACGGAATTCTGCACAGTTACTGTGCCCGATCGTATAAGCGTGAGCGTTAAGCGTACTAGCCATGTCATGTCAGGATACAGCTCATACTTCGTGACCAAGTTGTATACGCGCGCGACATATTCGACGACGTCGGATGGAATTACAGCGTGAGGTGCTTGGTATTGATCGAGGTCCACAGCATCCTTGATCCATGTCCGGAGCCAAGTCTGAACACGGTCGAACAGTTTAGCTTCTCTCAATGCAGATATCGATAATTCGTTGAAAGTATCCAGAGAACCCTGTAGCACATCGATGTCCGGACTACTGAGCAACTTCTTCAGGAGATCGACATATCGCTCGATATGCAAAAGAGTGTTCTGTTTCTGGGCCGATGATGTCGCTCGGAGAATTGAGAGCCTCGCCAATGAGCACTGATCTGTAGCCTTGGTGATGGAAAGTAATTTTCCTGTGAATTCGATGACAAACTCCTTGTTTTTTGACTGGGTTTGGTTAGGTAGAATTTGCGACAATGTCTCTTGAACAAGCTCCCTAAGAAGCTGCAGGACAGTTTCCGTTTCGACATCTTGTTGATGGAGTTGCTCTGCGATATCGAAGAGCACGGTGGCTTCGGTTGACACTTGTGCCGATGCATTCGGCACATGCTGGAGGTGGGCGACAACGCTCAAAAGTTCTACTGAAATGGATTTCCCGGAGGTCAAAAGCTCAGTGGCACGATCCAGTATCGACTTTCTCTGTTCGCGAGCAAGCGCTAGAGGATTGATGTGAAGGATGGCTTCTGCGACTGCATTGTAGATGCCATCATCAGCATCTTGTTCAAGAGCTTGCAAAAGTGCTGGAGAATAAGCATTTTGAGTTGACACACTTCCACTCTCGGCGAAAGCCTCAGAAAGTGACCTGCAGACGAGATCGCTAGAAATCTCTCCTAGCTGAGGAAGTCTGGACAAGATTCTGTATATGGCATCGCGGCAAGCATTTGCTTCAAGAGGCTCGAGAAGGTTGACGAAGTAGGTACAGAAAGCTTCCACCATGCGTTTGTCGTCTTCATCTCCCAACTGCGTAGGAGAGAGATTCTCCAGGATATTTTGCATCCCATTACGAATGGCGTCTTCAGAACCAGGTACTGTTTGAAGACGATCGCATGCGTTGAAGCAGAGAAGCATAGCAGCCGCTCGTGAGGACGAGTCCACATTTCGGCCTTTGTTTTTGCGTCCAGAGGAGATGTCCTTGATAGCCTGCTCCAATAGCGGATACAATAGATCCTGCTGTGACTGGGAAGAAGCGTGGATGAAAATTGGCCAGAGATTGTTTAGCAACTGGCATAATGTGAACCAAGAGAGATGGAGCTGTGTATAGAAGCTGTAGGCGTCATCTCGTACCCAAGTGACATAAGTGAGAAACAACGCCTGAAGGTCAGACTTGAGCGCTTCAACAATGTTGTCTGATCGAATGGATTGAAGAAAAGCGGGGATCAGGATAGCGCTGCTTGCCGCGTTCTTGTAAGCTGCCAGCTTCTTAACCTTGAGATCTTCTTTGGATGCTGTGTACATCGCCTCTTCCAGTTCCGCCAACCGTACTTTATGCTCTCCAATAAGAGTGGTAATTTGGCCCTGGGTGAGAGACTGTTCAAAAACTCCTGCCAAGGCAGTGTAGAGGGCGCGATCTTGCCAGATGATATCTTGTCCATCTTTGAGAGCCTTGCGTTTCCCATGCCTGTAGCTCTTGGTCAACTGAACATCCCATCTCCGAATGAAGCCTAGCAAGTTGCGATTTCGTACAAAGGCCGACATGAGAGGGATGATAACTTTCTCTAGCATTGCTCTTCTTGTCAATTGTGTGTTTTTGGTAATTTCCGGCTGGATCTCATTCTTCTGGGCCTGCTTCTCATCGATAAACCCTTGGCCGCTCAATTCCACTGCAGATATCTGCTCAAAAATGAACTCGACAAGCTCAGTGTGATCTTCCTGTGTTCCTTTGCTGCCAGATTTCGATCCTATGACGAAGACCGAGGAGTCAAGTTCGATCAAAGATGCAATCAGGGACCAGTGCACCTTCTTCTCTTGTCTTTCGGGGTATTCAACTCCGCAATGGTACCGAAATATGGTTTTGACAAGATCTGGGCCAAGGGTAACTTCATGTACTTGCAGCACGCGCAAAGCAGCACTGAGAGCAGCGACAGCGGTTTGGCGTGTGGTGAACTCTGGAGGAGTCGTCAGTGAACATCCCGCGCACTCTGCAAGTGTAGAAAAGACAGCTTGCAGCCAGGGTTTCTCCATTGCCCTGCTTTTTGGTGTTCGAGACGGGGATACGCGTATAGCCAAATCTAATAAGTGAGGAACTGCATCGAACAGGGACGCAATTCTTGCTGGCAAAATATCGCCGCCATCCTCGATCTGCGCAGCTTGGAGAAGCTTCGCACGCAGAGGTTCCAAGTTGCTGGCCAACACATGGGCGTCCCGCACCTTTGGGGCTTCGCCCGAAGAAGCTCCACTGCTGGTCTCGCCAAAGAAAGCCGCTCTTGAAGGCGCGAATAAATGCCTAGTTAGGAACTTGTCTAATGTTGTAATCGCGCGACTAACGGCATAGGAAGGAACATTTGAGACACCTCCGTCGCGTAAATCCTGTAGGTATACAAGAAGTTCTAATGTAGGAATAAGGCACTCTGTGCTGAACTCTTCAGCAGACGCACCAGTCTCATCTTTTGCATCCACTGTTCGTAGATCCCAAATTCCGTAGGGTAAGGAGAGATCCACGAACTCAACCCAGTAGTGGTCCAGATGTGTGTTTTTCGAAGGAATGCTTAGAATTCGGTAAACGCTCGTGAGCCAGAACCGCAGAATCCGTGAAGCTTGCGCACTGTCGGTCCTCAAGACCATCTTCATAAGCTCCGCTTGAGTAGAATCGTCGCCCTTGTTTCCTGCGGCCAAAGCGGTTATTGAGGCTACGACAGATCGGATTACGCGAAAAAGATGACCGAGTTGTGCCGGATCGAGAGTTGCCGTTCTCAACGGTGGGGTTTGCACAGTTCCGCGCTTTCGTTTCTTCGATGGCTTGCTGTCTTCTTGGATGGTCGCGCTCGACTCGGAATCGTCATTCATGTGAACATCTTCGGATGCGCTTGCAGGCTGCACAACAGGGTCCTTGTCAAAATTCTCGACAAGTGCTCGCTCCAGAATGCTCGGGAAACTGGCATCGCGTAGATGGGGTGCGCTTCTTGAAACAGGAAGAATTTGAATCATCCATTCAAGAAGCTGCCATGAATTCGCGTTCCCCCGCGCTATGCGCCCTACTTCCAAATCATCCTTCAGTTTATCGAGTATCCAGCGCAGAACCCATTCCGCTCGTGCGCGCACAAGTCGCTGTATGATCCTGGCCTTTACTTCCTCCTCTGTTACAGTATCCCAGTCGCCAGGAAGGCCTATTATATGTGCAACTTGGGAGATTTGTTCGTCTAGGTCGGAAAAGTCCTGGTTAATGGCTTGTAGCCGCGGGCGAGTCGACACAGGGTCGTTCTTCGAGGCCTATTCACATGTCAGCAACCTTATTGACAAAACATACACTTCTTACTCACTGGCTGAATTGACGCCATCTTGTCACCTCGCTTCCCGTTTGCAGTTGCAAAAGTCAAAGGAAGCGTAGCAGCCGAGCAAAGCAGTGGTAGTAAGGTCGAAAAAAGTTGGGCACAGACCATACGTACCCTTGTCGTTCCTGCCAAGGGCCGGCGACGTCAAAGTTCGGCATTCCCAGCTGTCGGTCGAAGACCATCAACACCACGTCGAGCCGCTCCCATTCACCCCTCAGCACACCGAGTGCGCCGTTGCATCCATCAATTGCACTCGACATATCCGCTGCCATGGCCGAAAACAACCCCCAGCCCGTTGGGTCCATCTCGCGTACCACTCGTCCCATGAGCGAGGCTCTGCTCAACGAAAAGGTAGAATAGCCACTCCCGACACAGTCCCGTGATGAAGGCATTGGCAACGTCTGGATTCAAATTGGGGCATCTGAGTGTTTGGAGAGAATGCCCTCGCATGCAATGGCGGGGCACAATGCTCTCACGCGACTCGGATGACTGCCCCATGCCAACACCACCAACCCACCACCGATAAGCAGTACAAGATTGGGTTCGAACAAGGCTACTAACACATACCCACAGTGGGACCGCTGCCTCTCTTCAATGCTCATCCGCTCGGGTCTCGGAGTCTCCTTCGGCGTCGTCTTCTCGGTCCTCCTCTTCAAGCGACGCGCATGGCCCGCCTTTGTCGGTCTCGGTTTCGGTGCTGGAAGGGCATGGGAAGAGTGCGACAACGTCAGTTTCCCTCGACGCATATACCTCTATCAAGCACGTAGCGTCCTAACCGCGCCAAACAGTCATTCAAGCGAGCAGCAGCACCCTCGAAAGACGGCCTCCGCGTTATCCGACCATAAGCGACTTTTGACGTGCGAGCGGGGGACATGGATCGATATCATTCGGTGTGGGTTTGGAGCTCTGCATAGCAAATGTGCAGTGTACAGTAGGACATGGTATAGACCATCTGGGCGATTTAAAGCTGTTCTTCTTGACTTTTCCCATCCTATCTATATTCTATTGCCTTTTACCGCTTGCAAACTTGAGAAGAAACGCCCCCTCACGCCCCCTACTACAAAACGTCCATTAATAGTAGTCCTCAAACGTATACTCCTTGGCTCCCTCAAGCACAGTAAACCAATGTGTAGTAAATGTAATATGCTCATACAGCTCCCTCCCCGCCGCCCGCGCCTTCTTGTGCCACGGTCCTAGTCCACCCCGATACGCATCCTCCCTGCTATGCCAGAAACCTGCTCACACCCGTTAGTTTAGCCGCGTCTTGCCCAACCACCACACCACATCACGTGGCTATTTCCACCATAAAAGAGAAGAACAAGCGAGCCAACTTACACGTCGCCAAATTCCTCCTTTCTGCATCACTCTTCCCAAACCAATACTTCAGCAACCCACCGGACTCGCACGCTTCCCTGTGACTCTCCTCATCCAATTTGTACAGGTAATCATTATCAATGTTCTCCTTGAGCTTACTCCGGAAGACAACGACGTAGAACCTTGTTTCGGGCCATTCTACACCTTCGCTTTTTACAAGTGCGCGTAGGACGTCGAGTACGGCGTCGAGGTTTAGCGCGGAGGTGTAGGGGGCTGTGGCGTAAGTGGGGAGAGTGGGTTGGAGGGATGTTAGGGCTATGGCGAGGAAGAGGGAAGGAAGGGGAAGGGGTGGGGTAGAGAGGGAGAGATAGTGGCCGGGTTTGTTGTAGGGGGATGTTATGAGATTGTCTGAGGGGGGTGAGCCAGGTGGTGTTGTTGGTGCAGGCGCTTGGGTTGGGAATTTTGGGATGGAGGTACTGATGAGCTGCGTGTATGCCGCAGCTTGGAAGCGGTGGGCGTCGAAATCGGTAGTTATGAGGTTTGGATCCCGAAGAGTGACGCTGCGGAGTTGAATGGATTTGTTGAGTGAAGGCGGTGTAGGAGGGAGTTCCGTTATTTTGACGCTGGGTTCTTTGATGTCCGGTGCTTGGGCTGGAAGAGCGATTGTGTACCCCGGTTTCTCCATGGTTTTCTTTGAACAATACTTCCTAGAGTTGATTTGTCAGATCTCTCTTCTTTCCCTTGTACAGTTGCTGCTAGGATACTGCGTTGAGCATCCAACAACACTTACCTTTATTGTTTCTCTACTTTTCAATCGGCTAATACGTAGTTTTTGTAATTATTCCTCAATATTTGTATTCGGTTTCAAGTCCTGGAAACTGGAGTATGTTGTTCTTTGTCACTCAAGTGTTGATTGATGATGGTACGCGGTTCGGTCATATTCCGCTCCAAGCACGTCTGATCACGCAATTCTGGTAAACGCCATTTTAGCCTCCTTTGTGACTTGGGCCCACACACAATACGAATGACCCTAAGTCGGTATACCTTCAGTGAAAGGGCATTGGTCAGTCGTAATATGGCGAGTCCTGTACAACCTCGTTTCTTGAGTCGGTTGAGTTACTCAATCGGAGCTAGTACGTGTCCCTCTTTACCAAGTAAAATCGTGCGGCGAGGGGACCCTGCAGCAACTAAAACATTCACGATACCCTAGTAGAAGGAAAGTCGGTGGCTACTGAGTACGTCACAGCACTTAGACGCCGTGACGCAGAAAACCCTCAAGGGATGCATTGCAAGGGTCTTGTCTAAAGTCAGTTCCATCCAATGAAATAATGACGCGGACGTGTCGATCTTGCCCAACAATCAATCAGCGCAACGCGAATACAGACATCAATCCATGATCGTCGTCAGTGCCAGGCTATGCATGCGCTGATAACCAAACGGGTGGTCCTCCGTGACGGGTACCTCGCAGCCATACTCTTCTATGCATGTGTCAAAAGGCTTGTTCTGCAAACGGTTGTCACCAGGTGGTAATGGGAGATCGGAGCCTTTGGCTATCAATTCTGTCTTCAACTCCATTAAGTTTCCCCAAAGAAGGAACATTTTATGTTCAAGTTGTCTGAGCACCTTGGGATTGTTCTTGAGGCTATGATGATGGCAATTAGCATGTACCTAGCAATGATCGAAAGCTCGCTTACTCTTGCGCATTCAGCTTCAACAGGTACTGTGCTGAGCTATTATTCACAACAACACGCAGCTTCTCAGACACACCGCCCCGAGGTATTTCTGCATCTTCCAGTAGGAGTACGAATCCCCATTCCCATCGTTCTTTCGAGTACGTACTGTCTCCATGATGCTTTTCAGATCGTTTGGACCAGTTCGGATCATTTAGAGAGTGAGCAAAGAGTTCGAGTTTGGGAGGGAATACATCCACTGCGCGCACACGAGATCGGTAACGGCAATTGACAAAAGGAAGTTCATAGTCATTACATTTTTCAAGTGTGCGCACACGAAGATGGGGATTGTGTATGATTTCGGAAATTGTGGAAGACTTCATGTCAACGTGAGCGCATCGGACTGCGTCTGAGTCAGTATGGATCAATAAGAGATTGCGCAGGTCTTACTATTATTGTTCAAGCCAGCACGTGCGGCTTCCCATTCACGGGCCTTCTTTTCAATTTCTTGCTGCTCGGCTTCTTTCTCAGCGCGCAGTCGCTCTCTTTTGGCCGACTTCTTGCTGTGTGATGTTTTGACAGAAGGCTTTTTAGCTTCACTCTGTATTTTTTCGAAAGCTGTTACACTGCCACGTTTGCTTTCGTATTCTTTCCGTCGGCTATCGATTTCCGCAATTTCTGACGCGCTACTCAAACGACGTATGTCGACTTGTGATGTGTTGACTTTGTCTTGATGCACTGCGCCCTCAAGTTTGCCACGGGCAGACAATTTGACTCTCATGTTTCGTATGAAAACATAGTCACCCATCGCCAGGTTTTCTCTTGCCCAGTTTGCGTTTTCTTCGTACAACGTTACGCTGAGAGTCAAGTATCCGTATGGACCTTTCCAGTGTCTATCTACAACGTGAAAGATATCTTCCTTTTCAGGATCGGCGTAATAAAACATGCTCTCGTTTGGAGTGTAGTCGGTAACTTTCAAGTCGACTTGGCCATGGTAGTGGTAAATGTTGACAACCTGTGCTCGGATGTTCGCGAAAGTGTTAAACTGCAAGTCTTTAATCAAATAGTCCTTTTTCCCTGTTTGGGTCTTGAACGCAGTCGTCGCTGCATGCTGTCGTAGTTGCTGGCTTGAACCAGAAGAGGCGTGTTTCAGGTGTATGGCAGCCATTTGCTCTGGGATGGTGGGTTGCGAAGCCCCCCAAGACGAATCGCAAGGGAGCTTTTGACTGCCAGCTTGGTAGGCATGGCTGAGCTCCGGGACAGGAATCAAGCTGCTAGGGAATACGGTCATATGGGTAAATTGTCTGTCGCCAATGCATTCCATACGCCCATTCCATTCCTTAAGCTTGGCATTACGAAGGATTACGATGTCTCCAAGACCAGAGATCTTAGGAAACCTATTTGGTGGTTTGAACATGCGACCATTTATGGAGGAGTAGGTACTGGCAGAGGCGTCCGCAAAGTCGTCTTGGATAGTGAAGGAAAGAACATGGTCGGACCCTTTAGAGGATTTTGGGCCATCGCAAGCGACAAGAACGCCTATCAGATTGACGCTTTGACCTTCTGATGTTGCATCCTTGATGGCAGTGAAGCCGTTGGGCAACTGCATGGTAGCTGGAAGTGGGACCGAAAGCGGTTTAGCGTGCTATCAGGCCGTCAAAGAACAGGCACATGTCAGGACACATGCAATTATACAAAAGGCGGACGATGTTGCAAGAGTAGTGGTGAGCCGTGTGTATCGCATAGAATTGTGCTGCATATGCCGCCAGGCTACTGGAGGATTGAGTGGGTATACAGCTGTGATTCGGGACGAGGAGACGCGTCGTGGTGCTGATGGTGGTTGCTTGGGCGTAAGTAAGGCTCGAGCCAAGGCTAGGTGCTAGCGCCATGACCGCTTTGCCGCTTCCGCTTTCAAAATCACCCCTCTAGTTAGAAAGTTTACTCCCTTTTACAAACAAACACGACCCACCGCAATCTCGTCCGACCCAACACTCTGTTCGTCAAATCGAGTCGTTGCAGAAAATGGCCGACAAATACATCCCCGAGCACCGCCGCACGACGTTCAAGGCCAAGAGCGCGTTCAAGCCGGACGAACTCCGTCGCCGCCGTGAAGAGCAACAGGTCGAGATCCGTCGAGCAAAGCGTGAAGAGAACCTTGCCAAGCGCCGTGGTATTTCTGGACGAGACCAACCCGGTGCCTCACTGGGCGCTGCCCCCGACAGCGACGATGAGGGCGGCAATATCGAGAGCCAGGTCCGTATACCCCCACCATGCCGTGCTTTGCCCCCTCGCCCTTGTGGCGGACTTTGTCAAAGAGGCTCAAGACTAATACAATGCGATAGTTGAACGAAGAGCTCCCCCAGATGGTCAAGGGCGTCTTCTCGGAACAGATCGATGAGCAGATCCAGGCCACAACCAAGTTCCGTAAGCTCCTCTCTAAGGAGCGCAACCCGCCCATTGAGCGCGTTATCGAGACGGGCGTAGTGAGCCGCTTTGTCGAGTTCCTCCGCTCGCCGCACACACTGGTACAATTTGAGGCTGCTTGGGCCCTTACCAACATCGCCTCTGGCTCGGCACAGCAGACACAGGTCGTCATCGAGGCGGGCGCAGTGCCCATCTTTGTCGAGCTGCTCAGCAGCCACGAGCCAGACGTGCGGGAGCAAGCTGTCTGGGCCCTAGGTAACATTGCTGGAGACAGCCCCGCATGCCGCGACTTTGTGTTGCAGGCGGGTGCTCTCCGCCCGCTGCTTGCTCTGCTGGGTGACAGCCGCAAGCTGAGCATGCTGCGCAATGCCACATGGACCCTCAGCAACTTCTGCCGTGGCAAGACCCCTCAGCCCGACTGGCAAACTGTAAGTCTAATCTCGCTGCCCCGCATGCCTGCATCCCCCTAACGATCCTGCAGATCCAGCCCGCCCTTCCCGTGCTTGCTAAGCTTGTCTACTCCCTTGACGACGAGGTCCTCATCGACGCCTGCTGGGCCATCTCATACCTGTCCGATGGCTCCAATGACAAGATCCAGGCCGTTATCGAGGCTGGCATCCCCCGCCGTCTTGTCGAGCTGCTGATGCACGCCTCCACGTCTGTCCAGACACCCGCCCTGCGCTCGGTTGGCAACATTGTCACTGGTGATGACGTCCAGACCCAAGTCATCATCAACTGCGGGGCGCTCCCAGCCCTGCTGTCGCTCCTGAGCTCCACCAAGGATGGTATCCGCAAGGAGGCCTGCTGGACCATCTCCAACATCACCGCCGGCAACTCTACCCAGATCCAGGCTGTCATTGACGCCAACATTATTCCTCCTCTGATCCACCTCCTCCAGAATGGCGACTTCAAGACACGAAAGGAGGCATGCTGGGCCATTTCCAACGCCACGAGCGGTGGTCTGCAGAAGCCTGCCCAGATCCGTTACCTGGTCCAGAGCGGCTGCATCAAGCCCCTCTGCGACCTGCTCGCGTGCCCCGACAACAAGATTATCCAAGTCGCCCTCGATGGTCTAGAGAACATTCTCAAGGTCGGAGAGATGGACAAGGAGGCCAGCGAGGGTGGTACTGGTGGTGAGCCCATCAACCGCTACGCTCTTTTCATTGAGGAAGTTGGCGGCATGGAGAAGATCCACGAGTGCCAGAACAACGCCAATGAGGAGATTTACATGAAGGCGTACAATATTATCGAAAAGTACTTTTCTGACGATGAGGGTGAGGCGGAGAACATGGCTGAGGGCGGACCCCAGGTCAACCAGGAGGGTCACTTTGGCTTTGGAGCTGCTGGCCAACAGCAACAACAAAACTTCAACTTTGCCAATGGAGGCGACTCAATGGACATGTAAGCGGATGATTTGTTCGCGACGAGTGCCAATGAGTTGAGAGGGGGTATGGTCAGCCATGCAGCGCTCCCTCGATGACCCTAGCCAGCCACGAGAGGGCGACTAGAGGAGTTTGCCAGTGCCCTGGAAGGGTTTTGAGATCATACACGATATGATACGTGACCCGGGGAAGAGGCATGATTGCGGGGACTTTGAGTTTTCCTTTGCAAATGTTGCCATGTTTTCGCAGCCTTCACTTCGCCATGATTTCTATGAAGCCTCTACGATACACCGTCTTGTAACCCTCCCATGTTTGTTATCCGCATCATATCCCCGGCGTTGTGTTTGGCTGGCTCTCTGTCTGAAGCTCGGGGCGGTTTGGACTGGGCGGCCTGCTCTACAAAGGGCGCTCTTGACATTTGGGTGCGAGGGCGAAAATATATAGTCTCAGTTCAGTCGTGCCGGCCAGATAGCTGAATTTATTCTCGCCAATCCATTGATGTTTTGCTCCCCATTTGAAAGTGTTTTGTCGTGATTGGCCCGTTCACCGGCTGGGGGAACGGGGGAGCATGTAGTGCGTCATTGGGCGAGGGGAAACACGCTGTAGTGAGCGAACACCCCCGCCCGCCAGTGGTACTCATGCACGTCCAGCAACGCGCCGGGCCGTCAGCCTTTTGTGCCTTTTTAGTTTGCATCACTGTGTAGTCGCGTGTCGCATGCCATGAAGCAGACCCTGTGTATCTTGATATCGTGGCCCCTTGTCCATTCTCTCTGCAAATACGGTTGAGCACAAGGAATATCTGGTCCAATGCTTTGCCCCGATGGCGCAATCATCGCGGACACACCGCCTGAGCGTCACAGCCAGCACACCACTATACATCACACATTCGCCATCTACATATCCGTTCTGGCTTCCTTGCTCTGTACTTTTATTCGCAACTACAACTGAGCACTGAGAACAGAATAGTCGCCCACCATGTGCAGATTCATGGCAAGTCTGCTACAACACCTACAAGTCATACCCGACTAATACATGGCAGGTTTACAAAGGCAAAGATGATATCCTTCTCTCTGAACTCATTCTCAACCCTACCCATTCTATCCTCACACAATCCTTCGATTCACGCCTACGACTAGTACGTCTCCCATTGCAGTTCCCCTTGCTTGGAGTCATCCAGCCTCGCTCTCCCAACTAACACAACCATCACTCCAGGACCGGCGCCGCCCACACAATGGCGACGGCTTCGGCATCGGCTACTACACCTCTCCCTCACTCGGACCCACCCCTTGCGTCTTCACCTCCACCATCCCCGCCTGGAACTGCATCAACCTCTCGCGCATCGCCTCCAAGACAACCTCGTCCCTCATCTTCGCCCACGTGCGCGCCACCACCGAAGGCAACCTCAGCGACAGCAACTGCCACCCCTTCAGCTACAAAAGCATCATGTTCATGCACAATGGCGGCATCGGCGCCTGGCGCCAGATCAAGCGCCGCTTCGCCCTCAGCCTCGCCGAGAAATGGTTCAACGTCGTCGGCGGCTCCACAGACAGCGAGTGGGCATTTGCCATGTTCCTTGACTGCCTCGCCAACGCCGGCGTGTCACCGGATAAAGACGTAGAGCCTGGTGTGGGCTTTGGACATACGGTGCTGAGGAAGGCGCTGCTGAAGACGATTGAGCGGATTAATGCGTTGATCAAGGAGGTTGTGGGTGAGCAGGGCGTCGGGGAGGAGGATAGTAGGAGTTTATTGAATTTTGCGGTTACGGATGGCGTTAGTGTGGTTTGCTCACGTTATGTGAGTTCGACGAAAGATGAAGCGGCGAGTTTGTTTTTTAGTAGTGGGACGAGTTGGAAGGAACTTGGTGGGGAGACGCACCGCGGTGCTGCAGCAGCGTCGGTCGGGAGTGATGATGGGAGTAGTGCTGGGTTGGAGAGTGAGGATAGAGAGAGGAATTATGTCATGGAGAGGAGGGATAAGGGGTCCGATATCGTGCTTGTGGCCAGTGAGCCGTTGACCTTTGAACGTGGTATGTGTCTTCCCCCTTTTCCTTCATATGGTTTGAATCGAGATGGAAATGAAGGCTAATGAACTATACAGATAATTGGGTTACGGTGCCGACAAATAGTACCCTGACTATTTCGAAGCAGACGGTCATGATTCATCCTATTGTAGATGAATTCTACTCCCCGAACCCGGCGCATGAGCGTAGTGCTCAGTTTGCAAAGGCCAAGGGGCAGACTGTTACGGGCAAGGCGTGAGGGTAGTTTTTTTTTCTTGAATCGGGATTGACCAGGGCTATGGGTGTTTGGAGTACGAGGGACGTTGAAGGCTGTGTTTTGGCTTCTGTGTTTCTTTGTTTCTTTTATTTTCAGGATGGAGACAACGGGTACTGCTCTTTTATTCCCTCAGTACGGTTTAGTGGGGTAGTCATGCACACGAATCTTTTCATTACAAGATGTTGAACGAAAACAAGTATATTTGAATTCTAAGCCAAAAACTTGCATTAGTACATTTTCTATATCCTTCCCACCTTCACGCCGCAAGCGCCTTCAAAACGTCCGGATGCTTCCTCTTCCGCGGCGGATACGCCTTTTCAGCCTTGAATGCATCAATCCGATCTCCATCAAGCAGATCATCGTACTTGTCCACTACAGCCTTGCAAAATTCCACCCACGCCTTGTTGAGATAACCGTGCCCTTGCTTCTTTTCCTCGACACTCAGACAGCTGTAATCAATGCTCCACCGTGCGAGTTGCTTCCAACTGTACAATGATATGCTTGGTGCGCCGACCATGACTTGATAGAATTCGTGTGACATGGAGTTACTGTTGCGTCGTGTTAGTTATCTCCAAACATATAAAGCCGAGAGGTGATGAGTGGTGGTATTTCATACCTGAATAGAGAAGGATTATCGGAATTGACAGTGCAAGGTATACCTGCAGCCAGCAACTCGGGATACGGATGCTCTTTTACATTCCTACAGAGATGCAAGAGTTCGTTGGAAATAGGACATAGCTCAATGCAGATTCCAGGGCTTGTATCTGTTTTTCTGAATTTCTCGAGCAAGTGAGGGTGCTTCATGAGGGCGAAGCCGTGGCCGATGCGCTGCGAGTTGAGAGCGACTGCGTCATAGAGGTTGGATTTTCTGGGATCGTCGGAGCCACCTGTGTCGAGGAGCGTTTCGCCGGCGTGGAACATGAAGGGTATTTCTAGATTCAATGCTTTGCATGTTTCCTGGAAGGCGACGAGTTGGGTTCTGTAAAAGTCAATGTGATTGGGACGGTCTTCGGCGCCGACAAGATCAAATCCTGTGTACGTGTTAGATACTGAACCTGTCTCTGTATGCTTGTTCTTGTCACTTACCGCAGATGAGCTTGGGAAATTGAATCTTAAGTTTGATACAGTCCCTCATTTCGTTCTCCATCATTTTAGGCGGTATTGACCGGGGCGTGCAGTAGATGATCTTGAGTCCAAACGGGAACTTGTGAAGCTCACCTTTTTGCCTTAGCTCGGCCTTCTTCGCCTCTACTCCTTCAATAATGAGCTTCATCTGAGCGGCATTATCAAGACGATCTTCTGGCTTTCCACTATCTCCAGGGATGAACTTGTCTAAAAGCATTGGTCGTAGTTCAGCATACATGACCCCTTCCTCAATCATTCGGTCAATGGCGTCGCTTATATAGGATACGTAAACGCTTTTGTAGTTTAGAAGCCCTTTAAAAGCCCTTGTGGCTTGGTTGAATCGTGCCCAGACACTGTGTGAGTATCAGCAGATGATTTCCTCGAGTACCAACAGACGTACCCATTAACAGTCTGGTCGGGACGGTAAGCCTCCTCTTGACTAAGTACCATCTTCGACCTTAGCCAGTTCTCAGCTGGCCTTAGAGCAAAATCTACTGCAGCTCCACAATGATGCGGCTGCCCATCGCGGAAAGTCCCTGGTTCTTGGCGCAGATACAGACCGGGAAATTTCTTTTCAAACTCGTCCTGAAACTTTGCCCATGGCATCCAGATTTGTCTTTGAAATTCTTCCCTTTTGAGATCGGCGGGAGTTGTGACAAGAGGATAATCCATTGAAAATATGTCAACGTTAGGATTGATAGTGTCTGGATCTAGGACATTAAAGATCAACTCGGTTGTGGCCAACTGCTCCTCATCTTGGATGCGCTGAATGCTGCGGATATGCATGTTCTTCATTGCTCGGGCTCGTACAAGAAGAATTTCAGGATGTAATTCGGCATTGAAGTGCAGATGCAGAAGGCCCCCCTTGGGTACCATCTTGGATATCTCAAACAACTTGCTCTGCTTATCTATCCGTTCTTTGTTAGTAAGAAATTGGCCACCCATGTCCTGATCCTCAACATCCGGGAGCGCCTCCGAGGCCAGATTTCCAAAGGTAACGATGCGCTCATACTCGCGGATCTGCTGTATGATGATAGCAGCTCTTCTCTCCGTCCTATCCTCCTCAGATGTTGAGTTACCACTCGGCTTTGCTTCCCGATCCCAAGCGTTGTCTTCTTCTACTTGAAGAAGGTTGCTCCTCTGCTGTCCGTATTTCTCCGATGCTGTTACATCCTTTAGTTCTTGGTCAAACTTGGCTAAGGCCTGTGCCTCTTGCTGTTGTTGCATTTGGCTATCAGGGATCCGATCAGGAGCCTCCATATCTGCAGGATGAAAAGGCACTTTACGTGTTGGATGCGAGCTCGTCGCTCTCTTTCTCTTCTTTGGTGAGTCAGCTGTCATGACCAGCCTGTTTGGATCCTCTGGAGATGTGTGTCTCCCACGTACAAAGCTGCATGCATTGGTTAATACAGACGTGCCCACGACATGCGTGTTTTGGCCCAAGACTCACAATGTGGGGACCACAATACCACACTTGGCCAGCAAGCCTGGGCGGGCTTGTTGAGACTCACTCGAAGGTTTGGTGTCGCCGTCAGTGGGCATACCGGTGATTGTTTTGGCAAGATGATTATGGCCGGCTGTTCATGCCGATGCGAATAAAGTTGCAGGGAGGGCAATCCAATGATGATGGCATCTGGTTGCACCTGCATTCAAAAACCCCTCGAGGCAAATTCCTTGCTTCACCGGTCTAGGCTGTGAGCAATACTCGGTGTAGGATGAATCGTTGTCTGGTATAGTGCTGCTGGGTAAGGCCCTCAACTAACGGCGAAACCTAGCCTGGTGTTGTCGACGGAGTACCAGTGTCAAGTGTTGTAGGCCCGATGTTTGGCCTAAGGCACGTGGCCGTACAGATCAGTAAAGTAGTTTGATGAGTGGAGTTCCGGTGTAGCTATATGGGCTGCGCCTCGATCACGCCTTGTCCTGTTGCCTGGGGATGAAGAGAAGACGATGAGGGGGGTTGTGAATGACGGCATGTTTGATGGTGTCTGCCTCGTGATGGCAACCGCAAAAGACAGGCTATGGAAAAGGAAGGAGCGTCCACATACATCAGCGCACGCTTTCTGCGAATATTTCCTTCTTCTCTTGACTCATCAAGTACATGCGACACCACATCCAACGTCTTCTTGAAACAATTGGGTCGTGAACGCAGCTGTTGCTGTCGGGTCGTTTCACGTCAAGGCCCGCCTACACTTTGCCGTCGAGGGGGCGCAGCAGTCGACAAGCTCAAGGCGTTTATCACGACAAGCGGGTCAGTTCCTGGAGAGAAGGCTAGAGTCGCTGGCACAATTGAGGCTATGCAAAAAGCCACAGGCCGTCAGTGAGGCCCCTCATCCATCAGGCTCCAATCGCATGGGCCTTTGGACATGCATCGACGTTCGCTTCCTTCGATGCAGCGCGAACCGACAGCCTTCTAACCCGAGCGGTAACACAGGCGCTTTTGGCCCCCCAGCTGCAGCCCGTACAACCTTCAGTCCACGCCTCCACGCGTCGTCACCGTCATGCAAGCCTTTATGCTTCGAATTCGCACTTGATATATATCGACTTCTGCTAACTCTGCTCACCTTAACACCATACGTACTTCAATTCACGCTGCCCTCCAAATCGAGCCCATGCCGCATCTCTGCCTTTCTACGCCTTCGTTTCGTTCCGCCCTTTAGAGACCCCCAGTGCTTACCGACATGTATTGGCTTCCGGCCGACAGCAATGGGAAACTCTCCTACAAAGAGTTGCAGCTCGACATTGTTGGCTTCCTGGCCATTTTGGGAGAGGGTTCAGTTCTGGCCAACGCACAAGTCTCAACACTTTCCAGATGGATTTTCTTGCCGCGTCTGCTGCCAGCACCTCAGGCTCTCATGAGACCCACGAGACCAAGTAATCTTGAATCGTTTCCAGGACATGTGACGGGCATTGTCTCGGGCAACCACCGAGATCACATTAACCACATTGGCAACATTGTCTGGTGAGTGCACCATTTCTGGTAAACTTCGCTACTAGCAAGTTCCGACAAGGCACTTCCCCGCCTGTCTACCAGACTCTGTAACACGCGCGACAGCAATTACGGCAGCATGCTTACAGAAGCCAACTAGCGATGCTAACAACCTCCCTGACTTCTCTGTCCGCGTTGTCCAAATCAAACGCGTTGGCGACCAGCCGCTCAAATCAAAGACTTTCGGCCCGCTTACCGTCGTCCTCCTCATTGGTTTCGCCCTCTCCGTCTTACTCCTGGCCTTGTCAATATGGCAAGACGACGGCATGTCTGTAGTAGCTACGCTCGTGCTATCGTCCCTCTCTAGTCTAATTGGACTGAGCAACAAATGGCGATTGAAACTCCCCACACGCCCCGACAAAGACCGCAAGGTACCACGCGGAGATCTTGTGATACGATACTTGAAGGGCAGCTTTTTGGTGGTGCGATGTGAGGAAGATGTTGCCCGGGAACTTTACTTTGCACCCGAAGGCATCCACTACCTCATCACACACGCTCCCATATACCGGCTACTGAGCTTGATAGGCACCATGATGCTCATGGGTGGTGTCATCTGTCTCGCCAATGCGCAAATCCAGGTCCAGATTGCATGGGCAGGCTCTTATATGCTCCTCAACGCGTCGTACTGGATCGTGGCTGCGTTACCCAGCAAGATGCACTGGGACACATCTTGCTACGAGGTGGTACCCGAGTGCCTTACCGGCTCAGGCATGAACCTGAAGGGCTTTCCGTCTCCAAGTGAATCGTATACATGGGCTCTGTGGAAGGCGATTTGCGTTACTAAAGACACGGACTGGGTGCTGAGGAGCTCGGCTTGTCCCGACACGGAAGCGTGGAAGGACTGGTTGAGGGAAGCCAAAGCGTGCAGCCAAGACGTCAGGCTGGTGGAAGATAAAGAGATCTCCAAAGGCGAAACCATGTGGGAAGTGCCTTCGTGGGACCCTCATGAATCCCTGACACGCTTAATAGCGGAGCATGCAAGTGGTGAGCACAAGAAGTATGAGCTTGTTTGACAGGATGCGACTTGAATTTTTTCTTTTTCTCCTCTCTCCTCCGGAATTGGGTCATTCCTTTCTCTCTCTCTCTCTCTCTCTCTCTCTCTCTCTGGGTATTTCTTTTTGCATAGCTCTGGAAAAACAAGGGATTCGGATTCCACCACAGCCATTATCATCATCGGACGAAGTTCAACGACATTTAAGGAAAAAAAACGACGACTTTTCATACGATGGCTTGTTCAAGGTATCGTGGGCCACAAACCATTATTATACGTTTTCGCGCATATACCATTTCTCATGACGACATGTTTCCTCATTATCAGGCATCCTTCATTGTTGTTTTTATTTTTATTTTCACCGAAAAAAAGCCATTGGATTATTGCATCGCATTTGGATCGCATCTCGTGCATATAGGTTATCAATTGAGAAAATGATGCTTTTGGTACTTGGCCCTAATGATCGGATTCTATCGGTTTTCAGAAATGTATAAGAGGTCAAGTAAAGCCTGCCTCCGAGGCACCTCTGTAGTTGTATTTGGACCCCGCTTATCTAGCAAGTGGACATGTTCGTGGTTCTCAAAAAGAGCTGTCTCTTGTTCAACGGCTGAGCAATACATGACTGCAGCACCAAGGGCACGCGGCTTAAGCAGTAGCCTTGTTTTTCCAAGGAAAATCCGGAGGCAGCGTTTTTTGCGCATCCCGACATCAAGAAGGCGGACTTGTCAGATGTGGCATGAAGCTTGTGGGCTTCTTGGAGAAAGCTTCCCCGCTGTCTGCGTTGGTCTGAAAACACCCACTCTTCAAGTTGCGCTCCGCCACCGCTGCTCGTGCTCCACTTTTCTCTTCACCACGCTCCTCAGCCACTTTTCCAAGCTCTCTGCTTCAGCCTGTGCGTCAATGTCCATCACATCGCCCTCAACGTCCAATTTGATGCCGCCTTGATCTTCGCTGTCGTCCTCGCCGCAACACGCCTCCTCGGCCATTTGACAGGCTTCGTTCCAATCTTCGTAACTAAAGGATCCTTCGCTCTCACTCAGCAACATCTTCCTCTTGCCCGAAAAAGCGAAGACATGGACTGAGCGTATGGGTTTCGCGCGCAAGAGCTGGTTGGCGGTCGGGGATAGAAGCGCAGAAGAAGGTGAGGTAGGTTGCGCGACGATTATAGATGTGAGAGTTGTGGATAGGGGTATCGAGGCGGAGAGAAGGGCGAGAAGCGCAGTATGGAGGAGGTGAGGGAGGAGAGAAAGAGACTTGGGATAATTGTCAGCGATCTTGACCATGGCCATGAATGGTGGACTGCAGACGAACCGTATTGACACCTGCGGTACTGTCTTCTTCTGGCAAGCTCCTCACTTGCAGGGTGATTTGAACCAGCGTTCGTGGTATCGATTGCGTCAGGATAATGCTGCGCAACGTGTTGTGCACAAGGGTTTCGAGGTGTCGCTCTCTTGGGCCTTTGACAGCATTGCCGTTAGCACCGAGCTATCTTTGAAATTCTACTATCGGATACAAATACGCACTTCCTACGCCCGCAGCCGGCCTCAGGTTGACTTCAATGGCGGCTTCTTCTGGCAACTCATCGCGCCGTTGCACCTCGATTGGCCCGTTGACAGCGCCGATGATAGAGTACCCGTTGTGCGTATATGTTGCTGAGCCATCGGCGCGATTCAGGTGGGTGAGGGTGACTGTCGGGACAACCATGGCTGGATGTATTTTTGTATTGTATGCGCGTGTCGGCGTCGTCATGGGCTGGTGGCGCCCACGTCCAAAAGTTTTGGTGGGGAGGTAAGCTTTGGTCGCGGAGCGACATGTGCTCTATGCGACCGAGGTGCCAGCCAGCATCACCGCGGCCAACCCAGCCAGCCAGCCAGCCAGCCCATTGCGCCTGGGACGTGTTGGCCAGCCAGCCTCCTCACTCGCCTTTCACCGCCATCTCACCCCCGGTGTTCCCTCTGTACAAACTCCCCGCACAACTGTCCACCTCGTACCACCAGTCCGGTCTGTGTGCCAATCGTAGAGTGAAACCCACATCATGGCCGGCTCTTCGCGCAACGCGTCGCCTATCAAGCGGCTGATGACGGAGCTGCAAACATACCAATCCAACAAGAACGATGTCCTCTACGACCTGGGGCCCACCGACGACGATGTTATGCAATGGCGTGCCGTCATGAAAGGCGTGCCAGGAACCGCATACGAAGGTACACGCAGTCTCCTCTTTTCATCCGCTGTTTACGTTACTAACACATACCCCAACCAGACGGCTGCTGGCTCCTCTCCATTTCTATCCCCTCAACCTACCCCCTCGCACCCCCCACTGTCCGCTTCATAACTCCCATCTGCCACCCCAATGTCGACTTCAAAACCGGCGAAATCTGCCTCGACCTTCTCAAGACCTCGTGGACCCCTGCCTATACTATCTCTACGACTATGACTAGTATCCACCAGCTGCTTACCAGTGCTGAGCCAGACAGCCCACTCAACGTCGATGTTGCGCAGTTGTTTCGCACAGGCGACGAGGTTGGCGCGCGTAGCTTAATCCGCTGGTATACTGCGAGCGAGAAGTATGCCTGGAAGGATAAATATTAAACCTTCAACTTGGGCGGAAAGTAACGAGAGCTGACGGATAGTATTGGCGTTTATTTTCTTTTTCTCTTTTTTTACAACTGTTCTGGGCAAAGATACCCAAGTAAACTGACTCGAGTTACCCCAAAGAAGTCTATATCATGTGAATTTGCTATTTGAATATCTTCCCCGGGATCCATCTTTCACACCAATCTTCTTTCGGAAGCAAATGCATATGGCTATCAAAAAATGGCCACCACTATTACTAATAGGACAAAAACTATAAAGCCCTTATCAGGTCAGATTCTTACACACAGACACCAATAATTCTTGCGTGTGTTTTTTTTTAAACTTCTCCAGCTTAAAGAAAACTATAACTCACCTGATCTCCTCAAATATAGCTAACTATATTACTACTACTACTCCTACTTTGACCTGGACTTTTCATGCACAGCTTAATAGCTTAATAGTTTAGCAAAAAAAAACCCCCACATCACGCTGCATCTGGAACACTCCCCCCCCAACCCCCAACCCTAATCCCCCTTCTTTCTTTGGAAAGAAGGGAAAAAACAAGCGAAATCGCATATACCTATAACCCTTATACTAATAGATTCTCTTTTCAGCAGCAAGCCCCCTTTCCCCCGCAGCCACCCACTTTTCTTCTCGTCATCGTCTCCGCGGAACGCACTAAAGAGGAGGAGCTGAAAAGTCGTCTTGTTTTCGGAATTTGCCATGAGATGGGAAGCAAAAATATCGATTATGTAACATTTTCTGACCCTGTTTGGGTATTTTGGAGAAGGTTTAGAGTTTATTTTAGCTGTTTGCTTGTCATCTCTTGCGTCGCTGAAAGCGTATGTGCTGAAAGTCTTTTATTAGTTTGAATGCTGAGATGGGGAGGTTGGTTGGTTTGGATTTTGGCTATGATCAAGGCGCGCGGGGGAAGAAAGTAGGATATGGAGGTGGAAAAGTGTGTGTGTGTGTGTGTGTGTGTGTGTGTGTGTGTGTGTGTGTGTGTGTGTGTGTGTGTGTGTGTGTGTGTGTGTGTGTGTGTGAATGACATTATTTTTATTCTACGAGTGAACGAAACCATCACAATCTTATTGTATCTATCATGAAAAAAATGTAGTTACTCAAACCCCTCCCCCCCCTCCTCCCAACATGCGTAAACGGCGCCCTTAACTTATCCACATATACCCCTACTGCATCTCATCCATCCCCCACCTTGCCCCAACACCATCCCCCCTTCCCCTCGCAATAATAAAGGAAAAAAAGTTCGTGCATATTGCCTCCCCATATACCCTCCTAACTCTCCCCCCTCCCCCAAGTCAACCGCACACCCATACCCAAACCCCGCCCCACAAATCTTATATTCCCCTACCCGCAGCCCGCACCTTAGACGACCCCCTGGTCACCTTTATTTTCCCACAGACTCAGCTACGCAGCACGTACGCCACCACGCAGCGCTAACGCACGCCTCATGGCTGAAAAGGCGAACAGGGTTGGTGCCTCGTATGCGGTTCACGCCGTTGAGTGGGTGGTTTTTTGGGGTCACGCGGCTCGATGAAGAGCTGGGTGGACAGCGAAGCAAGGACAAGCGCTCATGTGCTGTATGCTTCTTTTTTTGGTTGCGGCTGGTGTTTGGGTGGAGTCTTGGATCCCGGGATTTTTCGGAGAGGGCTGGAGGTGCGGTGGGCGGAAGGTATGAAGAGATCATGGGATGGGATGAATGTGGAGGTGAGAAGGTAGAGCGAAGGATGGGGTCAGGTGGGATGTACATGCGGTGAGAAGGGCAAGATGTGTTGGCGGGAAATGAGGTTGTGCGTGGTGTTTTCCGTTCTCCTCTCTCGAAACATCAACCCTTGAGATGGTATTGTCGATTCCATGCCTTTAGAAGCCTCACTTTTTTTCTTCTTTGTTTTCTGCCTTTTCAGCAGCGCGGGTGATAGGGCGGTATATGCGGAATGTTGCGGGATAAAAGAAGAAGAAGAAGAAGAATAAGAAAAAAGACACGACATCATCCGGCATTGATGGTCCATTGGCTGCGTCTCCAGCCTCTTGTCGAGACAGTAACGACGCCTTCACGGATAGTGTCGTTTTCTGGCCTGATATTTGTGGGGATGCGACGTGAATAGAGGATAGTCTCTAGTTCTTCGGGCCTTTTATCTGTAGGCGCTTCCGTTTTCATGCCCTCTTCTGTGATTTCAGCGACTGCGATTGTTGGCAAGGGAACTGGAAAGTATGGTGCGTCGTATGGTCCGGGAAGGCTCTGCGGCGGTGCTATCCATGGGTATATGGGTGAACGAGATGGTTCTAGAGTTTCTTGTTTGAGGGATTCAAGGTATTCGTTTTGGTTTTGTTCCAGTGATGGCTGATAAGTCGTGTCGTGACTTTGTGTTTCCGGGTCGGTGTTCTCTTTCGAGTCCACATCTGGATGCACCTGCTCTCCCGCAAACACATTCAACTCTCCACCCTGAGATGAATCTTTTCGTTTTTTGACAACCAAATTCTCTTGGCCCATGCCGGAGTCCTCCATCTTCTCATCAAAACGCAACACGCTTTTTCTTCTCCTTCCCAGAATACGTGCGATTGAGCGCAGGGTTATTACAAACAAAGAAACCAGCAGAACAGTGCTAAAAAGAGGTTGTGACTTGACTGCTGTGCGCCAACCATCCAAGCAGCCAACCCCAGTAGATATAGGGAGTGGAGGCATCGGAACAGTAATGACGACGGTGCGACGGATATAAGCCTTGGCACAGTGCTTCTAAGCAAGTGACGAATTAACAAATATAGAGACGCTGCAGGCAGGGATAGCTCTAGATTACTTTGGTCAGTAGACTGGACAGCAGCAAGGCGGCCTTTTCATACGACATACCTCAGAAAAGGGATGGGGCAACTCGTTAGCATAAGCACTAGGACACGAAGCCTCCGGTCAATAGTATCGAGATCGAGTTTTTTTTTTCTACAAGACTCGTGGGCAAAAGGCTCCAGTCCGTTCCTGTACAAACTTGCACCGGGGTCCTGGATGTTATCAATAAAAAGCGATGTATGGGGCGGGACAAGAACAAGCTGATGTGATGATGATGCAAAAAATACGGGTGTTACTGTTCCTGCATTTCGCTTCCCTCGACAACGATGCCATTGTGAATTACTTATTTACCTTTGACGGCGACATCAGCAAGCCCAGGTGACACTGAAACATGATGATTTCAAGATGCTAGCCCGCCGCGATCTGGTGGCGCTGGCAAAGTGCCACACGCTAGGATGAAGCGAAAGCCCGGATAGAAGGCGAATCGAGTAAAAGGTACCAGACATGGTCCATCTCAGCTGTATCGTGCGGGCGGCAGGCGCAACATGACAGATGCTACCAGGGAATCGGCTTAGGGTGGTGGGCGGTCTCAGCACGTCAACCAGCGTGCTTGCAGCTTGGCAGCTCCTTGTTCAGCTCGAGTGCGCAATGGTGGCGTTCGTTGTGGCGCTGGCCGCTCGGCATTCCGGCGGATTGGCAGGGGTAACCCGAGTCGCATCTCTGCGCCAGGGAACAACGGCGAGCTGGCGCGGAACGCATTCGACCATAGCCCTCGTGTGCCCTTTGGCGCCGCTACTGGTGGTGCACTGTGGCGTAATCATCGAGGCACAAAGGGGGGGTGGTGCTGCCAAGGCATCGTGTCCCGTGATGAGTGGGTTTCAGCTTGTGCGCAGACGCCAACCGAGAAGGCAACCCTACCCCCATCCACCAACAACCAACAGGCAAAACTGGTTATCGGACTGCAGCTTGACGCCCATGTGTACACCTCCACCAATCGCTTCATCGAAACAGCCGCCGTTTCCGCTCCATGTGGGCATGTTTACAGCGATTTCGTGCAGCAAATGATTGCCTCTACCATGTGAATGGTAACTGTTAGCGACTCCGGCTTCCATGGTTTCCGCAACTCTACCCTCACCGATTCTAGTTTCTTGGGCGTCAATGTCCGTCTCAATCTGGTTACCTCTTCTGCTACCCACGCTGTACACATGCTGCCACAATTCGTCAAAGCGCTCGCGATCTTCGATTCCTTGGATCCCGCTGTAATATCGATCCTCATCTTGATCGCATACTTACACATTTTAGCAGCCGGCCAGCATGGACCTCGAGCCGTCTTGTGCAAAGGCTAGCTGGCATCCACGACTAGACTGTTCGAAATGTGCTACGCCGTCAGCTAGATTTGCACGTTGACATTTCTCATTTGTTCAGTAATCCGCCGCGTACACATCTTCATGTACTTGTTGCTTGTTTTTTTTTGTTTGAAAGCCACCCACCGGAATTCTGTCATGTTGAACCACCGAGTGTTGAAAATGTTACAGCCATGTCTCAATCCGAGTATAGCAGCCACTCACACCACAAAGATGATATGCACATCGCTGTACAAGTATGCATGCATCTAGAACCCTGCTTGCAGAAAAGTGCAGTTTTTATGTCGGCGATGCTATCACGAGGCGAAACATCTCCTTCCAGCTAGTCCATAGTCAACTCAACAGCAGAAACTCAATGTACTATACCGGAACACACCGTGATTCGCGGTCATGGAAAGTACACAGCCCGGCTCATTTAGGCAATCTCGTCGTTGATATTAGTCTGCCTGAAACTCAGGCGTAGCGTCCTTCTCCACGGCGATCCCGACGCCACACCAGCACGTGATTCGCCTCGCGCACAAACACCTCGATATGTATGCATTAGGTCAATGGCGAGAATGCTGGCCAGACTCTCGGTAAGGGGCTGGGATAATCTTCTGCTGGCAGAAGATAGACAGCTAGACTATTGGAGGACGCATTGCCGCTTTCGAACATTCAAATTAGAACCAGTTGTTATGCTACGCCCCTTGTTTTCAGACTACCGTAACAGGCTTTCGTGGCATGTTTGTGAGCATTCTCCTAACTTGCGTCCTTGTAGTGTAGAAGAAACCGATACGTTGAAAACTGTTTTCTCTGGCCGACGAGTCAAGCACTAGACCAATGACCGCTTCATTCTCATGTGCAGTCCTCTTGGTGATTCCTATAATAGGCAATAACGTGAGCTGCTCTGGTATCTTGTCCATGGCTGTATCAAAGAAAATCTCTTGCTCCGTGTCAGAGTCTGGAGGGACGGAAACAGAATCGCTGCGATTCAAGTCCTGTGGAAAGACATGCGTGATCCTCGCGGTCTTGGGTTTGGCAGAAGGAAAAGGATTCTCAGTAATCCAGAGAATTGACGTGACTGGTCCAACGAGTCTTAAAAATCCAGAGCTGACTCGACCAAAGCGATAGACACTATCATGTGATACGCTTGCTTCTTCAAGTGTTACCAGGTAGTCGTTCGAATCGTAGTTATGCTGACACCACGCAAACGATATTTTGCCTTGGATGGAGGCCCAGGACCATGTCGGAGCTATGTATTCTTTGTACCTCTTTGGATAGCTTAGCCATTTATATGAGTACCCTCCCTGAGGTGTCTCAGTCGTCCTAGGTTTCCATAAAAGATACACCGGCAGTGACGATTGCCACATACCTGCAAGATATCCGTCTCCAGGTTCGCCTGAACTGGAAACTGACATGCTACTTGCAATACCAGCCAGTGCAATAAGTTTATCTTTAGAGAAGCTGAGACTTGCCATTGAGTACAGTTCCACCACTGCATCCCAGTCTCGAAATGCTGACGAGCTCTTCATTTGGGCATGGAGAGTAACTTCTTGAATAATGATAGGTCGGAACATTGTCGTAAGCCTATTCCGTATTCTTTTCATCATTGTTTCATTTTTGGGGGCTTCTGAGATGTACTTTGCGGGCCAGCGTTCGTCCTTGGTCTCATCTCCAAGATGTAGTTTCTTAATATCGATGAGTGGATCTCCGCATAAAGCAGCAGGTAGTCCGTTATGGTAGGTTTCGCATGCGGATAGCTCTCGACATTCCCAAAAAACCTGCTCATGCCCAAAATGTAAAACACGGGGTGAAAGGATTCGTTCTTGTAGTACCCATGCACGTCTATTCAGTGGTTCTTCCGTAAGCTTTCTGGCCCAGAGGCTAGGTGCTGGTACAACGAGATACCTGGTTTTTCTTCCCCGGTTATTTGACCAACAAATGTCAAGTTCCGTCGGTACTACCTCCCGCGGATTTCTTTCCCAAAAGCATCCCTGAGAGCTGTCGCTCGCACCTGTGGCAGCTATGTTAGCGAAGGAGTACCGGTATACATTGCTCATCGAAGCAGCTTCACGCATCCAGTCGTCGCTATCGTCTTGAATTATGCATAAAGAATCAATCCAAAGATAGCGTAAGTGGAAATTTCGGGCGATCTTGACTGCATCTCGGAATGTCTTTGGAAATTGTTGATAGGGAATGAGCTGCTTGAATTCCTCGATATTGCTTCTCGTTGTTCGAGGAAGTTGTACAGTTATACCCCAGCAGTGAGAGAGTGTAGCGTACTTTTGTTTAGACTGAGAAATATCTTTTCCATTTACCAATCGAACCACGTCTTTTTCAGAGGTGCCGACATCAAGCAATAGTGTGGGTGCCCATTGCTCTGGGGGAGAAGTGTTGCATCGGGAGTGGTTCTGGGAGCAATTTCTCACCCAATGTTCAATCAGATTCCAAGTCTCTGGAGAGTCTGTAGATACTGAAGGCTGGTAATGGGCATAGCCGCCTTTGAGGAAAGATGAGCTTTGATTATACGAAAACCATAGGATCTAGCCGACTCACCTTGAGGGTCCTCAATAGTTTCAAAGTAAAACCGCAGTCTAAAGCTTGCCGCGGTCTGTGATTGCAAGATCAATTCGAATGAATGCTGCCAGCTTGCTGAGGATGTGTCTGATTCGCAATCAATAGGGAATAACGCTTCCGGATCAGAAGAGTCCGAGTCCCTGTTGTATAGCCGACTAAATACAAGCGCACACATACAACAAGCGGTTTCAGCTGAACTTCTCAGAGATGAGAGTGATTGGTGATATGTAAGGCTTTTGTACCATCCAGTTACCCGTATTGTATTTAGTATGTCCTTGCATATTGTGCACAATTCTCTGGGAGCCGTGGAAACCATATCAGGAGATGCAGTAATATACTTTGTCGAAGGCCAGGTGTAGCAGTGAACATGGCGCGACGTTGCCTAAAGAACTGGTGGGATCCGGTCGGCTATAATATGCAGAGTGGCTGAGCAAGAATACCCCACCCACGTCTCGTACTGCAGCCTCATTTCTCTTTGCTTAGCGAGAGTGCTGCGCAATTTTTTCTGCCATGCCTTCCGTGTGTGTGTGTGTGTGTGTGTGTGTGTGTGTGGCTCGTCAATGTTGGTCTTTGGTGCCTCCTCATCGACGTGGGAGGGAGACTTGGACATTGAAGCATGCATAATCTCTTAGTTTCTTAGTGTGTAGTATCCATAGGCTCACGGATTTAGAGTATGCATCGTTCGTAGAAACTGCCCGCAATAATTTTGGGAAAACATATGACACTAGCCCTAGTGTTGTTGGCCGTAGCGCATGACTAGGAGGTCATTAAGAGACGAATCAAAATTATCACACAACAACCTTTTCTAGGCACAAAAGAGTATGCCCGCACGACAGCCACCCTCAATAACTTGGCAACCCTCTTGTAAAACTCTCAAAACTGAGCATCGAGCTGAAAGACCGGTCGGCCCTCCCTCCATTCGTCAAAGTCTTTTTCACCTGGCATCTCTCTGCCATCAGAAAGCCTGAGTCTTGGGAATCGTCTCGCCTCGCGGTTATAAATAGGCTCTTTTTGGGCCAACTCCTCATTGACTAGGACTAGAGCACCGGAATGCCAGCCTGCAGCACTGACCCGCAGAACGAAGTGCGCGCCGAGGCCATCTTCGCCGCCATCTTGATCCCAGGCTCTGGCTTCTTGTTCGAACCACTCACTGACTTCCCCTTGTACATCGGTATCATCATTCCACATTTGTTTGCGTTCATGGCTTTCTTGATCGTGTGCATCATCATGCACAGTTTGCGCAAGCCATTCATTTTTCCTTGCGTCGAACCAGACCTGGCGACCGGATGTGTAAGCATGAGGCAGCAAGCGCCCATTGGCATTGAACCTGTCGTACGAAATACCGCGAGCCTTTCCGACTACACTGTCATCGTTTGAGCCCAGGCCAAGCGCTCCACAGGCTGTATTCTCCATGCCATATGATGTAATCTTTCCGTTCGCGTGGAGTGCAAGGTAGTGATAATCGCCAAAAGCGACCGAGATAACGTCGTTGTGCTGCAGAGCCGGTATCTTTTTCAAGCCCGGTATGTCTTTTTGTTCTGGATTCTCGTGCAGATGCTGTATGCATGATTCGAGGTAGTTCTGGTCGCTGATTATAACCTCACCGTCCTTGAAAACAGCGAAGCTGCGGAAAGAGCCTTGAACATCGACAGGAGCGCCTTTCTCATGACGCAGTTGACGTAGCTCCACGACTCTGTCGATAGCGTTCTTTTCTCCAAATCTTCCGCAGAACACCTTGCCTAAGTCGGTGGTAAACACGACAAAGTGCTCCAACATAATGTAATTCATCACTGCTCCCACCTCTTCACTTAATTCTCTCTGCTCATCGCTCTCGCGAGCACCTTTGAGACGCTGATAGCCAGTCTTCGGGACTTCTGCATGTTCCATAACGAGCATGGTGTCTGTGCCTCCGTCACCATGATCTCTTTCAACTGGATCCCATATAACTATGCCAATACCATTCACAAGGGCCGAACTTCGACTCCACCCTGCTACGACTTGTTTGATCTGTCCAAAAGTAGATTCGGTGCTCGACGTCCCACGCAAAGAGAGCTCATTGATTTGCAGGGTCGCAAATTTGACTTGCAGAGCAGGTTCCCTTGTGTCGAACCACGACCATAGCCTGCCACTGTCTGAAAGCGCTAGTATGTGTGCTCGACCCGAGGAGAATTGGCGAATGGCAACTGCTGGCTCTTCGTATTGAGCTTGGGTAGCATTGGTTGGGTAACCTTCTGGAAAACGGAGAGCTTGGAGGGGGCCGGTGCCGTAGGTGATTCTTTGGCCATCAAGGACTCCCGCAGTATGCAAAGAGCCCTTGGAGGTGAGAAGGGTTGTCGACCAGCCTCTATACGCATGTGTTAGCACTTTGCACAGCTAAGACGGCACAAGCTCCACAAAACGTACCCGCATTGCATGTCTGCAATGACGCCCAGATTTCGCGTGTTGTCCATTTCTATCGGATGTGCTTCCTTTGAGTTGTAACTAGTAGGACGGCCTGGTCGCATCAGATTTGCCCTTATATGGGGCATGTGAGGAAACAAAGTGGTCTCGGGACGGGAAGCGTGTCCCAAACGGTTATGGCCATTCTGACCCCACGTGAAGACACGGCTCTGAGTGAGCAGCCGACGATACATCTTCTGCCACCGAACACCGTTATGCTGGACGACTGGCTGGTTAGGTACGCGGAAAGTGGTGCGGGTGGTGTAGCTCCAATAGGCGGGGTCGAGTCGTATCGAGGGCTGCTGAAACGATTTGCATGTACTGCACAGACTGAGGAAACTCTTTGCGTCTAGGTACGGGAATACGAGTACGAGGATATCGAGTGGGAGATCCGTGATGGATGTGACTCGTTCGGCCATGGCGATGATGGCGGGGCCTTTTTGAGGCCTGTTGTAAAGACGTACTCGTGCAGTCTAGGGATATGCTTCTGCTGCGTATAGAGCTGGCAGGTAAGAGATAGGAAGGGTAGTATCAGTATAGGGGATGCCTAAACTTGGTCTTGTTTGTGGTTGAATGGCCAATGACGCAACAAACACCTGCGGGGCTGAATGCGGGACATTTCCGTCCGGGCGCTAGTCCCGAACCGGTCACCAAACTTCTGACTCAATTCACGACTCTATCAAATTTCCGCCTGCCCAGCGAGGCTTACCACTCCACGCATTCTACGGCTCCACCTTGCTATTTCAGGCCACAGAGCTATCCACCAAGTTTGATAGCCCTCGGGAAGCCAGGTTCAAGAACAGGAGCGCAGGCATACCCCCACCACACAAGGCTAGCTTTCACCTGACTGGCCACCATCCAGACGCGAAAAGCAGCAACGACACAAGAGGCCCAACGCCATGTCTGAAGAACAAGCTACTGTGCCTGCGGCGGTGCCAGCGCTAGAAGCAACCGCCCCTACAGTTGCCCCAGCACCTGTCGAGGGTGCGCCAGCGCCTGCAAATGGTGATGCTACAGACGGACCTAAGAAACTCTCGCCAGCAGAATTAAAAAAGCAAAAACAGGCCGAAAAGCAGGCCAAAAGAGCGCAGGCCAAGGCCGCAGGAGGTACACCCAACCAACAGCAAGGGCCCCCGAAAGATGGTCAAAAGCAGCAGAAAGACCCAAAGCAAACATCGAAAGACGACAAGTCAAGACCTCTCCCAGTACGGCGACGGCCATCGCAGCAAAATGTGCCAAATTCAAAAGAACTAGAGAAGAAGTCAAAGAAAGACTTGAGTTCAAAGCAAACAGGCTTGTTTTTTGGCCACCTGTATAGCCAGCCCAAGCAGCAGTCCCTAGTCGGAGCATCAAAAGATGTACACCCAGCGGTCCTCGCGCTTGGTCTTCAATACAGCAGCTACACCATCTGTGGTAGTACAGCGCGCATGGTAGCCATGCTTCTAGTGTTCAAGACGGTCATTGAAGCCTACCAGACACCTCCAGGTAACAGCTTGGCTCGCCATCTTACCAGCCATCATCTCGGTCCCCAGATTGAGTTCTTGAAGAGCTGTCGACCGCTCAGTATTAGCATGGGAAATGCCATCAGGTGGCTGAAGGACGGTAAGTCTGCGCTTTGTACTCTACTCAGAAAGACATGGGAAGCAGAAAGTGCTATTGCTATGCCAATATCCTGCTAGAGTGTTCGGACCCAGTATGCTGATTTTTGGCAGTCATTATCAAAATAGATCCGTCGACCCCGGAGAGCGAGGCTAAGCGCGATCTCATTGAGGAGATTGACATTTTCATCCGTGAACGTGTCACAGCTGCGGACAGACTCATCCGCGACCTGGCAGCTACCAAAATCCAAGCAGGCGACGTAATTCTTGTTTATGCAGCCTCTTCTATCGTCGAGCAAACCATAATACATGCTCACGAGTCCGGCATCCCGTTCACGGTCATTGTGGTCGATTCCAAGCCACTCTTCGAAGGCAAGCAACTGGCACGGAAGCTCGCAAACCGCGGCATCACTGTTCGCTACTACCTTGTTACTGGAGCCTCGCACGCCGTAAAAGACGCCACCAAGGTCTTCCTGGGAGCCCATGCCATGATGTCCAACGGCCGTCTCTACTCGCGCGTCGGCACAGCTCTAATCTCCATGCTCGCCTACTCGCACTCCATCCCCGTCATCGTCCTCTGCCAATCCGTCAAGTTCACAGAAAAAGTCGCTCTCGACTCCATCGTAGGAAACGAGGTCGCCCCCGCCGAAGAAATGCTCTCCGAGGCCGAGCGTCGTGCTCTCCTCCCCCTCAAATCCCGTCTTCCCTCCTCCAAAACCGACGACAAAACGGGCGCCGAGGACATAGCTGCTGACACCACCGATGTCCTGAAATGGATCGAAGAAGCAAAGAATCTGCATCATCTTCAGGTTCTCTACGACGTTACCCCCGCTCAGTACATTAACATGGTTATCACCGAATACGGGAGCTTGCCGCCCAGCTCGGTCCCCGTCGTCCACCGCCTGAGTACGAACATATAAACTCCTGCCCAGCGTCATTTTTTCTTTTTTTGTTCAACAATACAGAGTTTTTTTTTCACGAAGCCAAGTACTAACACCCGGTGTTTCAGGAACTGAAGAGCAGGAAATTACGCCTTCCAAGAAGGGTATACGTCAGGCTACTGGGTGGTAAGAAGGGTTTGGTTGGGGAAAAAAGGCTTACTTGGATATATATCTTTTTTTTTCGTCTCGGGGGAATAGCCAAATGTGGAGTTTCTTCTAGTGTTGTAGAGAAGCTGGCTTTTTCTGGAAAGCTGAATTAAGACGGTAGATAGACAGGTTATCCTCTTGCTCCACAATTTCAAACTATGGCTTGCTGATCAATCCTGCTTGAGTTTTGTTTACGTTTTTAGCACCCCCAACTTTGTGTTTGGGTGCAAGTCCTCCGAGTTGATACTCCAAGTTGGAAATGCATGTCATTATGGTAAGTCGGCCAAACATAACCATCACCCTCGCAGTCTTGCACATTTATATGTATCTTACGGAATTTATTTGCTTCGCATTTTGCGTACATACTGGACACTTAAACAAACACATTGTCTGCTCGCCCCTGCCAGATCACTACGACTTATCCTTCATCGCCCGCAGCGCTCCCATAACATCAATCGGCTCCGTCTTACCAGTAACCTTCTGAAGCTCTGGGTCCGTAACACGCATGAACACATTATGCTGTTTCTCGTCGCCAATCGTAAACTTGCCCTGCGTCTGCTTGTTCTCTTGCGAAAACGTGTCAAGCTTCTTGATCGCATCGTTGTTAAGCACTGTCTTGGCGAATTTCACGTTACCCTTTGTGTACTCGTGTCCAGGGAAGACTTTGGTGTCATCGGGGAGTGCTGCAAGTGTTTCGTTCAAGGCTTTGTGCATTTGCTCGGGGTTTCCTTCGAAGAAGCGGCCGCATCCGCCGATGAACAATGTGTCTCCTGTGAAGACGGCACGGTCGTTGCCGTCTTCGAAGTAGAAGCAGATGCTGTCTTGGGTATGGCATGGTGTATGGAGTGCCTTTACGTTGATGGAGCCGATGTTGAAGGTTTCGTTGTGAGCAGGTGTAGTTGAGACTTTTTCGCAGTCGCGTCCGCCAATTATCGGCAGGTTGAAAGCTTTGAGCTGAGATGCGAGTTAGGGTTAGCAATCCAGATTAGGTGGTGTTCATTGAATCTCACGATTTCAGTATTGCCTCCAGCATGATCATGATGGCTTTTGAAAAAGATCAGCACGGTTCAGTTTAACAAACGGGGGGACTTACTGATGTGTGTTGATTATCTTTGTCAATTTGAGGCCTCCAGTAGTGGTCTGCTCTTTCAAAACAGGTAGCACTCTGTGTCATAGTTAGTAAGGTCAACGATCCCAATTGTTGCTGTTAAGCGTACTCTGGGGGGTGTGCCGGATCGATGATCACAGCCTCCTTGGTCTTATCATCGGACACTAGATAGGCATAGTTGTTGCCGGTACCTTCCCCTAAGAAATGCGTGAGCAAACTTATTGATGGAGCCTTCCATCAAGGTGCTCTTACACATGGGAATCGATTGGATATGCATGGCGCGGGCGGGCACGGATGAACGCTGCTTGGCGTTAGCTTTCACATCAACCCATGGAAACTGATGAGTCTATTTACTTTTGCAATGGGCCGAACAAATGATGATAAAGAACTACGCTTGATTGAAGCGGCGAGAAAGTTCATAAGGACGATAGTAAGAGAGATTGGTGGAATGTGGGAGCCATGCAATTGGAAGTGTAATGACGTGTTTGCTCTCTATCGATAAGAACGTCACGTGGAAAAGAGGTCCATATCTGGAAGTCACATATCATTCATCAGACTGATTGCACATATTTGTGTTCCTCATCAAGCCCTCTAGTCATAGCAATTGGAAACATATATGATTTCTTTGGCTCACATCACCGTGGTATGAAAGAGTTTTAGAGTCGATACATGCATTCATGTCCTATTTACACTATTACTACGCCTGGAAAAGAAGCCTAATCGTACGCCGTAACCATGCTCATACATTCGTGAAAATCATTTCGCATTACAAAATTCAATCATAGGAGCGACTTCAACCTCTTTTGTAGCTCTGGCTGAGCTGTTGATCCCTCACTCCGCAAACGGCGCTCTTGTGGATCATGCAGGGGGTCGCGAGTAACTGTGGCCTTGATCTTCTTGCCAAAGTACTCAATCTCCACTGACGCTCCTTCACTAATGTTGCTTGGAAGCCATGCGTATGCCACCGGCTTCCTGACAGTGTAACCGAAAGCTGCACTGGTGACATAGCCGGCTCTTTTGCCCTCGACAAAGACTGGCTCTTTACCCAGCACCATTGATCGACCATCGTCGACGGTGAGACACCTGAGGCGACGAGGAGCAGCCTTCTTCGAAAGCCTCTCCAAGGCAGATTTTCCAATGTATTCCGCCTTCTTATCCAGTTGGATTGCATACGTTACTCCAGCTTCCCAAGGGTTGTGTTCAGAGTTCATGTCAGATCCCGACGTTCGGATGCCCTTCTCGATTCGTAGACCGTTGAACGCTGCGCGACCAGCAGCGATGAGTCCGTGAGGCTTGCCTGCCTGCCATAGCAGATCCCAAAGACGCAGACCAAAGTCAGGCGTGGTCTGGATCTCCCATCCATACTCTCCTACAAAAGACTTCCGGAACATAGTAACAGGAATGCCTGCTATGCTGGTCCTCTTAACGCCCATGTAAGGTAGCCCTTTGTTGCTGAAGTCATCTGAGCTGACCGTTTGGATAACATCCCGAGCCCTGGGGCCCCAAAGACCAAGACAGCAGGTGCTACCTGTAATGTCTCGAACTTGAACCCATTTACCGGGTGTGTGCTTTTCCTGACGGCGGCCCTCGCGTATGAGGTATGCAAGGTCGGTCGCAGTGTTGGCACCCACCTGGAATAGATCTTCCTCGATCCTGGATACGAAAAGGTCGCTCAAGACACTGCCATGGGTGTTGACAAGCAAAGTATGAACGATACTGCCAGGTTGTGCGGAGACGTCGCTAGTTGTAAGTCTTTGGAGCAGGTGAACTGCACCAGGTCCAGATACCTCGAAACGGTGAAAGGTTGTCATATCGTATAATGCTACGGCATTTCTTGTCTTCCACGCTTCAGCGGCAGCAATTGGCGAATAGAACTTGGATGACCAGGCATCGCGGTCGACGGGCTTCCACTCGACTGGCAAAGTTTGTACCAATCCAGCGTTCGCCTCATACCAGTGTGGACGCTCCCAGCCTCCAACTTCGAGGAAGAATGCGCCTTGTTCTTTCTGTCGGGCGTAGAAAGGGCTTACTCGGAGGTTTCGGGGGCTCTCCTTTGGTGCGAGAGGGTGGATAATGTCGTAAATCTCAACAAAGTTCTGCTGCGAAGTTTCGCTGACGTACTCTGGGCTAAGCTGAACTTCTTCGAAACGTGTGAGCTCGCACTCGGAGATGTCAACAGTTGAGCGGCCCTCTGTCAATGTCTCTGCAACGGCCCGAGCCACACCAGCTGAGTGGGTGACCCAAACAGCTTCGGCGACCCAGAAGTTGTCGATGTTAGGAGCTTGCCCAACCACGGATCCACCGTCAGGTGTGAACGAGAAGATTCCGTTGAAACCGTCTACAATTTCAGTTTGGCGCAGAGCGGGAAGTAATTCCTTGGTGGCTTGCCAAGCTGGCTCAAAGTCCTCGGGTGTAAAGTCCAGTCGAGATGGCATACTCTTCTCGTCGACATGCTTGGGAGTGACACCCAATTCAGAGGCTTTGACAGGCATTGGGCGATGGCCGTAGTAGCCAATGCCAAATTGCTCTCCATGCTCCCGATAGTATAAGTCCTGGTCTTGGTGTCGTAGAATCGGGTATTCAGCGTTCATAGCGTTGATCTTTCCGTTAACTTCGCGGTTCTGGAGACCAGGGACAGGTGTTGTCTTTGCGTACTGGTGACCGAGAGGAAGGAGCGGAACCTTGAGACCGATCATAGCGCCAATCTCCACACCCCAAAATCCTGCGCATGAAACAACTATATCTGCTGATATTGAACCGTTGTTGGTTGTGACACCAGTTACTTGGCCGTTTGCTTGCTCAATACCCGTAACAAGGGTATGTTCAAGGTACTTCACGCCGGCGTTGCGTGTGTTCTCGATGAGAATTTGTGTCGCGCGAGCTGCCAATGCGAGGCCATCGCTTGGGATGTGTAGACCACCAAGGACGATGTCCTTGTTTAAAAGAGGATACTTCTCAAGGCACTCTTCAGGAGTGATCAAGCGGGCCTCGATACCCCAAGACTGTGCATATCCATGCTTGCGCTTGAGTTCTTCCAAACGCTCGGGTGTAGTCGCAATCTCCAAGCCACCCAATTGGTTGAAGCAGTTTTGTCCATCCTTCTCCAAGGCTGATAGCTTTTCGACTGTGTATTTTGCGAGTAGCGTCATTGTTTTCGAAGGGTTTGTTTGGAAGACTAGGCCGGGGGCGTGTGATGTTGAACCGCCCGGCATACTCAGAGGGCCCTGCTCAACAACGGTGATGTCCTTCCATCCTCTTGAGACCAGCTCATCGGCCAGGTTGGTGCCGACAATTCCGGCACCGATAATGACAACACGCTGAGAAGTCGCCATTGCGAAAGAACAAAGGGAGGATTGATGATTGACTGGTTTCCAAGAGCCGTAGGAGGCGCTGCTCTCTTAAGACTACTCATGCTGGCGATAACGGACCATGCTGCAATACTTGCCCATCCCAGAAGCCGAGACTAAGCGTGATTCAGAACTTCAATTGGAAAAACATCTCGCGTGATGATTCGAGCGGTAAGTGCTGGATCCAATCCGTCCTTCGCCCCGCATGCTGACCTGACGACATTGGTGGGGAAGATGCCAGTCGTGGATGTAGGGTCCTGATGTCCATACTGGGCCTAGTGCAACATCTGCCGGGCAAGAAGAGGCAAGCCGTGGCGACACTACATAGCTTGCAGCAACCCCCGCCTCGCGCGTGCGCAACACCATCCGACTCTTCCTTCACTCGACACACTGCAGCACTTCCGTCTGTTACCGCGCCAGGTAAGTCATCATAGTATGTGGAGCTTAGTATGCTCTTCCCCCAGCGAGAATTCTCGCTCCTTTTGTCCTGCCGAGCAGTGACAACGAATGCAACCTACTGCAATCCAACTATTCGAACTCAAGCAATCACTTGCTGTAAGCATTGAGAGTGATTGTACGCCATCAACCCTTACAAAGATGCATTCCACCCATCCACTGCGACAAGCCCGGACACCCTACCATCCCATCAACAGCCTAGCGACAACACTTTCCTCAGATACCCATTCGCACGGGCTGCTATTCGAGAGCGCCAATCCGCCCTGAACAGCCCCTGCAACGCATTCTGGCCAAGACGAAGCAATATGCAAAGCCCATAGAACAAACGAGTCGTTGCCATGGCCTGTAACCCACTCTCCCCGTCTGGAGCAAGCCCATATCGAGCTCACGGCTCTGTTTCCCAATTGCCTTGAGTGCGAAGAAGCGCCTTAAATATTTCCCACGACATACTGGAACTACGGAATCCCCGTAATTGAGTTTGCAGACCGTCTCGACGCCTATTAGGTGGAGATGACGAGACGTGACATGTCACTGTGCTGTCTGCACCTGTCAGGCAAGCTCACGACTACGGTTGCCGAAAACACTCAAGGCCTCCCGAAACTCCCACACAAAGGGCGATGAGGGGTAACACCACATTGCTTGTTGCGCTGGCTCTCGACTCAAGCACATAGCGTTTTTCTAGGCGAGCCACGCCTCATTATTTACACCTTCTAAGCGCTTCGCCTATCTTTTTTGGCTCACCGACAACACACCACATCATCTAAGTGGTCACTATTCACTGGGGATTGGCGTCTGTTTGCCTCAGGTTGGGTGTCCGCAGACTACCCTCCTGATACCGCTATCTGTTGCGATAGGCGTCGATTTGACTACCTCATCACCACAGCTGGCCTATCTAACGAACTGCATATCGAACTTCCAACCTCAGCGAACTTTTCGATAAGAGTGCGATAACCATTAGGAAGTACCGCCGTAATAGCTCCGGCAATTATGGTGTTGGCTCAACGGTCAAGCTTTGGGCTGGCGTCTGATGTCCGCTTTTGGAAATCAGATCCATCCAAGCCCGTGCCAACAAGAGGGGCACAGACGAGAACGGTCTTTGCATTTTGTCACCATGATCTTGTCATGCGTCGTCAATGCAGATTATCCTGGGGTAATACACCGTTGTCCACTAGCAAGGACCAGCAGAGTTCTAGCCCACTGTCTAGAATAGTAGAATGATCACGATGGCGGATGGTGCGGTTGCGGAGAGGGTTGGTAAATCATCTACCAGCGTGGCGCCTGAGGGTCACCTGCAGTCTGATTACGTCCACTCACCCCACTGGCTATCGCCTCTCGGGAGCGAATGGAAGCTATAACCCCATATGGACTTAGTAAATGGTTTCAGTTGATGCGTTTGAGGAGATAGTAAGTTTAGACAGAAACTATAATAATACTGCTGTCATCCATCAGATTGACCTTCATCTTCTTCAGCAGACCTGACTAGTTTTCAGACATCACAATCCTCCACTCCCTTTGAAAGTACTGCTGGACATCTGCAACATCTTATCTACCAACACAGTATCCCAACATGGTCGGGGGACTCCTGAGTTACCTGGGCTTTGGCGGCGCAGCCGCCCAGACTCCACCCGAGAATGAGCCTGTACGAGCCCTTCCCGCGAACTGGTACACTTCAGAAGAGATGTATCAGCTTGAGAGGCGCGCCATCTTCACAAGGAGGTGGCTTATCCTCACCCACAAGTCAAGACTCGCCAACCCTGGCGATTTCCTTCGCTACAACATCGCCAACTACGACGTTGTCGTTTCCAAAGACCGATCAGGCGAGATTAATGCATTCCACAATGTGTGCAGACACCGCGCATACCCTGTTGTCGAAAAGGACGGAGGCAACGCAAAGATCTTCTCTTGCAAATACCACGGCTGGTCATACGGCCTGAACGGCAATCTGGCCAAGGCTCCCGGCTACCAGGAGCTTCAGAACTTTGACAAGGCTAAGAACGGCCTGTTCCCCATCCACACACGCATTGACCGCAACGGTTTCGTCTGGATCAACATGGACTCAAAGAAGGTGCCCGAGGTATCATGGGAATCACAATTCGACCACGTCGACGAGCAAACCCGCTTCGATCAGTTCAACTTTGACGACTACGAGTTCGACCACACATGGAACCTCGAAGGTCCCTTCAACTGGAAGATTCTCGCCGACAACTTCAACGAGTGCTACCACTGCAAGAGCACGCACCCAGACCTAACCACCGGCCTCGTCGACCTCGAGAGCTACGACGTCTACTGCAAAGCCGACCACATCCAGCACGACCCCAAAACCCCTCAATACCGCAAAGATCTCGGCCAAGAAATCTGCTCCACATACTGCTTCCCCAATGCCTCCTTCACCGTAACCCAACACTTCCTCTTCATGCAAAAATTCATGCCCAAATCCCCCACCGAGTCCGTCATGTACTACGAAGTCTGGCGCAACAAGCACTCGTCGGAAGAAGACTTCCTCCTCATCAGCGATACATACAAGCGCGTCATGGGCGAAGACAAGGTCCTCTGCGAGCGCGCGCAAAAGAACATTGAAGCCGGCATCTTCATCAACGGCGAGCTGCATCCCCGCATGGAAAAAGGCCCCCTCTTCTTCCAGAAACGCTGCCGCGAAATCGTCATGGAGCACGGTATGCGCGAGAAGAAAGCCGGTCACAAGATTTGGCCGGCCAAGCAGCAGCTTGACTCGGAGGCTGGGTCGCTGCTTACCAAGGAAATGGAAGATTTCTGTGAGGGACTGTCGTGTGGGACTGATAATGAAAAGAGCGATCTCGCTTGGTAGTAGTAAGGATTCTCTTTTAAAAACGACATGTGGGGAACGCTTTGATGATTGAAACGACTACCTGGAGGGTTTAATTGCATGGCATATCTGGTGTTTTTCTGGCGCGGGCGCGTTTGGGGAAGGGGCAAAGAAGGGGGGGGACTGAAAGTACTAGAGGCTTAGAACTCGTACTTGTATTCGGATCTTTTTCTTTCTAATGATTCTTCTTAGCGATTGTTCGTTTTCTCTTTTTCCCCTTTTTTTTACTGCCTTCTATCTAGACAAGAGAGAGAGAGAGAGAGAGAAATAAACTTCCTGGCTATCTTCACTACACTCTTCACCTGATTGCTTTTGTTTTGCTTTTTTTCGGGGGAGCGCAGAGAGGTGCTCCAGACTCCCACTATCGCGCCCCCCCCTCCCCCAATCCCCTCTAACTTCAGCCGCTCGCTCGCTGCGGAGGAGAAGGGGGCCTGGCACTGACCCTGTTCACCCCGTCAGCATAGCAGAGCTTTGAGAGGAAGGGGGGATGGCGTAAACCCCGGCAAAAAAACCCCCCAGTTCCCCTCGTGTCCATCCACAACCCTCCATTTCCATGGAAATCCGCCCTGCATGGCCTTTTGCCCCTCTTCCCCCCGTACCAGAATCCGAGCTGCGTGCGGCGTTCCGTTAACGGACGCAGGACCTGAGATAATGGGCGACGGGAATGTGGGGTTCGACCCAGACTGCGATTTCGGTCCTAATTGGGAAAGTCTGTGCATCGGCCAATCGGATGGCAGAGATACTGGTTGATTGGCGGTCGTTGGGAGACCAGCGCGGGGGGGTTTTTTGTGGAGGATGCGTCGATGCGTCGATCATTTCGTGATATAGGGTTTCTTTCTTGGTTGGAGATTTACGGGCTATGACATCTACATGTTTACATACGTGCGTAGGTTTCGAGTTGGCGGCTGTTGTGGGGGATGATGTCACGTGAGTGCGTGGGTGTGACATTGCTCTTTAGCTGATGTGCGTGTTGAAAGCAATTCTTACGTATGTATCGTGATTGTCTTGGACATGTACACGTGAGGTTTTTCTATCACGCCTACGTCAGTTTGACGAGATGACGTGTAGAGGTATCTGGGTAGTGTGGTCCCTCACGTGGTATAGCGGTAACTTTTGCCTACTCGCATTTTCCTCCTTGGCTGTAGATGGCCAACTCGCGCAATTGCTTCTGAATATTTTTTGGAGATTCTAGAGTCTTTATTGCGAGATTCAGAGACATGTCAAGCTTGGGAGCTTGACTGTCGGCATACCTGGACAAATCTCCATATTGACATACTTCGCCATGTTGACCTACTGTGTATACAACTAATAACGACCGTATCCACCATAACCACCCCATCCGCCCCACGCTCTGCCTCTGGCAGCACCCCTTCCGATCTTGGCCGCTTCCTCATTCCACCTTTTACTTGCATTGCCGCGTGTTCTGGGTCTCTGCTTGTAGCCACCATTTCGATACGTCCCGTCATTATGATACTCGAACTCGATCTCTTTGCCGCGTTTGTCTGGCGCGTCAAACCTGTCCAGCCAGCGATTGAGATGCGCGCGACTATCTTTTGCGCCTGCTGAATAAGAAAGAATGATTCGGATCTTGCGCTTTGGTTTTCTGTCGTCGTCTACCTCATCGGCAGTAGGTCCGTGAGCGCTTAGCCTCGCTAGCTGTGCCTGGGACAAGCGATTCAGGAACGTGACGACATGGGCAAAGTTGTGATTGCGGACGGTGGCCGTGATGACGTGAGCGTGGAAGAGAACCGCATCCAGGAACTCCTCCGAGATTTGGTTGTTGACCCCTACGAGGCCGCATCGTGTAACGATGTTGTTGCCGCGCCCGGCTTTGAGCGTTGATGATTCGTCTTGTTCTAGAACGTGCTTGTAGATCTCATCCCTCAGCTCCCTTGGAAGCGCAAGGAATGGAGGCAGGGTGTCGTATTGCTGTGACCGTACGGGTTTGGTGTCCGTGATGGCTTCATTGACTTTTTCATGCTCATGCTTCGGGATACAAGGTTCCGCGTTAGGGGGTATATTGGCTTTACGGGCGCGCTTCCGGGGTGGTGGCGCAATGTCCCTGGTGGTGTTCGGGATCAACGCAGCGGCAGCTTGCTCGTTCTGTTTGCGTTTCGAACGCCTCAAGGGTAGTGTTGTTGTCATGGCTACAATTGGACTTGATTCTTTACTCCTAGAGATTTATATGCAGGCTTGACTGTGAATATATATTAACATGCGCCAGGATGGCATACCGGCTACTTCAGGCAACAGCCAGGCAACGAAGGGTGAAATGTCAGTCGGCCACTCGTTGCGCCCCGCTTTTGCTCATGCTGGCAGTGCTTACAGGCCGACCGCGTCTTGCTCTATGCTTCGGAGGAAAAGGCAAGACTAAGAACATCATATGCTAGTCCACTACTCGTGGTAGAGGCGAAGTGGTCACGTCGGTTGAAGTTGGAGTTAGTATGGCATGGCTGTGGGAAAGGGAACTCCTGTTCTCTCAATGGCTTGGTGGCGTCCTTAAGTACATGGGCGCATCTACACATGCTGGGTCTGAATTTCAGGAAAGGGCGATACACCAACGAACATATCGTGAAGGTCTAGCTAGATCTTGCTGTCCTCAAGCCCCTTTCCCCGGACGCTAAGAAAGCACGCACCAGCCGAGCCGCTGTCCTTTAAGCCCCAGCCGTGACAACAATCTTAATAATAGCTACAACTTTCCGTCAGTCCTCGAACTTTGCAAAAGTACCCAGCTTCGCGCTTCTTTGATTTCTTCAGCCATAGCCATTCGAAAATCACGCTTGGATCTACCCATTCGTGCTAGTAAGCACTACTCGCGCACGTGGCGCCTTTCTACCAAATCTCGTCCCTCCCTTTTATTGAAAATCCTCAATCTGGACCGCGAAGGTCAACTTTGGCATCTGCAACGTGACGTTTTGACGCACCTTTAATGGCTCCGCTCTTGTGGCTGAAACGAGCCTCGAGGTCCAGGTACATGTATTTAGCGCAGGTACTACCAACTACAATGCCGTAGTCGCTGTCAGCCGCCTACTAGAGCGCTTCAAGCGGATAACTTGACGAAATCCTCCCAAACTTCGTCCCGTCAGGTCCGTACCTTAAACTAGCGTAGCCGGCGATTTGCCCTTCGCTCGCGGCTGATTCGGCCATCTACGCCCGAACTTGTGGTCGATTTTTTCTCGTGCAACTTGCCCAAAAGGTCGGGTCCTGCCCTGTTGAGTCCTTCATTCTTCGTTCTCTACTCTTGCAATTTTTCATCTCCCCAAGGGAAACATCAAGTATGCGTACCTTGATTCTTCTTCCTCTGTTTTGGCTACTCCAAATATGCCAAGCCTTTCAATCGCCTGATATATATTCCCTTACACAGCCCGCAGGGGCAAGTGTAGCTCTGTCGGAAGACAGTCAGGCAGCTACTGTACCTTCCAGGTCGAGGTCAGGAGATCAAACTCATTCTGTGATATTGTTTACTGACGGCGCTATATTAGACATGTAGCCGGACCAAGCTCTGGGCTCAACATCTTTGTACCCAGTTATCAATCAGACCCCAACTGGTACATTATCTCAAGAAGCTTGTTTTGAGAACAACAAATAACAGCATCTCAGGCTTCCCCTTACGCTGGCTCTGAAGACGATTGGATTGCAAGTGAAGGTCATTGAATCGCTGAGCATTTCTTCCCAATGCTGGACTCTGCTTGTCTACACGCCCCCAGGCGTGAATTACAGCCCCAGCTCTGCCGATGTCACGGCCTTGAATTCTTTCGTGTCCAGAGGTGGCCGATTGATATTCATGAACAAGGTCCCCTCCGCTCTTCAATCTCTTGCAGGTGTAACTGCATCTACTGTAGACACGAGCGGTTCGCGATCGCTTTTGCAGTTGACCAACACTGAATCGCCTGTACAGGCTCTCCGGGGCTTCGACTTCACAGATTACTATGACATCAACATGCCTTTTTATGAGAACTACACTGAACAAGGCCTTATCAATGTCGGCTATACGCCTGCTAGAGGTTCACAAACACTTGGAAAGTACCAGGTTCGAAACAATGGAGTAGACAGTGCAGATAAGTCCGCTACAAGCGCAGCTATTGTCAGGAATCAACCTTTGGGTGCAAGCGGATATGTATACAGCATCGGTATGGATCTTGGTTATTTGTTCATTCAGGCGCAAAACGAGGCCGGCGGCTACTCGCCGTGGTATGATGGACATTACTACCCCGGATACGATATCGGAACACGCATCGTCAAGAATATTGTCACTTCTAGTCCGCAATTTGTCAGCCTATGGACGGTCCCATACAACAAAGGGCTCGCTTTCACCACCACCTGGGATATCGACACCTACGTCTCCTACCCCCACGGCCAGGGTATGGCAGCCGCCGCGCAAGAAAGAGGCGCTTCTGGTAACTTGAACCTCCATACCAAGTACATAACAGATGCCTACGAGAACGCATACTTCCAGTATGGGATTCCATACATTTATCAGATCACCGGGCTCCGGACGGCTCCTGATGGGTACCCATACATCGATTTTGGCACTCACACTGTCAGTCACTCGCCAAATGCGGCAAGTTTTCCTTACGGTACTCGTGAGGAACGGTATATCAAAGGAAGTGACGCAGGGTACGCGCCTTACATTCACCAATGTGGGGCTAACGCTGATGGAACACCTCCTGATGACCAGCGGTGTATAAAGGGAGGTCCCAGGTATGTTTCCATTGTGCAAGATCTATAAGATATCGACACTGACTTTGCGCCTCCACCTCTGCAGCGGACTTGCGTTCTATACATCGGGTGGCTCTGCATCAGGAGAGGTTCGCGTAAGCGCATTTCTGATTCGATATATATTACAGGATGTATTCAAAACCAACTACAACCTCACCACCTACCGCCCCGGAAATCTTGCATGGAGTAAGTACCAAGCTACGCATTGCGTTGCAAATGGATTCATCGGCGGCTCTTCATGCTCGGGAAACTCCCACCTTACCCACCTCCCTTTCCAAGTTACGCACAACCGTGAATCGTTCGCAGAGCTCCCATACTATGAGTTTCCTCTCCAATGGTCTGATGGCGATGGAAACATGAGTAGTGCCAATTTTCCGGGGTCAGACTTCTCAAACCAGATCAACGATATCAAGAAAATGGCAAGGTATGGCGGTCACTATAACATCTTGATCCACCCTTCGGATGCGGTTTTCGACAAGATTCAAATACAGTGCGCATTCCACGATACCGTGCGTCCTTTTGCAATCTTCTTCAATCAGACAGGCTTGGCCAATTGGTGGGCAAATCGAGATCGCGCTGTTGTGAACATCACAGCAGCGAGCAGAACATCGGCGACGATGACAGTTCGTTTGGACGGCCCTACGGAAGGGCTTACTCTACAGGTGCCTCGAAACTATGCCATACAGTCCGCGACGGGCTCTCTATCAGTCTGCCAGCAGCTTTCGTATGATAAGACAACAAACGCGGTCGTTCTGCGAAACACGGCAAAGGGGCTGTATACTCTCACCTTCACCATTGGTTTGAGCGACGCATCCGTCTCCACATGCCCCGACTTCACACCAAAGGCGATCGGGGATACAGAATGCGTAGCATGGGATGTCATGATTGACGATTTTCTGGAGCTCTACTTTGGCAACAACAATGTCAATCTACTCTTGTTGCAAACAAGCGCAATAGGACTTTCGTCAAACAACATCGATGGCACTTTGCAACTTACAGCAACTACCACCAGTGGGGTCAACTCGTACTACACGGAGATCTCACGTTTCTGCTTCGACGCTTCGATCTATACCCATCTTTACTTTGACATGATTGCGCCTCAAGGAACCACCTTTTACGTGCAGCTTGTCTCGTACGACTCCGGATGCAATTTCGAACAGCCGAGCCCCACATACTTGGACGTAACCAGATACGCCGCTGCTGACGGCACAAATCATACTGTTACCATACCGCTATCAGACTTCCAGGGACAAGATATGCTCCATGTCCGCGGTATACGTATTGGAAACATCTCGCCAGACCATGTGCCTATCTACATCGATAATATCAAGATCCAGAAGCGATGCGTTACTGCGCCAGGAGAAGATCGCACCCAGGGTCTGGCGATTGAGTCCTTCCAAAACGTTGATCGGTGGATCACTGGCATCAACAACATCTTTGGTCAGACTGACTACAACAACTCGATGACGTTTGCAAAGCTCTCGGAGCTTGGGAGAATGCAGTTGTTGCCGTCGAGCTCCAACTCGTACTTTTATACCGACACTGCTGTCAATGGCGTTACTTTGAACGCCACCGGGTACACAGCCGTCTCTTTGAACGCACGTGGCCCGTCTGGTGGTTCCTTTGATGTGGTTGTGACCTCAGGCACTGCTAATACTACTTCTACCGTCAACACCAAGTCTTATGCTACCTTGAGCCAAGACAAGTTCACGAACATTACAATCCCTCTTACGGCATTCTCAGGACTCAAGGCCAATTCCATGAGCCGTATCACGCTACGAAACTTCACACCCAGTGGTGGTTCTGCTGCCAGCAACTTCACTATGCGATGGATCTCTCTTCTGGGAGGCCCTCCCGGAGGCGGTGCTGGTTCACGTTGCGCGAGAGCCTCTGGCTACGTCGTGTTGGATTTTTGCGATCCGGCTGAATTCACAGCGCAAACCAACGCCCTGGGAGCTCCCATGTCAGACAACAAGACGATGACATCCTACAAGCAAGTCGCCAGTGGTTCCGCTGATCTCGTACCTCGGGATTCGAAGTCGTACTTCTACACATTGCTCGCAACGACGCCTGGCTGTGTAGCGCTTAACAGCTCTTACGATTCGATCAAACTCAGTATCTCTGGCCCTCAAGGCGCAACCGCGAGCATCGGCTTCAAATATGGTGGTGACGGCTGCAACACCAATATGGTCACGTCTTACACTCCGATTAACTTCAACACTGCGCCAACACTGCTCACGATTCCATTCTCGCGCTTCTCATCTACTTTCAACGCCAAGTACCTCCAGTCGTTTATCATGACCAACTTCAGCTCTCCCGGTTCGACGTACCGTATTCACTCCCTGATATTCACAGGACCTATTGATAACCCTGGTTGTACACTTTGCTCAGGTACCGTCCTCAACACCTGCACATTCACATCGGATGTTCCACGGACAAACCGACTCCTTGGCGCCATGACCGATGAAGGATCTCTAGCCTCATACTCTGTCAGCAATGACGGCTCGCTCAGTCTAGGAGCTAGCAGCGGTGCATACTGGTACTCTCAATTCGGCACCACCTGTTACAATGCCAACAAGGTAAACGCGACTGGTATCCAAATCTCCATGGCGGCCCCCGCAGACACCACTTTCCAGGTGTCAATGCGCTGGAAGACAGATGTCGAGTGTTCGTTAACATCGCCGGCATCTTCGGTCCCCATCACTTCGTACACGTCGTTCGCCGGCGCTGATTCCTACAAAGTCACGTACATTCCCTTTTCCGATTTCCCTGGCATGAACGCGAGCAGACTCGACAGTATCGCACTATCAGCTTTCAACCCTTCAAACGCGGAGATCAAACTCGGCTGTATCAGTTTGGCTTCCACCGCAGTCGTGCCATCGAATCAGACATGTAGCTGTCCCGACACCGCCTGGTTGAACTACTGTACTTCAAAGAACGTGGATCGCAATGCTAATGGCAATGCGCAAAGCGACGATGGAACCATGGAGGTTGCACCAGCCGTCAAGGATGGCGCTTTGGTTCTGCAACCTGCTGTTTCTGGCTCTTACTGGTACTCGCTCCAGAACTGCGCAGACGTGTCATCATCTAGCTTCCTCTACCTCAACGTCACCGCGAAGGCGGGTGCAAGTTTCAATGTTCAACTGCAGAGTGGCGGGAACGGATGTGCTGGCTCTACACTGCTCCAGCGAGCCAGTGTATCGAGTACTTCTTATGGTACCCTGGGCAGTGCTCCCGTACTTCTCAAGATCCCGCTTTCGGCGTATACTTCCTCGGGTAACAGTGCGTTCTCTCTGTCGGCGGTCAGTGCGGTTGTTTTGGAGGGATTCAACGCTGAAACTTCGATGTATCTCATTCACTGCGCGTACTTTGGTAATGACACATCGGGTGGCACAGCTGCAGCTTTGGGCGCACCTTCATCGTCAGTCACGGCTTCATCATCAGGTACTGCTTCATCATCAGGTACTGCTTCATCGGCAAGTGCGGCTTCATCGGCAGGTACAGGTACATCGACGGGTGCATTGACCGGTACATCGACAAGTCCGGCTACGTCGACAGGCGCAGCTGCATTGGCAGGCGCAACTACACCGACAAGTAGAGCTACATCAGCGGGTACGTCGACAGCTGCACCGGCAGCCTCATCGATAGCCACAGCTGCATCGACATAGTTTATTGTGTTTTTGGAAGGATGTAAAATAAGTTAAATGTAATGTTAGTTAGATTAATGAAATGTACTATCATAGAATAAACTCTCTGGTAGCCTTGCAGTAGCATCATGAAGATGGCTGTCTACCTACCGTTCAAGTGCAGTAGCTGTTTAATAACAGCGGCATATTTCAGGTATTATAGTCCCAGGCCCATCAGATCATTGCGGGGGAGCGTGTCGAGAATAGAAAGTGATATTCACTCCCCGTCATGTATCCCTGCTTTCTCGGTGGACCGAAGCAGGTGCATCCGTAGCCCGGTATCTTGGAACGAGGGAGGGCTGCGGGCCAAGAGAAGGCTTGTTCAGGATAAACTGTTGTTGGACCCTGGTATTTTAACTGCATGTAGGAAGTAGTTATGAATAGATTTGTTACCTGATATGTTACTGTGTTTTCTTGCAGGCTGAGTAGCAGCCACTTGGGAAACAAACCTCCCTCAGGGTTTAGAAAGAGCTTGGCGATAGTACAGGATATTTGAGTTTCGTGGTTAACTCGAGAGCCTGTTTATTGGTCAACCCGAGAAACTTTCCGTTAGTTCTGTTGTGGGTAACGTATGCGATTATATCGACATGGATCCTATTATTATACTTGTCTAGTCAGCGACCTTTGTAGACATTTGGCTACGTCCGATATACGCGCACCGAAAGGGCCGAGGGGCTGTGTTTTTCAAGGTACTTAATGGAGATGGTACCGCAAGGGGCGTTTTAGCCGGTATGACGACATCAGGGCACAATGGCGCTAATTGGAAGGAAAACATGGGGGATGTGCAAGGGACATCGGTATCGTGCGTATATGTAAGTAATCCTTCCGGGCTGCCGTCATTTTGGCATGGTTGTTTAACAGAAGCTCGGATGTACCTTGCCATCCAACAACCCCTCATCCTTCACAGCTCTCATTTGCCTTTCTTCACGCAGTTGCTTTCATGCATGCCATTTGTAATGTATGTACACTGTCACATATTCAAGAAGGATGTCTTTCTAGAGCGGTGTAGGAGTCGTGCCAACTTTGAGATTTGTATTTGTCGGTCCACTAAGATATCAGCCGCACGCAGTGAACAGTCGGTGTTTCTATTTGCATGCTTAGGGGTGGAAGAATGGTAAGTAGAGTGCTAAACCGTGCGCATGAATTCGCTGATTTGTTTCAAGCGCGAAACATCCAAGAAGGTCAAGGGTGTACCATGCGCTGATCCAAGATGACAGAAGTTATTCTGTCAGGTACGCGTCCAAGAGGCACATTTAAATCTTTCCTATTTAACATAGCAGGCTAGGATTGGTGGGAGTACTACACTCATGCCTTCCGCTACCATCAGTCGATAGTTGGTAACTGCATTGTTTGGTGGTGAGACTACAATATATCTTCGGGCCGATATCAAATGTCGGGCAATCGGGACCCACCCAGTCTTGTCCTTCCTTCCGGATGGAACCCGGTTACCGCACCGGGTCTGGGATCAAGGTTAATGAAAGTACCATCATGGTAACCGAGCGTATTTGAACGTGAACAGCTTGACCAATAGACAGGACAAGTCCAGCCTTACACCGCTATTGCTTACCGTATGCTACCCCTCGCCCTCCTGGTCGGCCGTAAGTTTAATCACAATATGCACCGCCTTGTCAGCTTTACCAAACTCCTTGTTTCGATTACATCAAATCATATAAATACTGCTAGTAAGACGATCTTTTGACAAACCCACCCACCGACTATCACTCGCTTAATAACGACTTCATACCATCACACCCAACCCAATCTTAAAGATGCGCTTCCTCCAGATCATCCCCGCCGTCTTCGCGGCTTCGACTCTTGCCGCCAAATTCGAAAATTTCGTCGACACTTCCTGCCAACGATACTCCGCAGACTACAAGCTCATCACAGTTGCCGAGCAAGAGAAACTCATCGTCGACTCGTGGGCAAAAACACCCACTTCACAAGAGACGTCGCGTGCGTTCTCTCCGAAGGGCTCTTGCCCTTCCAACGCGGACGACACATACAAGTGGGTAAGTTTTTTGCACAAACGACGGAGCCACATTTTGCATGTCCTGGCTCAATGCTAACTTTTGCATAGATTACGGTGCCCCAGTGGAATGATGTGCCAACTAGATTCGGGCGTCCAGGAGGAGGTTCCATTGCTGTGGTCTACTTCAACGAGACAGACACCTACCACGTCTGCAGATACTTGGCTTCTGTGCAACCGAACGGTTATGCGGGCTTTTGTAAGTAGAGTGTTAAGTCACCTGCGCGGTGATTGTGTGGGTCAGCATGGATGCCTGCCGCTGTTTAGTGTATGGGTATGCAGTTTACAATTCTCTGTACTTGGTTTCAATACGTCGGCAACGATCACTGTTAATACCACTGTAAATACAAATTGGAATGTCAGAAGTTGCCCAATTGCATATCATTGTGCCTTACCATAACTGTTTGAATTACACATCAACTATGAACGCAGCAGTCCCTGCTTAGGTGTGAATATGAGAACTGGGTTTCGCTTTCAAACGGCTGCATTGCGAAGAATGGCAAGACCATTGAGTGTTTAACGTATATGTCAGATAGTCTCAACAAGATAGATAAACAAACGACTATCTACATGCAGCAGTTTACCTTCTCCTTTACTCCTCATCTGCAGCATCAATAACGTCCTGCGCCAACTTCTCCGCATGCGCATACGTAACACCCTGTGTATGCCCCGGCGCCCCAAACGGCAAAGAGCTAGTATCTATCACTCTCAATCCCTTGACTCCAAACACCCTGGCTTTCGAGTCTACCACCGCTCCATCGGAAACATTACGGCCCATCGCGCATGTCGCCGCTCCGTGATGAATCGCACCCATGCCCTTTGTGCGAATGTAATCAAGGATATGAGCATCAGTTGTGATATTCGCCCCTGGGGCAATTTCTGTGCCAAACGCGGAGATGCTGGAGGCAATCGTACGTGCGCGCCTATATGCCGCAACGGCCATTTCCTGGTCTTCTTTTGAGTCCAGCCATCCGATGTATACGATTGGTGCGACGGTGTTGTCGGCAGATTGAATAGTGATGTTTCCTCTGCTGGAGGCGGAAGTAAGAATTGCGCCGATGACGCCGGTGTTGCTGGCTGCTTGGGATGTGGAAAGCACGCGCTCAGAAGCTTGTAGTACGTATTCGACATTTGGCCAGTCGGAAGGTAGTTGTTTGAGGTAGTCTTGAGTTGACGGGCTCATCTTACTCGTATATTCTTCGGAGAATCTGTCCCACGCGGCAAAGTCGCTGGCTGGACTGCTGAGAGGGCCCGATCCGTTCTTGAGGTAGGATTCTACGGCGTCGTTGAAGGACGTGGCATTGCGTGTCCAGGCGCTCCTACCAGGTACGTTTGAGGAGTGAGTGATGCCGCCGAGGGCAGGAGTGTCGTGGAGATTCTGGCCCACGCCTGAAAGATCAGAGATGACGGGGATGTTGTATTTTTCGAGCGCTGCTCGCGGTCCAATACCAGAAACCATAAGAAGATGTGGAGAGTTGATGAAGCCGCTAGATACGATGACCTCCTTGCGCGCATGAAGGACAAAAGGCCTTCTTCCTGCGACTGTGACATTGACTCCAAAAGCGCGCTTGCTTTCATCAAAAAGAAGGTTACGCGCCATACATGACTGGTAGATTTTCAACGAAGTCCTGGTAGCCGTCCGGGAGAGAAAAGCACTTTCTGTACTGCTTCTTGTGCTGTCTTCAGGGCGCAGTGTGAACGGCCAGTATCCGTAACCAAGTAGGTTTCCATCTAAGAAACCATTGGCTGCTTTAATCCCAGCTGCAGAGTAACCTTGAGGCCCAAATGAGGATATTGGCTGAGCGTATTTTGGATAGCTCAGATGTACTGGTCCTCCAGGACTATCGAAGCTGGACAGTGTGAAGTTCACTGTAGCATTTTCGACGCGGTATCTGATGTCTGGTGGTGTAAATGAGAAGCTCTTCTTCATGAAAGGGAACATGTTGTCCCAGAGGTAAGCTGGGTCTCCAGTTATATTGGCCATGGCCGCATACCAGCCTTTTGTTGCTCTGGAGGCGTGAGTCAGTAATTTGTAGTAACATGCAAAAGAATACACTGTCGTACCTGTGGTAAATTTGCTGGTTGCGTGCTGAGCTTCCCTATAACAATGTTTAATCATAGCCCACCGATGTTAGTCTCGAATTGGTTGGACTTACACCAAGAGTTTTACCCTGCGCGTAAAAATACCGCCGCCCACTGGCACCAGGGATGGGTTCCGTAAAGTAGCCCCAATCTATTAATGGCTGGTAATCGTCTGCGTTTGGCCCAACATACATTGTGGAATAGTATGGTCTAGGAACAGTCGGATTGTAAGTATGGATATACATGTATTTCAACCTCCACGCACATTTGACTATAATTGCCATTTGAGATCTCGTAGAAAGAGCCTGCTTCTATCACTGCGACCGTCTTATGCGGCAACGCTTCTGCAAGTCACGATGCTGTCAGAGCGCCAGCAAGACCAGCCCCAACAACGACGTAGTCAAATGTCGCGTTTACACCGGGATTGCCAAATGAATTGCCAAGAAGACGCCCTGGAGCATAGAATTGTTGAAGCAAAGTATCGCCATCAGAGTCAGCTGCGACAAAAGCAGTCCAGAGACCGAAGATCTTTATGAAATGTCGCATCGCGGTTTCCTTTGTGCGACAATGCAATGCAAAAGAAGTTGTAATGGTAACTCAATGGGACACTCAGTCGGATATTGGCATTTTATACACTGGCGGTGAAGCAGGGAAATGATTTCATGATCTGCAAGATCCAAAGACTATCATCGCAAAACAGCATTTCTGGTCATGGTAAAGCTCTAGCAAAGCAATGGTGGCTTGCAGGAGATCTCCATTATAGATTTACATTAATCGTGCACAGCAACTCTCATTGGATACAAAGCCCCCGCTGCAAGGATTGACGGCTGACGGATCGGAGCGGCACCATCAATTAGCGGCGATGGATGCAGCTCCCGGTTCAAGGGAATAAGAAAAGCGTAAGGCGTGGCATTTAGTCAGCCATGCACCACTTTCCATTCGCGGATCTTCGACCGGGTTGGTGATCATGTACGTGCGTTCTATACTCGAGAAGAATTTCTGTTTCTGGATTAGGCAACTGGTTCTACAAAATCCTTCAGGAAACTTTCCACGTACGATTTAACCGTCCTAAAAGTAAAAGACTACTACGCGCGTGTTGCTTCTTTAACTTACCCACGCTCGTGCGGTCTCTCAGCTGAGCATCGCGACTACAAACAAGATGAGAATGCGCTAGCAATGTCAAGACAACACTATAGTATCTGTGTAGCTATGAGGATTGTAAAGCACCACGTTGCGTTTGCTGGAAACCAAAAGCAGCTGTCTAGATTTTTCTTTCGAAAACATGGTGTTGGCAAACAGTTGTTACGCAGATCTTTGCATAATTGTACTTACTAGAGAACAGACAACTTGGCGGTAGATATTTGAAGCCTTACCGGGGTCTCGCCGAGCAAACTACTAAAGTGCGTTCAATCCGTTATATCATTGTTACGATGCTCAGAGGCCAAGCTGACAGAACATCGTTGGAGCCTATCGGTCTAGTTTAACTGCAGTCATATAGGTACCTGTTGCAGCTCTACACAGTTGCACATCGCCCTCGTTTTAAGACGCTTCCTCTACATGAGAGATACAACTTGGTTGGCAGGGGAAAATACACTGTAATGTTCTTGATACATGCCAACATGGTAAAGATTTTCTTCGCGTGGCTCCCTCCAGTTTGAGACACGAGAGCAGGCTTGAACACATAGACGGCTTGGTAAAGAGAGCCATGTTGGAGTCTAGGATATATATGATTGAAACCTATAGTATTCGTCCACATTATACAAGATCTTGTCGTGTTTTCATACGTCAGTGGCGCCACTACCCGTTCGGATTCTATCAGGAACCCGAATGTCCGAGATGCACACAGCCACCGCCACAGCCACACATCGGCGAGATATCACCGTATACTCCGCTCCGCAACACCGCGTCCATCCACACCATTACACTCGATGCTTTCGTCCGTTCCATTCAATTCAAAATCAGGGAAAACAAGTTGATGCCTAATCCCGACCCTCACCCGACGGAATACTCCCCAAAACGCCGCTACACAGCCACTAACCACCTACGCGTTCCGCCCGATTCCACTCTTCCATTCGTCCGCCGTGTTTCCCTAATCATGCGCCACCCAAAAAAACACATACTCACACACGGGATACAAGGCAGCAACAATCTCCAAGGCCCGCCAATCACCCCACTCTAACCAGACCAAACCAAACAAACCAGAAACCATGGAAACACAAGGCAAGACTAAAGAGGAAGAATTAGCGCGTTGAACACGCTAACGCGCCATCACATGATCCCATCCTTCAGCCTAACCTAGCCCCTCCATTGTCCCCTTTTAGTCCAACAGTAATAATATTTCTCTAGTATTGTCGCCTTGTCTGACTCATCCTCCCTCCCTCGCTCATTGCATGCATGTAGCCTCAACCGCCTACCTCCAAACAAAGCCAACAATGCGCCAATAAAAAAAAGGGCGTTTTGAGTACAAAGTAATCGCCAAAAAAAATGGTAATATGACGTAGAAATGTCTCATCCCGGACTTCCGGTTCAAACCAAAAAAACGCCTCTTCCATAAATGATGATGGGTGTGTGTGTGAGACAGACCGGGAAAGATAGACTAGTAAAGTAAAGTAAGTGTAGCCGACGGTAAGTTGGTCGTTTGTAACTGGTTGTTTGTGTAGGCGCGTGTGAGTTGGTGGCTGCCTGCGAACACCTTGCCCGCACCTGCACGCCATACCCACATGATATGTGCCCCCCCCCTCAACCAAAAACAGTCTAGTGGATATGAGGAATCAGGCACACCACCGCTCGTAGTCCGATCCAAGGGCGCGAATACCGGTCTAGAATGCCGTGTGGGAATGCGAATGCAAGGTCAGAAATACAATGCGTGATGTTTTGCGGGTCAGGCTCAAGAATCCTACTAGGCATCAAAGAACGGCGGGGGGAGGCAGGGGTACCGCTGGGTAGGTGTGGGTGGGTGGGTAAGATTTCAATTTATACCATGCGCTGCGTGGCGCGGCGCACATGCGATCTGGTGGCACGGTTGGTATTTTTTTTGGGAGGGGCTGAAAAATCCTTATGGTGGCCTTGTCCGGAAAAGGTAAACTTGACTTCATGTCTTGGATTACTCGAGACAAAAGGTGCAACATTGTAAGATTTTTGTGTAAAAAAAAAGGGGAGCAGGGTTGATTTGATAGGTGTTTTGGTATTGTGATTTCTTTCTTACTTTCTTCATGTGATAATAAACTACAATTAACTAGTTACAAAGATTGTGAGAACTTAGATAGTAAAAGAAATAAACAACGAGTGGTATAATATGCTTTAGCGCTTTCCGATTTCCTTCCATTTCGCATTTTGAATAATAACAAGGGGGGGCGTTCAATTCGTAGAGTGTGTGGCGTGCAGTGCATGTACCAGCCATGCCTCTCCCCCATATCTCTCGACCAGATGTGTGTTACAAAAAAAAAGACAAAACAAATTACAGTTTAGGATGTAGACTTGGAGAGAGATCGTAGTCGCTCAGGAGAGAAGATTTATATACAATGAGCGCGCTTGTGGGGGTATGGGCAGCTGAGTGTGAGGAGAGCGTTATTGACAGATGAAAGAAAAAGGGGGCGAACCGAAACCGTTGCCCAAACTCCTTTCCCAATGCGGTGATCAATCAAACTCCTCAAAGAAAAGAAAAGAAAGAAAACCTAGTGGCAAAATCTGATAGACACTTATCTGCGGCCTTGTTGCTGGAGAGCCATGACGGCTTGCTCCAGCTGCTTGAGCCGCGAGTCCTTTTCCTCGTTCTCTTGTCGCAGCCGCTTGATCTCAGAGCGCATCTCGTCATTGTCTCGCTCAGAGACGTCAGAGTCAGAGACACCACGCTTGCGCTTCATGGTGAGGTCCTCTTCCTCGCGGTACTCCATGGGGCGGATGTAAGGTGACTCTGGAGCATGTGACTCACGGATGGGCGAGCCTTCAATCTCGCGACGAACCATGTCACGGCGAATGACGAGTCCGTGCAAGTCTGCTGACATTGACGTTCTCCGGTGGACGCGGCGGATGTGCTCAGCAAGATTCTCTTTCCGCGTGAAGCCGGCGCCAGAGCTGCGCTTGCAGTCAGGGAACGGACAAAAAAGCGACTTCTTAGTGCCACCGTGCATCTTGTGGACCTCTCGCTCGTGGCGGAGAAGACCACCGCTGTAAGTGAATCCTTGGAGCTTTTCGCAACCCTTGGCATTGCATTTGTAGGGACGATCATGCTTGTCCATGTGTTTGCTGTAGACAAGGTTAGTAATCTGTGGTTTCAAGTAATAGTGTTGGGGTGCGGGGAACAAAACTTACCTCCATTCGCACTTGCGATCAAATGACACGCTCTGGCATTCTTGGTACTTGCAGACCATCTTGCCGTCTTCGTTGCGCGGCGGCTCCTCGGCGCGCTTATAGCTGTGGTTCTTCCGTAGAGATCCGTCGTCGTCACCATCTTGCGAGGAATCGACGGACAAACCTCTGCTGTGGGATCTTGGAGGGCTGGCAGCCAGTGAGTGTCTGTGCTCTCCGCCCGTTGGTGAAGTCATGATGGGAGATCGCGGACAGCTCAGGCTAACTGGAGTAGGCATGTCGCCGAGTAATGAGTTGACTGATGAGGTGCGCTTGTGCTCGTGGGGAGCAGGCAGAGTAGGAGTGGTGGTGGTGGGGGTGGGAGCGAGATCAGTCATGTTGAAAGAGGAAGGAGAATAGTGGTTGTAGTAAGGGGGGTTCAAGTTGAGCGGGGCCTCAGGTTGGCGATATATAGAAGGCGACGCGAAGCCTGTTTGTGGCGGAGCAAACAAGTCTTCGTCCGGGACGGTGATGACTCTGATTGTCGGATTATGCGCAGTGTTAATCAGATGACGCGGAGGGAGTTGAGGTGGCAACGCGGAATGGTGCCAAGAGTGAGTAGGGTGATTAGGATGATGGAGGTTGCCAAGGTGCGGATAGGCCGTGATGAGTGGCGCAGCAGAGCCTGGACTGTGAGGCGAATACAAATTAGCGGGCTGGACTGGCTGGTAGTAGCGGGCGGCATGGGCGTAATAAGTATCTTGGTGAGCTGGATTAGTTAGCGGGAGGTACGAGATGCTTCCAGGCTGAAACCCGGGTGTCGAGAGAGCAGGCGTGAGTCAAACACAGACGGGACAGCACGCGACTGTGACTAGACTAGGCACTTACTTGCAACCGTCTCTGGGGCCTCTGGGGCCTCTGGCGCCCTTGACCCTGCCTGACTCTCCACCGAGGCCGGCAGTCTGCCCGTGGTCCCAAAATCGGATTCCCAGGTTTCCGTGTTTCGTGCCTGGAACACGCCGTGTCCAAGATGCACCCGCGCGTTTGCTGCGGGTGCATGCAAAGGTGCGCCCTGCTGCGCCTGAGAGCCAATCAGCGCCCGCCCCAGGCTGCCATCTACAATGCGTTAGCCTCGACGTGTACGCTGCCCGCTGTCTAGTCCAGCAGACTAGACACAACCCCAAAGAAAGCTTGCAACACCTACAGTCGGACGATGCACCGCTATCCCACGGCAGCGATATGTTCTGCAGCACACAGTT